TAAAAAAAAAAATTGGGGTTTGTTATACTCATAGGTGGTGACGTGCCTACCTGAAAGAGAATTCCTTCATTGTTCCATTAAATATACGCAGAGGCCCGGGGGAAGGAGCGTCAATTATAGCGCCAAACCTCGTTCCGCAGAGGCAGTAACAGACTGCATGCCACCTCGATATGTATCGTGTTATACATTCTGTGATGTTGCGTGCTAGTCAGGTATCATTGACTGTACCCTTAAGTCTCCGATTGGGCTTGCCTGACCACAGTCTGTCGTCAGCCAGCACCAAGGACACCTAGTACCTATCTACAAGGTCCCTATATGTATCTCCGATGGAAGTGGAGATCGACTGTGGGAGGACTTGTATTAAAGGTAGAACGCAGATGTGAAAGGGGGTGGGGAATAGCGATGATGGATGATAAGGGTGAAATGTCTAGAGAAATGTTGGTGGATATATATGTTGCTTCAAGGCAGCTTCATTAACGAACGAGAAGGATGATGTAACCATGAGAAGAGGATGAAGGATGGTTAGAGGATAAGCAGCATGTCGGTATTTGTATCTGCTCCAATAGGTAGGCAAACAGTATATGCGAACCACTTATAACAGGAACATGAAGGATGACAACGGGTACCGATAGTGTGGTAAAAGGACACATCTCGAAGTAAGGTGCATAGGCTAGAACCGCTTACAACTACATATTACGCAACAATGTACAAGTACACAAGAAAATAGATATGCACTAAAAAAATCAGAGAACTGTCTCTGTTCTTTCATTGCTAGAACTAAACTAGCAGCGGCCTGGCCGGCAGGGATTGTCGTAGCAAAACCCAAACCGACTCAGTCGATCATCATTCCACGTCGCAACGTATTCATAACCGTGATTCAACATCAACACATAAGACCGTAGGTCAAGATATTTGGATAATCCCAAAGAATTTCAGGTAGAGGAAAGAAGAGAATGGACGTGAGGCGTAGGATGTCTTCAAGCACAGCACGTCCATTGGGGTATTGGGGGATGGAATTTTATAGGAGATGGGGAGTATGGTTCGGGGCGAACACGCTTATTTGAAGACGTGGCCGTCGGTCCACTCCTTGACCTCACCGTTGACGGTGACAGGGACGTCCTGGGCCCACATATCCTCGACGAGCTTGCGGTCAGCCTCGTTGGAGGGGTCGAGCTTGGTGAACTCGTAACCCTCGTAGTCGGGGCCGACAGTGAAAGCGGGCTCCCACTCCTGGCCGCGGGTCATGTAGGCACCGTAGACGACACAGTTGTAGTTCTCGCCGTAGACAGACTGGGCACCGAAGAGGTACTTGCGGGAAGCCTCAAGACGGGTCTGGAAGCCACCAATCAAGTTGTTGGCCATGAAGGTGAGCTTGAGCTCGTTGTTGTACTTGTAGTTGACCTTCCAGAGAGAGTACTCATCGGCCTTGAAGTGCTCCCAGAACCAGGGCATGGCAACGGTGCGGATATCCTCGTTGGAGAACTTGCGCTTCCAGTCATCAAGGATGAGAGTGGGCTTGCCAAGAGCCTCAAGGGGGTGCTTGGCCTTGGGGGCCTCAGCGGGCTCAGCGGGAGCAGCGGCAGCGGCAGCGGGAGCAGCAGCCTTGGGCTTGGGCTCCTTCTTGGGGGCGACGTACTTAATCACCTCCTCAGCGAACTGGGGGCTGGGGACAACAGCCTTGAAGGCGTCCTGGTTGATAATGGTGTTGTACCACCGGGTGGTGGCGGGGTTGGCCTCGCGCCAGGTCTTGTCAAGGACGGTGGCGAAAGCACGGGTAAGGAGGGAGGCAGCGAAGATATCAGCCAGGGTGATACGCTCACCAACAAGGTAGGTGTTGGCAGTGAGGTGAGTCTCGAGGGTAGAGATGACCTTGAGGGCAGTCTTGGCGGCCTCATCACAAGTCTTCTTGTTGTAGGCATCGAGACCCATCAAAGGACGGTACCAGCCACCGAACTTGGGGAGGACCTCGGTGTTGACGAAGGACATCCAGCGGAGGATGGAAGCGTAGTCCTGCTTGGTCTTGCCAAGGAGGGTAGTCTTCTCGTTCTGGGAGGTGACTATGAACAGGACATGTTAGTCAAGTTGCTTTGAAACTCAATTGAATCCAACAATGGAACGACGATGTGCCAATGGCATAACATCCATTCCAAAAAAAGGGGGGTAAGTCGAGTCCAAATTTTCCGCAGAGCGGGGTAGCCAAAATATTTTCAGAGTTGTTTTATCTCAACAGTTACAGTTCTGACAGGGATAACTAAATGGTATCTCATCATAAAAATGGAGGCGTACCAATGGACCGACTGGTGTAATAGGAATGTAGCGAAAGGCGAAAAAAAATCTTCACGTACCATAGACAGCGATGGCAATGACCTCGGAGAGAGTGAAGCCATTGGCACCCTCGAAGGCGGGGATCTTGCCAGTGGGGTTAACCTTAAGGTACTCAGCGCTGGAGTTGAATTCAGCGGAAGAGTTAGCCTGGGTGTTAACCAGCTCCAAGTCCAGGTCGTTGTGCTTAGCAGCGACCAGGACGGAGATGGTGCGACCGTTATCCTGGAGATAATGTTAGAAAGAGAATCAATGCAACAGAGATAGAAAGAAACATACAGGAAGACCGTAAAGCTTTCCGAATGCCATCTTGAATGTGAAGTGTGGAAGATGAAGAGAAAAAAAGAAAGAAGAGAAAGGAGAGGGGCGCGCAAGAATTTTGTGCTGGCGGGACGATTTCGGTGTTCGGAGAAACTGATCTTGCCGAATCACATGATCCGACAAAAAACATGACACTCGGAGACCATCAACGGCGTCCATCTAGGACCTCAGATCCGAGTTCTAGCCCCGAATTCCCCGCCAATTCCACCAGCAATGGCGTGGCATAAACCCACCAGCCTCGCACAGGCGATGCAATCCCTCCGCCTAACCTCAACCCTCACAAAACCCTCAACTCAACTCTCCCGAACAACCCTCAACACCCTCCGCACGCGCAACTACGCAACGGAATCCCAATCCGGCTCTGCCGCAGCCCCAGAAATTGACTTCGGCACCTTCATTCAACAGCCCGCCCGCATCATCCCCTCATCCCCTTCCTACTTCTCCGGCAGCCCGCGGTTCATTGACCACGTCCTGAAGCTCGAAGCTCTGCAAGCTAAGCATGCCGCACTCCCTACAGTGCCTACCAGTGAGGCACCACGCATGGCGTGGTTCAAGCTCGCCCAATTCCGTGATTATGTCGGCGAGCCCGTGCCCATGAAGAAATACAAGTCCCTCGTCAAGATCCTGCAGCGGTTGAACCGCATCCAGCCCGATATGGTGCCGGCCGAGGTGCGCGATACTCTCGCTGCATTCTTGCGTCCTGGTAACCCGTATGCGGTGGAGATTATTCCCCGGACGGTTGATGAGAACGGTCGCGCTCGCGGGAAGGGAAAGAGGAAGGAGTCATCGGCTGTTGTGCAGCTTGTTGAGGGCGAGGGTGAGGTGCTGGTTAATGGCAAGAGTTTGGTGGAAGTATTTAAGCGAGTTCACGATCGTGAGAGTGCACTTTGGGCATTGAGGTGTACGCAGCGCTTGGATAAGTATAACGCTTGGATTACAGTGCGGGGTGGTGGTGTTACTGGCCAGGCTGAGGCGATTACATTGGCTCTTGGCCGGGCTTTGCTATTGCATGAGCCTGGGTTGAAGCCGGTTCTGCGGAAGGGTATGTTCTTGATTCCGGTTTTATATCTCCTTTCATTCCTGCCGCAGTTGCTAACTTCATCTTTTTTTACAGCCGGTGCCATCACAGTCGACGCCCGTCGCGTCGAGAGAAAGAAGCCTGGCCACGTCAAGGCCCGCAAGATGCCTACCTGGGTCAAGCGTTAAAGTGGCCAGCGAGATCACTCGAGCATTTTCTGTCTCTTTTTTTGTTTCAATATTGTATTATTCCACCATCCACGGTACCCTGAGTTCGCGACTTGTTTTATATCCTGTACTCTCAATGCATATGGGCCATCAATTCCTAGACTGAGTTGAATTGAATGATTATATCAGCGTGTCTACATCCTTTCCGGGGCCTACGATTCTAACATTTCACTGAAATATGATAATGGGTATGGATTGTGAGTAGTGATATCTTCGTAGCTTTTGGTCTTGGGGCTTCATCGCTTGGTGAAAAGGTCACAGGAAAGATGCCAAAATGGACAAATAAGGTCAGACACTATCTTGAGTTGTCGGGAAATTTTATCTGACCCAAGTTTGACAGCGCAGGTGTGGTAATAGCACCTGTGAACGTGTTAACTATTATGCATCAATTAGGGCAAATATTGAGCGATCGAGCTCTTCTACAGTTTGAAAAAGCACTGCCGATTTTACATATAACGTAGTTCACTGCAATCTCAATATGCGAAGCGTAACAGTAGAAATAGTTTGTTATTTAATATCAAGTAGATCGACTCCGGCTCAGATCCACCCAATCCTTGGAACGGCGTGCTAGCGAGAAATAGCGATTCAAAAGGGTATGAGCCTTTGCTATTGCATATCCAAGCGACAAGCAGCATAGACCACTCGCAAGATCAAAGAGAAATAAAATGAAACGACCCCAAAACCAAGCCCAAGCCCATTTCCAAAACGGGAACACAAAGGTCCCGTTCCATTTTTGCGCCAGATGCTGTTTGCTGTTTGCCGTTTTGCCCACCCCCCAATGCAAAGCCAGTTCGGATCGATTCAATACAAATAGAGATGATAGGGAAAAAAATAACAGAAGCAATAAATAACCACCCACAGCAGACCATGAAACTATGTACAACTCGTCAAATTCGTCATTAGGGTATGGTAAATGTTGTGATTGTGATGGTGGCGGTGGTTGGACAACGAGAATGCGACAATATATTCGCAAAGCCAACTCGCTAAACCGAGTTAAATAGGCGATAAGTATTAATTTGAAAGGAACAGGCGCTGGCGAAGATAGAGCCAGCGAATGATCGCCCTCTCTAAGAGGGGTACGGAAGGTCGATGACCGAACACGGAAGGAGTCGAACTCTCAGCACGAATGCCAGATTGATTGGTGCCCAAAGAGTTAGAGGTGACAGGTTTCCTCTTCGTGATGTCAATCATCAACATCGGGGTTGGCGCGACGCTAGTAGGCAATAGCCTCCCGTGGCGGTAGCGCTTGGGTGATATTGGTTCAATGCGTACCCCGTATATAGTCTCCGATCGTCATCGGTCATGTCTTTCGTATTTGGGAGTGGACCCAATTTGATGCGAAAGTATTTGGATTTTTTTTGCGGTTTTCGTCTGTTTTCTGTTTTTCTGCTCTTCTGTTTCCTCCTTGGGAGATGATTCATGGTCGTGGTACTGCCGTGGCTTCGGGTCTGGCAGGGATGTGGTGAAGGTCGGGTCGACTGTCCATGAGATCAAGGCATTGACCCAAGACTGAATCTGGTATGAGTGGGAGGTACTATAAGTGTAATTGGAGTATAGCGCAAACTCACCGGATAGTATCTCTTCTTCCCATACGCCCATTTGGTAATCCACCAACCCGTGCGGTTCAAGTTGATCGCAAAGTTGAATTAGATCCCGTCCCATAGCATCCATGCGATCTCGTGGAATTAGACTCGTATGCACAGGTTGCTGACTCGTCGCAATCATTTCCATCACCAAATCTTTTTGCTTTTGACAGATGGCCAGCCAACATAGATTGAATTCGCTCCATAACTTTAGACGGTCGTTGTACTGGATGCTGTCATCATGGAGGAGGCCTGCGTATCATAAAGAAAGATTAGCCTCTCACTGTAGACTCATCAAGGTATTAAATGATGCTTGCATGACGCGTGCCTGCATGCTCAGAAGAAACATTAGGGGACAAAAAGAACAAGAAAAAGAAGGGTCCAGTCGGGAGTGCGACTTCTGTGCTACTAGTTGAGGACACTCATAATAAACCGTGGACATTTGTTCCTCTGTCTTCTCCGGCGGGGCAAAAAAAAAAAGACACTGAAATCACGGCGAAAAAAAAGACGTATCTTACCAAGATCCCGCGCATTGGTCACAAGCCACTCGGAAATTTCGAGCAGCGATCCTCCAGCCTCTACCAATCTTCCGGCTCGCGTTTGATCAAAAGTGCGACGCAAGATGCGTTGGTATCGTCCGATGGCCTCCTCCAGGCTGGGCTGATCCGACTGTTCCTGTGACTCTGTTTGGGGCTGGTCCAATCGGTTCATGGACCCTGAACCGACAGCGAAATCAGAGACAGGTGCAGGAAAAGATTGAGTGGTGGTCGGGCGTGGCATGGGACCCGGTTGGTTATAACGCTGGAGTTGCGCATTTAGAAAAGGCGAGAGATCTGCAAGCCCAGACCCTGCAGATTCCTCTGAAAAATACTGTGGAACGAATTGGTTCGACAGAACATCAATGGCTGCAGACTGCCGTGTCTGGTACTGTGGCACAACCTCAAAGTGTCCTTGGGTTGGACCCTGCTGACCGAACCCATACAGCATGCTAGACTCATAGGGTGAGAATGCCGCCGGGTCCTGAGGCGCACGTCGTCGTTGATGTTGAATAGAGGGCGCTTGAGGTCGCTGAGACCGTACAAATTCCTGGGGTTGATAGCTCTGTAAGTCATTCGACTGCAGGGAACCACCGTGAAAGGAGCTGCCTGTGTATCCGTAGTCGTAGGACATCGGGGGTTGCTCCGGGGGTTGCGACATCCCCGTTTGGTCTCCACGTGGTTGCATGGCCGGGTCAAAACGATCGGTTGCACGACCAGGTGCTCTGCGAGCAGCATTTCCAGACCGAGACATTGACCTTTCATTCTGCTTCATACGTTGATTGCCATCCATGAGGCAATCCCAAGATCGGTGCAGATCAAGCTCAGCCCAATGCTTGGGGGACAACGGTGGACTTGCGTAGAATGCCAGCTTGAATTGTTAGATTCTAGGAATTTTTCCACGGAGGTCTTCCCCTTGGGAGGGGTGGAAGGGGAGAGAGAGAGAGGAGGGAAAGAAAGGATGAGAGGTGATCCTTGCGGTTCAAGTAGACATTCAAATCTTGTCCTCTAACGCAGCCGCGACACAGATTTAAGTAATTGAGAAAATAAAACTATACAATAGAAAAAAAAAAACAGATAATTCTTGAAGAAAAAGAGGGAAAAGAGAATTAAATATAATTAGGCAGGGTAGAGATATTAATAAGAGAGAGTGATGGATCTGAAGAGCTAAATTGAAAAAGAGATAGATAGATCCAGTATACAATAGTTTATAAAAAATGGATATAAAGGAAGAAGAAACTAGGGCTTCATAAATTATATCAAATATAAAATAAAATCTCAAGCCCTAAAGCCATATGATCGGCGAAGATCTACACCTAAACTCCATTTAGCGCTATAATCGGGAACCCGGTGCAATGGTTCTTGCTTCCCGAGGGATTTTTAGGGGATTTTTCTTTTTGGGGATTTTTTGGGACTTTTGTTTTATTGGATTTTTTTCTTTCAGCTCTCGAGGTCAGGTGGGATTTCTTTTCTTTTTTTTTTTTACTCTTCTTCTCTAGTGTGTAACACTGTCCATGTTGCCTGGGGCTGATAATGAAGGAGTAAACATGAGACAACATTGAAAACATCCCCTTGCGTATTAGAGTGTGTGGCAAAAGGAAAGAAAAAAAAAGCAAATGTTTAAAAAGTTTAAAGGCAATCAACGGAGTACTACAGATATTACTACAGTAAATAAAAAAAAGTAAACAAAATGAAAAAGGGGGATATGTACATTCGTACATTCCGGGGAGATTAGCCGGGCTGTAACTTGGGGCTTTGAGGCTGATATGATAGCGTAATACGTATTAGTATATAATATAGTATAGTATAGTATAGTATATAATATAATATAATAATATATAATATATAGTTAAGAGTCATCTGATTATCTATACAAAATATAAAAATCATTTCAAATAGTGAACGGACACCTACATACGTCAGTTTCCTTTCCCCCCTTCTGATTGCTCAGGTCTCAAAAAAAAGCAATTATCTTGGACAAAGGTATTTGTTGATTTATATTAATCTATTTACCTTCTATTGTTTCTTTTCTAAAATATAATCCGACAGCCTGGTTAAACTAGTACGAAGATCCGTATATCCGATCCACTCGGAAATGATCTACACTTGAATTCTGTGAAGGTACTTAATAACGTTTCAAACTTCCAGATCAAGCCCCGAAATGCAATATGCGGATGTACGACATCTGAATCAAATTCTCAAAAGAAATTATAGATTAGACCATTGGGCAGATCGGGAAACTCGCGTGTACTTGGACTCCTAGATCACTGTTCTCGTTATATCCACTAGAAACCCGGCACGTTGGATAGATCGGTAGTACAAAACACGAGGAGCTGGTATGTGCTTAGGCATTTGTCATAGGGCGAAAAGGAACAATGATACATTGTTATTGTTTACTGTGAGAAACTATATATCCTTCTAGCCCTGCCTAGATGACACGCCCTGTTTCAGGTTTACAGATCCAAACATGTCAGACAAGACATGCATTAATATCTAATCTTAGACAAAACAAAGCTTGGACTGAAATCTCCTTCTCTATCAATCCCATGACCAAAACTCAGACAAGGGGCATCTTAGGGTAACAGATCTCCCAGCTGAAACACATACATAGGTAAGACTCCTTCTACCCAAACAGACTACTGCTACCAACATACGATGTCTATGTAGATGGTAAGTAGACCGAAAGTACCATGAGACCCCAATCTCTCTCCCTTCCCATTCCTCCCCGTCACCCTTTCTTCCTTCCCCTGCCCTCGTAAATGAGAAAAAGGGTCCATTAAAAGAAGAGAAATATATAGATTCCCTCGAACCACCAATGCCTCGACTTGTACGACTTCTATCTCGGACTGCAGTCCCAGCGAATCTAGTGCCTCGGAATTCCGAAATTACCATCTCACCACGCTCATCCAGTCCAGTTGCCCAGCCAGGAGCACAGACCTCACCGAGACGGGGTGTATAGTAGATAGGAGTGGCGGATAGATGATGGTGAGTGATGGAGTACATGGCAAGAGATGTATATATTAGTGAATGTATATAAATCTGCATAAGCCAGCACACAACACCGCTGTACATGTACATATACCAAAGCTGCATGCCTTTCTTTTCTTTTAATACCGGCGTCGCTATATGCACAGACTCCAGTTGTATGCAGACAGGGATGAGACGGGAGCTCAGGGTCAAGAGAACCGGGAGAACAACACAGCATAGCAGGATGGGGAGTTCGTGGGCTGTGAGAGGTTAAGGCAATAACAAGATGTAGATGCGCCACCTACACCCGCAATGTGCTGGACAAACAAGGATTGTCATTGTGGCTGCCGTACCCGACTTGTTGGGAGTCATCCGGTCCACGAGACTGCAGTCCAGAAAGGAAGATTCGAGGGGAACTGGTGTTTGCCGAGGTTAATTTGTTGCGGGTGCGGAAAATCAGGGTTAGTCCAGATGGGAACGGGGGTTGCCCATGCGGCTGAAACGTCAAGGCTTTGTTTTGGGTACTGGTGTTAGGTGTTAATATTGAAGTGTGGAGATATGAGGTAGGGACCGGGGTGTATGCGAGGAAAGTGGTCGAATTGAGGACGTATAATGGAATGGGTTGGGGTGGTTGATACTGTACTTTAATATACTTTGTCTTTTCACTTCCCAGGGTACCATTATGTACCACCATTGGCATTGGTTGTCTGAGCTGACAATGGAAGAGCTAGAAGAAAAAGGTCATTGAGAAGACAATTCCATAATATCCTGCCCATATCGGGACTGAGAAAATAAACTACAAACACGTCGCTGATCATTGAGTCATGTCATGTCGAGACCAAGAAAGAAAAAGCCGAGCATCAAGAACGAAGAAAACATCCACTGAATATGTCGCCACTCAACCAGTGAGAAGGGCAATCATATTTGATCTGGGCTATAGTCAGCGCAAAGACCTCCAATAAGACGAAGACAAATCGGATCAAAACGTACTCAGTGTCATACTGAGGCTCACGTCGGTATTCTCCACCATATCCGTGAACTCCTCGAAGCTGATCTTTCCATCTTGATCCTTATCAGCCTCCATGATCGTCTTGTCGACGATCTGCTGCAGCTGCACGTCCTTGAGGTTATTGCCGACCATCATCTTCAGCACGATGAACAGCTCGCCGTTGGAGATATACCCGTCACGATCAATGTCGTACACCTTGAATGCGAACCGAAGTTTCTCTTGCTTGTTGCCCTTGGAGCTGAATGCTGACAGGCCGGTCACGAATTCCTGGAAGTCGACGTCACCGCCACCGTCTTCGTCGAAGATGGCGATCATCCTATCATGAAAGAAATGTGTCAGAGACTAGTTGTATATAATGTAGATCGCAGATCATAGGTGGGGGTGTGGGTATGAGTGTCCGGAGCAACGAACCTCGTGGCGAGCGGGTTGGACGAGACTTGAGGCAGGGAGAGGAACTCATCGCGGTCAATAGTGCCAGAGGCATTCTGTAGACTGTTTAGTATGCCAGAACATCTCGTGAGTCTATGCAGCGCAACCGACCTTATCCAGCTTCATGAAGCGCTTGCGCAGGCGATCCACTTCGTCCCGGTTGACTATTGTCGCGAAGTCAGTTATTAGCCCGACCCATCACCTTCATACTCTATCCGACCGTGAAAAACGTACAGTTAGATGTAGACACAATGTTATCGAAGAGCTGGGTGGTACCCACGGAACCGCGGCGTCTCCGTGCATCATGCAGGGCTGCAGCGTTGGGCTCATTAGGGGAGGGCGACTGGTCCATGGTGGGTGGTAGAAGAGGAAAATGAGGTGTAGTGGCGATTTATGTTATGAAGGCACATAAAAAATAACGGTCGCAAGACTAGTGGAACAGCAAATACAAACAGCCAGGTCAAGCAAGATAGCAAAAGAGGAGGCAGAAGAGTTGTTATTGCCAAGGGCCGGGGAATCTGATATCGCCCAGCCCCGCACTAACCGGATCCGGACAGGCAAGCGAGCCCCTGAGGCCGTGCACTCGGCCAAAACAGGCCACCGCCGGCTGACATTACAACGTCAACCCAACCGCTAGCCGTGAATCAGCCCATCTTCAGTCGTCAATAGCTCCCCCCTTCCATCAAATTTCATCTCAAAAATACGTCTACGAGAAAGCGCATGAACAGACCTTTCTTCTGATTCCCATTTTACACCGTCCCCTCCCATGGTCGTTGCCCTACTGCGCGTCCCGACGCTATGACTCGGTACGGGGGCCTGGGGAGGACGCGCCCTAAAAAGCTCACCTCCAAGGCATCCATCCCCGTTGTCCGGGAGTCTGAGATCGATGCCATCGACGATGACATACAGAGCTCTCTACAACAGATCGAAACCGGCGTCGAAAAAGCCGAGGAGTCGGTGAGTCCTAATTTTAGCCTCATCCCTATCCCAACCACGTGACATGATCGCCAAAATGACACGAGATTTTCACCCCAATATAAAATGACTCGCGCTGACCTAGGATCGTGTTAGGAAATTCACCTGCAACGCGCGATTAATGCCACTGCCCAAGGCAAAGTAAACGAGGCACACATCCCTACTCCTGAGACCATTCTCAGTAATCTTCAATATGACGAACTCTACCCCCCCATCTTCTCGCAACCTGCGACGTACATTCGGTTCTCCTCGACCGTCGAGGATTGCTGCGGATGCCCGTACAACATGACAGAGGAGGATGATGTCTTCCTTAAGATCATGAACCAAAAGCGCGATCCATCTGCTGGCCGTTGCACAGAGGATATCTTTGAAGAGGTCATGAACTTCTTTGAGGAAACGGCGCAGCTGAAGCAACCATACGCATCGATCGATAATCCCCCGGTGTTATCCTATGCGGAGATGCAAGACATGATGGATGCCACATTAGAAGATCCTATGAAGATGTTTGCCAAGGAGATATATGAGCACTGGAAGGCGCGTCGGATGGCTGTTCAGAATAATGCGCTTGTACCGCAGCTCAAGGTACGTTACTATCCCATGCCATCGGCTATGCGACATCACTAACTTTGATACCCGCAGTTCGAAACTGGCCAAGATACCGACGACAGTGATCCATTTGTCTGTTTCCGTAGACGCGAGGTTCGCCAGATCCGCAAGACTCGTGGTAGAGATGCGCAGAGTGCCGAAAAGCTCAGACGTCTTCGCAAAGAGCTGGAAGATGCTCGCGAGCTCGTTGCTCTGGTGCGCCAGCGTGAAATTGCTCGGAGGGAAATGCTCTCCGTGGAGCGGCAGCTCTTCAAGCAGCGTTGCGAGGTTAAGGAGATGAAGCGTAAGCTCAACATCAAGGACGACGATGAGGATCTCATCAACCAAAAGGTAAGCACGGCTACTGTCATCGCTCAGTATGTGCATATGCTGACCATTTCGCCACAGCCGAAAAAGAGAGTGCTCGATATGCCACCCCAACGTCCCAATGCTCCTCAACTCCGCATGCCCCTCAAGGCTGGACAAGGCGCAGAGGATTTGCAACTCCTGGAGGATGTCCAGGCCGAGAAAGAGAACGAGATTCTGCGCGATATCAAGCAGAACATCACCAAGCACATCAAGTGGAACGAGGGATACGTGGATCACACCCGTGCACCACTCTCTCCTTCTCCAGAAAGAACATTCGATGCGGCTGCTTTCCGACCAGCGTTCACAGCACAGTTGCCAACTCCTCCATCATCAGAATCATCTGGCGAGATGGATACTTCCTTAGACGTCACCAGCCCGCTCTTCTCCAGAGATAAGCTTGCATCGCACACGATGGAACTGCACGACGAACCACACCGAATGCCATCTTTCCGTCGACGAGTTGGACGTGGTGGCCGGTTGATGATCGATCGTCGAAACATGGGAGCCCGTAAAGTCGACATGGATCCATTCAAGGCCGACCGCTTCAAGTTCGACCAAGAAGATTCCGACGAGGAGCCCGAGTATGATACCGATGCGTACAGCATTCAAATCATGCAACACCGAGCTATCACCATGGCCAAGGCGCGCGAACAGGCTGCAGTGGCTGCCCAGGCTCATGCGCAGGCGCAAGCACAGGCAGCCCAAGCCCAAGCCCAGGCTCAGCGACGATTGCTGGACCAAAATGGTCAGCACCAAGGCGCTATGGCGGCGAATCTCGGATCAAGTGGCGTGTCGGTGTCAGAGACATGACCGACCATTTTCCTCTTTTCCTCTTTCACAGCATTTGGCGGGCGTTTTCTTCGTGGCTCTGTTTTCCCCTCATCTCTTCGTCTCTTTGTCTTTTCACACCTTTTTACCACACTTGTAGTTTTAGTACTCACTCATGTTTCGATGATTTCCGCGGGCGGCGAAGGTTGCTGGTTTGATGCGCGATTCCTCCTCTTCTTTTTTCGCTTGTCCGCCCACCCTCTTCTCACACATCTCTTTCTCGACATTTCGTTTCGACGCAGGTGCTAGCCACTCGTGGTTGAGCGCGTCTGCATTTGTTAGTGTACATATTATTTCTTTTCTCCCGAATCTCGGTGGTGTTGGCTGGTGTCGGGCAGCCTTTGTATGATGGATAACCGAAGTTATGATGCAAGCGACGAATGGGAGGGCAAAGAAAAAGGCTCAAAAACATTCAGAAAATCTAAAACAATTTAATCACTCGCAAAAAGCACTTTTTTTTGTTCTGTTGGTTTCAGTAGAGCAGACTGATATCGGCCGTAGTAAATGGAAAAAAAAGGGAGCAGGCTTTCACATCCTTTGAGTCTTGAACTGTCGTGATTCATCATCATCGCCATTGGCAGAACGTTTCAATGAACCAGAAGTAGCGGGCTGCAGCATGCCCAAGACAGCCTGCAAGACCTCCTTCTCGCCAATGCGGACCTGTAAGGCCATCCGCACTCGACGAGCCCCCTCATTAATGTCACCGGATTCAGACAACGGAGGAAGAGAAGCCCTAAATTGGAGGTCTGAGGCAAGAGATGTAGCGTATTCCGCCTGTCGCTTCTGCAGCGCCCTGATTAAGATAGCGGTTGCGTTTGCGTCCAAAACTGGCTTGGGAGCCCTGTCCTTAGATACGCGCTGCTGGAACTCCTCAGGGGAGAGAGACAGGGTAGCCAGGAGAACCACTAACTCAGCTGGCAAAATGTCTCCCAAAGACGTGTTGGCATTAACGGGTCTGGGGATTACATATCCGTCCTCGAGGATGTCGAGGCTTGAGAGGAACTCAAGCCGGGGCTGGGACTCAATGCTTGCATTCGCAAGCCCTGCGGCCTGGCAGATGGTTTCCAATGACAGCTCAAGTACATCGTAAACAGCATAGTTATCGGTCACATAGCCGTATCGGCGGAGGAGATCTGCACGGGGGATCTCTCCGTAATCATTGAAAATTTCCTCGCCTTGTTGAATTGGCTTGATTGCTTTCATGACTAGGGCACCTTCTTCTTGGTAGAGGCGGGCCTTATAAAAGGATGTGTTAGAATTGGGATTGAAAAAAAATATTATGTTTAAACTCACGTTGTTTCGGTCCGCATCGGCGTTGAGGAGATCCGCGAGCGGGACCATACCCTTGGGAAGCTGCTCCTCCTCTTCGTCATCAGTCATATAACTCTCGTCATTGGCTTCTCCCTCATCCTCGTCGTCCTCGGCCTTTTCGATGTCAAAGGCATAGGCCATGATGAGGGACCCCATGATATGACCCAGTTGAATGAGGGCAGCGTTACCAGCATCGCCCTCCCAAGATGTGAGACCAGGAGGAGGCGGGAATAGATCTGACCTCTTTACCAAAATAGGAGCGATAGAATCCTTAATCGACTCCTCAGCGTTTGACCGACCAATCTTCTCGACAATACTGCTAGCCTGCAGCTCCTGCAGCTCGGCAGGCGACCAAAACATCAGGGTGTCAAAGTGGGAAGGCAAAACTCGGAAATACGGAGCCCATCTCGACTTTTCTCCTTGCAAGTATTCATACATCATGACCAACATTAGGGAAAGCCACGGACCCATCTGCTCCTCCAGATTCTCTCCAAGCAAAGTCCTCAGCTCCGAGTTCTGCACGGTGAGGACCATAGCGCGTGGGATTGAGAATAGTTCTTCGCCATCCGGGATGTTGCTTTGTGCCACTAGAGCGTAGTCAATATATTAGAAACTGGCCAAAACAATTATGGGACCCTCACTTTTTAGGGACACCCCGTAGTCACTTTTGTGTGGAATGGGAATAGATTTTTTGAACACTCACCGACACCACGTCCAGCCCCGGTTGCTCGAAGATCCGCTAGTCTGAGCTTGGGGTTGAGCTGCACACCTGGGCTGGCTTGCAACCATGACATGAAGTTGTCAGACTGTTGTTGAAAGCCCTCGGCATCGGAGAAGTGGGCTGTCGAAGACATGACGGGAGAGATCCCTTAGGAGGAAAAAGAGGAGGATAGGAAGGGTGTATAATGAAGAAACCAATGAAGTGGATACAGTAGGGAAGAAGAAAATAATGGAGAAGAGGGGAAAGAAGAAGAGTCGGGAGTATGGCAAACTAGTCGAGAAGGGTAGCTCGGGTTTAGTTCGGTCAACCGATGGGTGCCGCTTTAAAGGTCGATAACGATAACGAAAATCATATTGTCTCCCGAGCTTCGTACATTGCGTATGATTTTATTGGATTTCATCTGACACTTTCATTGCTGTCTTGAAATATCGCCCATCATGATCGCAATTGGTATGGAAGGCTCTGCCAACAAATTGGGCATTGGCATCATGCTGCACCCCAAGGATGGCAGCCCCCCGCAGGTCCTCGCCAATATCAGACACACCTATGTCTCCCCGCCAGGCGAGGGCTTCCTGCCCAAAGATACAGCGCGCCATCACCGAATGTGGGTTGTGAAGCTGGTTAAACAAGCTCTCAAACAAGCCAAGGTCTCCGTAGATGATGTGGACTGCATTTGCTTCACTAAGGGACCCGGAATGGGTGCCCCGCTACAGAGTGTGGTGATCGCCGCGCGGATGTTGAGTCTGCTTTGGGGCAAAGAGCTAGTCGGTGTGAACCACTGTGTTGGGCGTACGTAATTTATACATACCATGCTATGATATTCGGATTTGGGACTTGAACAAAAATGCTAACACTATGAATCTCAGACATCGAAATGGGCCGCCTCATCACCGGCGCAACAAACCCAGTCGTCCTATACGTCTCCGGTGGTAATACACAAGTCATCGCATACAGCTCGCAACGGTATCGCATCTTCGGCGAGACTCTCGATATGGCAGTGGGGAACTGTCTAGACCGATTTGCGCGCACACTACACATCTCCAACGACCCTGCACCGGGATATAACATCGAACAGCTAGCAAAGCAGGGAAAGCAACTAGTTGATCTGCCCTACGTCGTGAAGGGCATGGATTGTTCATTCTCGGGTATCCTGGCTGCGATCGATGGCCTCGCTAAGCAGTGGGGGTTAGGCGGAGAAGAGAAGGCACGAGAAGATGAGCAGAAAACCGTCGATTCTACCACAGTCGTGGACCAGTCGCTGGAAAGCAAGCCCACACGCGCAGATCTATGCTTCTCCCTCCAGGAAACTGTCTTCTCAATGCTTGTTGAGATCACCGAGCGCGCAATGGCGCATGTTGGATCAAAGCAGGTTCTTATTGTAGGCGGTGTTGGCTCGAATGAGCGTTTGCAGGAGATGATGGGCATCATGGCGCGGGATCGCGGTGGAAGTGTTTATGCGACGGATGAGCGGTTCTGCATCGACAACGGAATTATGATTGCACAGGCTGGTATGCTAGCATATGGGACCGGATTCCGCACCCCTTTGAGTGAGAGTACTTGTACCCAGCGATTCCGCACAGATGAAGTGTTTGTGAAGTGGCGGGATTGATATTATTCGAAGTCCCGTCAAAAAGATATATCTATCATGTGTTATGAATTGAGCGAGTCAGATCCGATATCCTTTGAATTCGGTTATATGAATTTGGAAAAAGTTATTCAACATTCATCACTCATCTCAAGTGCGCTTTCCAGACATTTGTAATATTCTTGCATAAATCCAAGCGCCTGTATAGCTATATGATTTGCCCATGGTAAAATCATCCTCTCCAAACACCAAACACCCCATGAAAGTAACGCCTGAGAAATATGCAATATGTGATGATCTCTTCACTGAGACGCATTGTCCAACGCACATTCATGTGTGTTGGGTAGTTAATGACTGGACGATCTAGTAGTAGGATCTAGTAGTCATTATGGACGAGCAACCCAAGGACATCAGGACAGACAGGAAGCAGACTGGGGCCAATGAGTCGAAGGCAGGAAATTGCTTGTAAATCTTTGTCTCTGCAAATCGGACAGACCACACATGTCCAAGGCAGTATTCGGTAAAAAAAAGGATGCATGCAATTGAAAGCCGCCTATACGTTCGGACATATCTCATTCTGTGATATCGCCAGTTGGTTTGTACAAAATGGTCGTAACATACTGCAGAACACCAGATTAGTTAATCCACGAAATTGTAAGGAAACAGCGACTTACTTTTCTTTTGTACCTGGTTGTCACGCTTGTAGCCAGGACACCATTCTTGATACTGCTTGTGGCAAGGTGGTTAAGGACCGTGTGGTTCGGATAATTCAAAACACTGCTATCGTCTTTCATGGGAGTCGTGCCATTGAGAATTGACTTGCCCAAGAAGAGAGGAAGACTGGGAGGGGTAGCTGTATCGCCGATGACATTGGCAGCCTGGACATAGGCCGGGCTCTCTTCTTCCTTATCTAGGTCGGCGAGGAATTGAGGAATGGCGTCACCGAAATCACCGGGTGGCACCTCTTCCTCGGTTTCTTCCTTCTCTAGGGGGTGGTCCTCGGTATCCCTTGAGTGATCCTGCTTAGAAGAATCAGCCACCGCATGTGGAGTCTGAGCTCCAGACTGAAGGGTCGAGTCCTTGTCATGAGCATCATCTGCACTGATTTCAATGTAGTTGACCAGATGATTAGTGAAGTCGACGGCTGTTGGAAGATTATCCGCGGCGCGCATTTCTCCATCAACAATGAATTTTAGGTGGTGGGTGCCAGGTCGAAGGTTCAGAGTAGTGGACATAACAGACGGATCATTTTCACTATCGAGTGTCAGTCCAGTGCCGGGAACCCCAATTTAGCCATTTGACTCACCTTCTGTGCAGACGGAACTTCTTCTCCCAGTTAACAAACGTTCCGGTAACGTAGACTTTCTGAGCAGGCGCGGTCCATTCGATAACGACCGGAACGGCCTTGCCGGCGCCACTGATGGTGAATGGCTGGAGCTCGTCTAGCAACTCCTCCTCATCAATTGTTGTATGACCTGAAGCCGCGGTATTAGGATCCATCTGTTCATCCAAGAGTCGATCCGCGGGGAGCGACTGGATATGCGAGTCCTCAGGGCCGGCGACAGGCGATCCGGGCGTGGTGTTTGCATCACCAATTGGCAATGGCAAGCGCGGTGGACGTTGCAGGTGAGCCGACGCGCTATAGTACGAGTTGAGGGGCGGGGCAGATGGTGCCACAGGATCGCGCCCCGGGACATGGCGCGAGATCGGGACCTGGACCGGGTTGGAGGTGTCGCGGATTGGGATGTCCTTGACTGGGGAGGGCTCGACTCGACGTGCATCTTGTGGCGGAGGCTTCTCTATGTTCTTGGGTGAGGATTCGGGAACATTTCGGGATTGTAGACGCTCCTGCACTGATCCCTGATATCCTGCCGAGTGCCCAGCGGCTGTCTCCTTTGTGGCTGAAGGGTCGGCCGCGGTAGCCTTCGGGGGAGAGATCGTATTGAGAGATGATCGACGGGCGACTTTGCGCTCGCCTGCAGAGCTATGGTGAGCATGGGCCGGTGGCACATCGCCGACCGGGCCTTTGGAAGGGTTGTTGCCCATCGAAGGCGGGGAAAGGTGTGATGACTTTGGACCGAGTTTTTGCTGGGAGTTGGGGAAAGAAGAGGGTCGAACTAAGTCACAATGGCGGCGTGAAGAAAAACACTTCCGATGCCAGTTTAATGTAAGGATTGACGGTGGGCAGTAATCAAAGTCGATTGATGTCCTTACCTTGTCAAAGTACAGTAGACGCCGATGACGCCGGAAGCCTAATCCGGTAATATAGGGCTTAGGGCTTGGCAGTCAGACCGCGGCGCGTGTTACTAGGATATCATAACAGAGTCGAGATGCATAGATTGATTTGCTACATATGTTCATAATAATCATGGGCTGGGTATCGATCCTGACATATCCTCTGCTGCTCGTTCTTGGCCTTACAATACAATTACTGTCCTACTTGTTGACAACTCTTCTCTTCCTCGCATCGCCAGTGATCTACATCGGACATGTCGTCTTATACCTAGCACTGCTTCCATTGCGTATCCTCGTGATACTAGAGGTATGTAATGAGACAGGCTTCTATGATATCTCATATCGGAATATCGTAGCTCCTCGGTGGTAGCATTTACTAAGCTACGACAGGCATTCATCTATTTTATGACCGGGGCTGTGCTTGTCGGAGCCACTATAGGCATGATCCTACATTTCACCGGCAGTACAATATCGCAATTCCTGCGAATTGAAGAGTCAGATGAGCCAAGGCGGCCTCGTGTGAAACGGGAGCTTCTAGACTTTGAACCCCAGAATCCATCATCCTTCGACTACCTAGAAGCGCAGATGGACGATGGCAAGTTTTTGCCATACTCAACAATATTGGAGGAGGAAGAGAACAGCCAAGAGTCAGGCTGATGTACATATATCTCTCGGTTAAGCCTGGCGCACCATCATATATAGTAAGATGTAATTGACCCTGCCATCCGTGGCGGGCCAGACACAAACTTGTCATTAAGTTTCCAAGAATTACACTAGGCAGTGGAAGCGATCTATCCAATCTTTGCGCGACATTATATTCCACTTGAGACAGGAATGTTCTACAAATCCACCATCTTCGAGGTCCGGTGGACCAGCGCCCCCATATTGCCTAATTGGGCTATATATGCGATCCAGCCAATCACATCATCCGTATCTCTCCAACCATACAAGGTACGATGTGTATAAAATCCTCAAATATATCGTTCGAAGTTCAAAATTCTGTATCCTTCGTTCATCTCCCAAACTCCTATATTTGCAATACCAAGCCCAGCCCAAAATGGTCCGAATCAACGCGTTCGCTGTGGAACAAGTAAGCAACCTTCAAGCCCCATCCTAGGACCTACCAGTTGCACAGAAAATAACGTCTAAAAGTGGATGGACCTCTACGAAACCAGTGCAAAGCACAATCTCGCCGAAACATGCTGCGCGTCCATCTCCCTCAATGACCTTCTTGCCCTATCCCCGAAAAAGGATCTGGTAGACTACACGCAGAAGCAAGTCTACGGTGCGATCCGGGGATCAGAGGTGCTGAGGAAAAACATCGCGAACTTGTACCTGCAACCTGAGTGTACCCAGGCCAGCCCCGTATCTGCTGATCGAGTTCTCGTCACAAACGGTGCGATCCAGGCTAATTTCTTGGCTCTCTATACTCATATTGGGCCGGAGGATCATGTTATTTGTCAGTATCCGACGTATCAGCAATTATACTCTGTTCCCGAGTCTTTTGGGGCGAAGGTCAGTCTGTGGCGGTCGGATGAGGGTAATGGGTGGGGGATGGATTTGGAGGAGTTGAGGTCTTTGATTAGACCGAACACGAGGATGATTATTTTGAAGTATATATTGCCCTTATTGGTTTATTGACTGGACTTTTACTGATTCAAGTCTATAGCAACCCCCAGAACCCCACTGGGGCGATTCTTCGTCGTGAGGAATTGCAGGGGATTGTTGATATCGCCCGTGAACATAGTATCTTGATTCATTCTGATGAGGTTTATCGACCTCTATTCCATTCTCTTGACTTTGATCAAGAGGTGCCCCCGTCAATCCTTGAATTCGGATATAAGAACGTCATTGCAACGGGCTCCATGTCCAAGGCTTTCAGCTTGGCTGGGATCCGATTGGGTTGGATTGCTTCGCCGAACTCTGATATTATCGAAGCCTGTGCCTCTGCTCGTGATTACACTCTCATCTCAGTTGGTCAAATCGACGATAGTGTTGCAGCTCATGCCTTGTCCCGACCATGCGTGGAAAACTTGTTGCAGCGTAATCTTCGCCTGTCTCGGCAGAATATAGATGTCCTTGAGGCATTTATTGAAGAGTATAACTGGGCTATGAAGTGGACAAAGCCAAAGGCCGGGACGACCGCGTTCATCAAATTTGTTGACAGGGAAGGAAGGGCAATTGACGATGTCGTGTTCTGCCAGCGACTACAGGAAATGACCGGGGTGATGCTGGTTCCTGGAAGCCAGTGCTTTGGTGGTGGTGTAGACTTCCGCGGATATGTGAGACTGGGCTATGTCCAGGAACACCAGGTGATAGTTGATGGATTGGAAACTCTGAGACAGTTCATGCGTGATGAGTACGAGAAGCTGCCGCTGGCTTAGGCACTCAGAACACCTAGAATAGAACCAATTCCAATCCAAGATTCGCAAAATAGATGTCCCAGGATAACGATGTTTCGGATGCCCAAAACTTGCTTAATAGGTCTCGTGCCCTTGTAAAGTTTCCCATCCCAAGGCTTTGCATGTCGCCCATACGGCTGTGGATAAATTCACGTTCCTCGGTATCATCGGTTTCACACCCAACACTAAACATGGGCCAAAGGATCAAGATATTTGCCGAAGAGAATGGCGGGATATCTTCCACGGCGGTTATAATTTTCTTGATGTCGTCTTTCACCGTTTTGTCGTTTTTTGGTAGTGTTTGGACTCGCCGATGGAGATGTAATAAAGCAGAGTGAACAAAGGCAAGATGCGTACTCTGCAATTCAAGGGAATCTCCACTAGAAACACTGCATCTAACAAGTGAAGAAATCTCATCTTCAAGCGTCCGAGCTTCTGTCAGGATAAAATGTTGCATTCCAGGCCCAGTGTGGCATCGGTATTGCACCAATTGGGATAGCCGCGCAAGCATCGGAGCCAACTTCAAGGAGTATCCGCATATATCGTCGACATAAGGGTTCAACAGATCAGAAGACCTATCAAGTAGCCCAGGATAAGAGCTCATCACACCACTAGTACCCAATCCCGACAATCCCGCGAGTACATCCATTGTTGTGAACCATTTAACCAAACACTGAATGTACGGATCAGCATTGCGCAGTGTTCCTTGACTATCCAAAAAGGCACTTAAAAGACGCATTACCCCACCAAGATGGGTCCGCCATGTTTGCATATTCCCATTGCATACATCGTTAGTGCATAGAGCCATCGCCGTCGTAACAGTTTCGGCTGTCAGTGCTGCACTCGTTTCACTGAGTGCCAAGCGTAGGCTGGAAATTGACAAGTTCGTAAATCGTAAGCAGGACACCCTTGACTTTGGTCCTGTGTCTTGGATAAGTCGGCCGTGGTGACTGCAGGCAGATGCGAGGAGAGCATAGAGAAGATGGGGCGTCTCTAGGGAACTTGCAATGATTCGTTGCAGAAATAGCGCTGGGGCTGCGGGGAATAGCCGTGGGGCAGTTTCGGTGTTAAAGATGTGCATGAAAAATTGTGATTCTTTGGATGATAGAAATGGAGATATGTTTAGAACAGGCTGGTGGGCGATAGGGTTCATGCTCTGGTCAACACTCTCAATGCGACGATTAGATTCATTCGGCCTTGTGTGAGTGAGTGTATTCTGGTTGATGATATTGATATCATATTTGCACTCTTTTGGAAACCGGGTGCAGCGCGAGCAGATAGGTTTCTTCATGTCACACTGGGCATCACATTAGCGATGTTCGGTTTTCCCAGCAAGAAGTTCATTACTTTGACTTTTTTGCGTCGACATTCCGTGCAGCCATCTCGCCTTCTTTGGAGGATGGAACTATGTTTGCTAGCCAGATGGCTCATGGCCAATCGAATTTATGTAGGTAATATGAAAAAGAGACGTAGAGACGAGAAGGAGTGGAAGAGAGTAGTTCCCACAATTTCCCGAGCTAAGTACCCGATCCAGTTATATTGCGGTATTGTTGAACTCGGATTGTTTAAATATTCTTAAATATTATAGCAATACAAAGATAGAATAGACAAGTATATGTCCTTTTCATGTGTTTTTATTATTATTCAATACTCCGTTTTGATACTTTTTTTGTAGTCTTTTTGGGGATATTTTTCAATGTCCTTGTTACCAGTAAGCATGAAAAATAAATAATGCTGGCAACATCAATAGATGCGAAAACCATGAGCTATAGTGTATATATGCCGGTTTGCAAAGTGCATATGTAGAAAATGCGACAGCCTAGTGAGCCCATGTATACATCCCTGCTAGAGGTCGCCCTACTTTTTAAAATAGATTGGGTCTCACTGCATAGTCAAAAGGACATGCCAAGTACTTCTTGGCTACCAACTTCCATACTTAATAAAATTATACCCTGCTCCTCTTGAATCTTTTCAAGAGATACCCGGACATTTTGTTCTTTGACCCGGCTTTTTATTCACCATGTCATCCGACTCGAAGACACAGTCTAAGTATATCAGCACAAGACAACGGTGTATTCATCAAATTGACACTTGCTAACTCTCAAACAGGTCAATCTTTGCAAAGCCGCCAGTTAAGATCACTGTTGGCAGTGACGCGCGCGTTTACTACGTCCACCGTGGAACGCTTGAGGTTCACCCCGCATTCGATGCCCGACTAAAGGCGTCAACCGAGGAATACGAGGATGCGATCGATTGGTCCGCTTTTGACGAGCAGACCATTAACTGTGTCTTGAGCTTCCTTTACACTGGAGCCTATCAGGCACCTCAAGCGACCTCTGTGGTAGTTGAGGTAGTTGAGGAAGATGAGGCAGATGAGGCAGATGCAGCAGATGCGGGGGAAGAGGCCCCAGCGCAAGACGGAGAAGAAGAAGAAGAAGAAGAAGAACAAGAAGTTGTAGCAGATGAGGAAGTGGAAGCGGAAGAGGAAGACGGTAATGAGCCCAGTGTCACATCCTCCGATCTCGTCGAGAAAATAAATGAGACACTAATCCCATACCAGCCGATGCAGAAGCACCAGCGTCACCAGTTGCAAAGTCACCATCTCATGCTTCATGGCCACCATCCCCGCCTTCAAGGTCCCCTCCGCCACCTGAGAGCCTACAGTCACAAGCTTCATGGCCAAATTCGCCATCTCCAATGTTTCGTGTACCTGCAAGGTCACCGTCCCCAGATGCCGAGTCATCCATAGCCCCAGACTCGCCACCATCTCAGGGCCTATCAGACTGTGACTTAAATGACCGACCCCTGACTCCTTTGGAATACTGTGATGGGGTCACTCTAATCACAGAGCACGTCTCCGGGCAAAACGTTCCAGACCACGAAAGGCAAGGCCAAGACCAAGAAGAAGAGTCAGAACAAGAAGCCGAAGGACACTCTGCTGCCGAGATTTATCTCCATGCTAAAGTCTATTCATTTGCACGTCAACTTGACTTCGAAAAGCTGAAGCAATTTGCTTTGAACCGTCTTGCTCAGGTTCTTGTTGCCCTCGAGCAAACAGACAAGGTCCTATTCCCCTACTTGGTGGATGCAATCCGACTGGTCTATAAAACGACCGGTATTGTTGATGATGCGAGGAACCTGTTATCTCAGTTTGTGGCGCTGCGATACACTACTCTGATTGGTGAGAATTTGGACGAACTTATCACAGAGGGAGGGGAGTTTGTAGTCGATTTGTCGCATAAGCTTGCTCGGAAGCTGACGACCTTCTCAATGGCGTTCAAGAGGGTTGAATATCTTACTCATAAGAATGAGGAGTTGAAAACAGAAAGTGCAGAGAAGGATAAAGAGTTGAAGGCTTTGAGAGATGAAGTTAGGCGGGGACCGGCACAGGGCTTTCCGACTTTCACATATCAGATTTGAAGTTGACAAGTCAATATACATGTAGTAGACAGCCATTGTTCAATGAATTATTGGTTGCGTTCTTATTTCTTTCCTTGGATTTCTGGATTTTGAGCAATATCAATACTTAAAGCAGTAAGGAGGCGTCGAGATAAAAGCGGTCTGTGCATCCAAGGGATAACCTTACAAGTTGAGATTTTAGAACGACATTGAAGCTCTTGTTAATTTCCATATGAATTGTAACAGCTTAAGCGGGTACCCATCGACGTCATTGGTGCGATCGTCGATCTTAGCGTCCGACCAAGCTTCTGTGGGGTAAACAAAGTGGACTTACCTCCCGAGACGACTCCACGATGATCCCGCTGATCCCACGATCCTTTCTACGCATACGAACGCTGTTGGTAACCTTAACACTCACTATTTTGCTTACCTGGGCAATATTGGGATTCAAATTCTACCCCAAAAGCATCTCATCACAGGCTATCACTGGCCTGACACCTTCACATAAACAATTCTGGCAGGAATTCCACGCCCTGTTAGAGAAACACGCGCCGAACACAGAGCCTATCATCGAATATGAGAAGGCATCGACAGAAGGGTTCAATGCTCATAATGCGCCACCACGACCAGATACCCTATACGTCCCGGAGGAAGACATCATCACCATGAAAGAAGCGCATACTGGGTTCGTCAATGCAATCACCGACTCCCCGCCCAGGCTTCCCTACATCCCCGGGACAAAAGGCATAGTCTCAACAGCAGGGGGCTTCTACCTCCCAGTGGTAGTGATATCTCTCCGCATGCTCCGCCGCACCGGTTCTACGCTCCCGGTGGAAGTCTTCCTTTCCGACGAAGAGGAGTACGAACAATATATATGCAATGAAGTCCTACCCTCTCTGAACGCGCGGTGCATAGTTCTATCCAGAATCCTCATCGCCTCCCCGGCTGGAATTCAGAAATATCAATTCAAGCCTTTCGCAATGCTCTTCTCATCCTTCGAAGAAATCCTCTTCCTAGACGCAGACGCCTTCCCCCTCGAGAAACCAGAGCATCTCTTCACGACCGAGCCCTTCCTTTCACAAGGCATGGTCACCTGGCCCGATTTCTGGGCCTCCTCCGTCTCCCCAGTCTTCTACGATATCGCAAACTACCCACCTCCGCCAATGGACCTGCGCCAATCAACAGAATCAGGCGAAGTTCTCCTCTCTAAAAGATCTCACCTCCGCTCTCTCCTCCTCGCAACATACTATAACTACCATGGTCCCTCCCACTACTATCCACTCCTCTCACAAGGCGCCGCCGGAGAAGGTGACAAGGAAACCTTCGTCGCAGCCGCGACCGCCACGCACGAATCCTTCTACCAAGTCAGCGAATCCATATGCGCCCTCGGCCACGAAACCCGCGGCGGTATGGCCGGTTCAGCAATGGCGCAGTTCGATCCCGTGCAGGACTTTGCTCTGACCAGTCGGGATATATGGCGTGTCAAAGGCGATGATGCCCCAGCACCAGGAGTCTTCTTCATTCACGCCAACTTCCCCAAGTTCAACCCCGCTACCATCTTTGAGGCCCATGAGGTTAATCCCGCGTTTACGGACGAGGGTACTTATACGAGGGCCTGGACGATACCGGTTGATGTTATACGCGGATTTAATGGCAGGGTTGATGTCGAGAAGCGATTTTGGGAGGAAATTCGTTGGACGGCTTGTGAGCTTGAGGATAAGTTTCAGAGTTGGGCTGTGTATGAAGGGATATGTGATGGGGTGATAAACTACTGGCGTGCTGTCTTTGGAGAGGACTGATTGTATGTAAGCTACACAGCAGAAAGAATTGAACTACTGTCCTGGACCCAATATGGGCATTATATATGTTTATGCGTCTTCGTTGGAAAGCATAGGTTGAATTTGATCAAGGGATAATTCATAGAGGCTGGGTTGGTGTGCATCAACCGTGGACTCGATTATACCTCAAGTTATCCATCGGCTTATTGCTTTCCAGGGTTCGTTGAAAGATTGCCACAGCCTAGGTAGGTAGCCCGTATGAAGGCTCTTAGTAATCAGTAGACAGCCACGGGGCCCCAGGTGGGTTTTGCCAAGCGGCAAAGCTTATAAGGCTAAGCCACTCACATTTCTGGCCCGTGCGACGGCCTTCGGACTACAGTTAATAGCGAGATTCATAGCGAAGTTCATAGATTGATAAGGAAACAGCCTCACCACGTCACCACTTACAGTAACTGACCAAGCAGTAGGCAACAGGGCCACGTAGTTGTCACGCACCTTATGTGCTGATACCTTCAGCATATTATTTTTCACAGGTATATATAGATTAGGAAGTTCCACTCGTTGGTTACATATTTCGGAGTATCCAATTCATCATCCTTTGATCTCAACAAAGTTGAAATTCACCAAAATCATTATACCACAGTCTCAATCCAAACCACAACATCATCTTCCATTATGCGTGTTCTCGTTATTGGTGGCAATGGACAAACTGGTCGCCTCGTTATCGATGAAGCATTGCAGCGCGGCCACAAAGTTACAGCTTTGGTTCGCAATCCCTCTTCACTTCCTGCCATGGAAGGCCTTCACATTGTGAAGGGTACACCGGTTGAACCTTCGAACATCGAGAGCGCTTTCAACGCAGTCGAAGGCGACCTCCCAACTGCCGTGATCGTCACGCTTTCATCTCCCAAAGAAAAGGGGACTCGAGTTATGTCTCAAGCGCACGAAAACCTCATCGCTGCTATGAAAAGGCACGGCGTTTCAAAGATTGCTACTATGTCTTCATTTGGAGTTGGTTCTTCTCTTGAGAACATCACTGTGCTTATGAGGTGTGCAATTTCCAAGACGAGCCTTGGGTATTCATTCGCGGACCACAATCATGTCGATGAGATGCTTAAGAACAGCGGATTGGAATTCGTATTGTTGAGGCCGGCGAGACTGACTATGTCAAAAAAGGCACCTGTTCATTTCCTTGGTGACGAGGGAAAAGGACTTGGTATTTTCGCGGGCCTTGGAGGAATCTCGAGAGCTAGTGTGGCAGCCTGTCTGGTGGATGCTGTTGAGAAGAGCACTTGGGATCGAAGCACTCCTGTGATATCGAACTGATGGGGTGTCAGAGACTCAGGGTATGGGAGGTTCTATATAGTAATCTGTAGTAATTTTGATATTTTTGTTGCCCGTGCATAAGTTATATCACTCTTCGAGCCTCCTCGGATGTATACTAACTTATATGTCGCTGTGTACACCGGAATTTAGGCTGTGGCCGCGAGTTGCCCGATTATGTAGGGGATCAGGGTCATAAGCATTCCTCAGCACACCTGGGCAGGCAATATGTTGCTTATTAATCAATCCACCCATCCATTCCATCCACTCCATGGATAGGCAGGTCCACCCGTGGTAGGAATCGATTCATCAGCTAAACATGCGTTCGAACAGAAAATAAGATAGACTGCGACACAAATGAGGTCGACCGTGTTGTTTAATGAATTAGTTAGTTAAACGCTCTGATTACGTATTTAGCGATGATCTTCAATCACGTGAAACGAGACTAGCGATTTGTATCCCGCCCAGCTGAAGCAAGCGTCCCCTCTAGTTCCCTAGTACAACATAGAGAGAGGAATTATACCTTAACCAAGCCTTATCTGAACCTCTTCACTTTTACTGTGGAGAATGCCAGAAAATATCGAGCTTGGTAATCAGGCAAGAGACCAGATTCTGAAGTTGCTCAGTGAAGCCGTGACGAAGTTCGCGGAGGATGCACAGCTAGTGCATGGAGAACTGGGATCTCGAAACCACAAAGAATTTGAATGGATTCACGACGTTGGAAAGGAAGCTGTGATAAACCTGAAGTTATTCTGGCAGAATTTACCACATTATTCTGAAGATACATTGCCCCAGTATCTTGATCTTGTTATTTATGACTCCTCTCCTATATCAGGTTTGTTATAATCGAAACCATTTTCTCGTTTGTGAGACAAATACCTGATGCTTTAATAGTTGGGAAAGAGATAAAATCTTTAGAAGCCTTTGCAGTATGGTTGAAAGGAATTGAAAATCAAAGTACCATAGTAAGATGAGTTGCACCAACGCCGCGCCAGTCAAAACACTTACAATAGCACAAAAGGCCAACAGCTTCAACAACCTTCTGTAAGCCATTCTGTTAGATCTAAAGAGACCGTCAACTAAAAGAAATCAATAGGGTTCTGACAATTGCTTCCGAAATATCCACATACCCAACTGGTTTTGATCCTGGAAGAATTCACAGGGCAAGAAGGCTTCCATCTCCGCAATCAATCTTGGTGTATGCAGCAATTTCCTGTCTATTCCTATGCTACGAAGCATTTCGATTGACAGTCGGCGATATGTATTACCTTCTTGCGACTCTCACACTTCACAAGAGCGAAGCTCGGAGGCCTTTGAAAGAATTGTTCGAAGGTAGATGACCCCAAACGCGTCCTACGCTTTGATCAACCTCTGAAGTGTGATAGAGAACATCATTCCAAAAGATTTCCACGTAGGCCATACTGGATCTCTACCGGCAAACCCTACGATGTGGTATACAGTGAACACGAAATCCTTGTGCTCAAACCTGCGGCTTCGGAACTCCACAAAGCAGCTTATCTTTCCAGATAGCATACCTGAGCACAAAGAAAGTTGGCAGTACATGGAGATTATTCAGCCTCATGCTCGCCGTCCGACCTCAGACATGCAATTTGCGATTTGGGGATCTTGGAATACTTCCGTTCAATCGTCATGGTCTGCCATATCAACCTTTGGACAGAACAACGTGGCAAAAGCGTATATCAAGCTGATAGATCATGTCATCATACAACAGCCAGAGTTACTTCGAGGGCTTTCCAATCACTGGCTTCCACTTCTGCAATACATATATATTCTGGGCCTCAACGACTCATCTCTACGATTGCGAGACACAGCTGAATTCCTTGGAGAATTTGTAGGTAAGTTTATGCCAAGTATCTAATAGTATCTGATGTTTGGCTTTTCAGAAATACCATAATGTCGCCGACACCCGCTCCGCAGCGGTTAACGTTTGTTTGATGAAAATCGAGCATCTCAAATACCACCGAGATCTAGTCAATAGACTCCGTATGGACCTTGATAAATTTCCAATGTCTTGGAAGGTCAGCCATGCTCCCGGCTGGGCTGGAGATATTCGAAATACTTGTCAAGTCCTCGAAGCCGATATATCTAAGATCCATAGAGAAGCCATCGAGTTGCGCAAACTGGTATGCGTTTCAAACCAAGTCAATTCGGATCGTTTTTTTATGCAGATAATTTCTAACTTCTTTCAGTTGATTGAACAGCAAAGTCTCGCTCAGTCACGTAAGACTGCCTTGTTGACTCTTATGGCATCATTATTCATTCCAATGGGATTTGTTGCGGTAAGCTCCCAGCTGAATTTCAATGAGTTGAATTCTTACTTTCTATTTCTAGACAATCTTTGGCATGAACACAAAAGAGATCAATGATTCGTCATGGCCCTCGAAATATTATGTGGCCATTGCCTTACCTTTGACTGCACTGACATTAGCGGTACCTCTTTACGCTTTACAGGCTTTCAACTTCATTGCCCGAGCTGTGAAAAACAATCGATTACTGCGACGAACACTAAAATGGGGTCTGTTCACGTTTCAATGGATTTGGGCAATATTGGGTATTGCATTCCTTCGTTCTTCCCCGTCAGTTTGGGCAAGCGCTGCCTGCGTCGTGCTTGATTCATGGATCGTTTTTTCATTTGCTTTTATTTTTCCAGGCATCAGACTGCCTTCAACTGGCCAGTCTAAGAAACACTGGTTTTGGGACAGGAAATGGTGGGTTATTGGTTATATCTTGAGCTTAGCTTGTTTTGTAATGGCTTATGTCCTTTTGGCGGAAATGATCTTTGTTCCTTTGGTTGTATATCCGATGGTGCGTGTGTGGATTTGGTTTCGGTCTAGGAAGAAGGTATGAAGGATGAAGGTATTACTTGATTCATTTTAGTTGGTGTGTTTGGTTGCATGAACTCATCGGCCTTGGTTGTGATGAAATCTTCAAATCGAATAAACCAATTCGGTGCTAACTTTTGCCCTGTCTTCTATTGATATAACTCATCCCGCTAACAAGGTCATATTACCCAGCGTATTTGACAAAGAACCGACCCATCTCATCATACCTGTGTTCAGGAAAGTATATGAGAGAGCACAACAATATGCAAGCAACAGCGACGAATTCATAGATAAAAACCATATGAAACACCCCAAGAAGCATACCAAGAGTAGGCCGTGACAAACCTTCCCATGCGCCCTTGATACTTAGATCCCTGGTCATCTGTCCGCGTTCTTGGAATGAGATCACGGAAACAGCGACACGGACAAAAATGGCATACGCGGGGACCATAGCACCAAAGTACAGGACCCCAAACGTGCCAAAAACAATGTAGAGTGCAATATCTCTTGAAACCATAGTGAATTCACCATCCAAAAAGCCCAATGTACGAATCGCATAGATGGTAAAGTAAAAACACGAGTTCCACGCGGTGCTATATAGCAAAGTAGCCGGGAAGATATCGAACCATATCGACTGATTGAAGATGCGTTGGTGCAATGGGATTCGCGAGCGCAAATTGAGAACGGTATGCACGTTGGCTACCTTGAGAGTTGAAAGCACCAAGTCCAATATCACACTTAAGAGAAAGCACTTCGTAATACTGGTGCCACGGGTAGGAAAAAAGGAAAGAAGAACCCCTTTCAATAATCGATGAAGGAAAATTATTGGCAGGCCTTGGAAATTTTGTTTTGAGAATTTCCACCGTTCTTCCCTTGGTGTTGAGGATGCGATGAATGTCGCAGTAACATTCCTATCCACGTATGCAGCCTTCAAATAGTCAATATGTCATTCAATGCATTCTCTCCGTATTTTTATGAGATAAAAACTTACTAGGAGAAATCCAACTGCTGCGGTGGCCAAGGCTATCTGAAGAAGTTGCACATCTATCGCATCTTTGCGCGCATGTGGATAGTCACTGAGGTAGTCATCTCCAGTGAGGCCAGAAGCCATGATCGACATGTGATCACGTTTAGGTTGGAACACCAAACGGAGTGGAAGTGATGTTTGACCTTGAAAGATATTAGAACCTCCTGAGCTAAGCTCGAAAGATTTTGGGGCTCAAGTCCATTGTAATCGAGTAATGGACTATCATTGGGCAATAACCTAACTCCACTATTTTTGGGGGCGTAAGGCTATAGAATTCATGCTCCACTATATCTTTAGCCCTGTAATACTACATAAGGATTAATTTTGCAAACAGTAGTCTCTAGAGGATAGGCCTGATATAAGATTCGAAAAAAATCGTTTCTTTGATAGTATACAGTATAGTCTATAGTACATAGCCACATCATCTCTTTACTCTACATCTCTCTATTCAACCTTCAATCCATTCCGGCGTGCCGCCTCAACAGCCTCAATAAACAAAGCCTTACAAGGCACCGAGCTACCTAGTCTCGCACAAAGCAAGAATGCCCCGCTCAACTTCCGATGTAGCGAGTACGTCTCCTCAGGCGGCGGTGCGAGCCGTTCCCGAATCATAACAGGAATAAGCGCGCGCACGCGGTCCGTGATCGTCTGGTTACTGAAGTCGTACAGATCTGGCGAGGAAAGCATGAACGGCTCCGCGATCGTTACGATCGAGCTCACGTGGGCATCCACCATCGCTTGCGATTCCATTCCTGTCAGGTACCCCAGCTCTATCGAGAGGTCGTGGCAGGTCTGGCGGTCGTTGCGCGAGGCAGCGATTAGCGTGCGCACGTAGGTTGTTATGAACTCCTCCGGGTAAGCACGGGAGGCACCGAAGTCGAGGAGTTCGAGTTTGTTTGTTGACGCGTTGTAGAGGAAGTTGGTCCAGTTCGGGTCGGTTTGCATGTAGTGGAATTCAGTGATCTCGCGAAGGCAGAGACGCATTATTTGTGTGCCGATCCAGTCGCGTTGGGCTTGTGTGAAGTCTGTGACTTTGGTCACGGCTACGCCGTCTAGCATTTCCATTGTCAGGACTTGTTTGCCTGAGGCGTGGGCGATTATCTCCGGAACGACGAAGACCGGGTCATTGGCTAGGAGCTCGCGGAAGCGGTTGGCACCTTCGGCTTCACGGATGTAGTCGCATTCCCAGGCTAGCTCGGTGCGCGCGTTTGCGATTGTTTTGTCAAGGAACAGCCCCTTTGGGAGGAGGCGGGAGGCTGTCAGTAGAATTGAGAGGTTATTTAGGTCGCTGTCGATCGAGTCTGCGACGCCTGGGTATTGAACCTTTACGGCGACGGGCTGGCCGGTGCTTTTGAGTACTGCTGAGTGAACCTGCCCGATTGAGGCTGCTGCCATAGGGACCTCGTTAAATGTAGTGAAGAGGTCACGCCAGTTGGGTCCGAGGTTGTCGGTAAGGACTTTGTCGCGCTGCCAGGCGGGCATATAGTCTGCGCGATCTTGCACGCGTTGGAGAACTTGCTGGATTTGTTCGGGGAGCATGTTGGAGTCTAGAGAAATTAGCATGTGCATTAGAGATACTAGTGAGCTGAACGATGCAACATACCTTGGATGCTCAGCATCTGTCCCAGCTTCAGAGCTGCGCCGCGCATTTTTGACAGCTTGGCTACCATTCGCTCCATGTTACCAGCACTGAACATAATCGAGCCATTGTCCTGGCTGCCAGTCGCCCGCCGTAAGCTTTCCCCAACCGCACCAAATGCCATTGAGGTCGCTAGACCACCGTACTGCCACAATCTGCCAAGTCGAGAGGATGGTACGCGGGACTCCAGCATCTGGTACGCTTGTTGTTCCTTGGGCTCGCTGACGGTAGCCGCACTGGGCACCACGTCTTCAGCGACGCTGGCCGCAAGCTCCTCCATCTCCTGAGCCTCGGATTTTGGAGCCGCCGGGGAGATGATTGGCTTAGCAACATTCACGCTCGGCTGCCCAGGCTTCGCGGCAAGCTTCCAGTCCCTCTTCGGGGGTGGCTTTCCAGAGATCATGCGCGACACTCTCGGGCTGTGGAAAAGGCCCTGGATCATCTCGTCGGACATCTCCTGCTCGACCGAAGCAGGCTTAGCAGATTCAACGGGTGACTGGAAGACATCCGCGTTCAGTCCATCATTACCAATTTGAGCATCGCCTGCGACCTTCGGTACCTTCACTCTTGGCAATCCCGATAAACCCAGATCCGACCGCAGCGATGGCTCATAGAAGACATCCTGCTGCTTGCTCACATCCAAAGCGCTCGGTTTCTCATTGCCACTGTATGTTGCTACAGAAGCCGGGATTTGTGATTCGGCCTGACGTTGCACTTTGCGGACGAGGTCGGGAGGTGGCGACGCTGCAGCGCTGGCGGGCGGCTTCTCGGCGGATATCGACTCGGGCAAGTCTGCCGGGCTCGGCGAAGGTGGTTGCGCAGGCGGTTGCGAAGGTTCGTCAAATCGGCGTGCCAATGCGGCGGCGGCTTGAGCGGTCAGGATCAGACCCTCTGTTTGGGCCTTGATTCCCTTGGTCAGGGAGGATGTGCGCGTGTAGACATCTAGCTGGTGTTGCCTGATGGCTAGGTGTTTGGCTGCGACCGTTTTGGACACATTGAGGAATTGGAGGGCGTCGAGCAGACGCTTGCCTGACATGGTTGTGGAGAAGACCTTAGTTCATGACGCGGGGAAAATAGGACAAAAAAAGATCAGCAAGATAGTGAATGTCCAAAAACAGTTTAATAATATGAAACAGTCAAGCTGATAGGGAGCTTTCGGACGTGTGCGGCGGCCTCCGACTCGCCCGCTTTTTTTTTTGCCGATCGGCGAGCTTCTCTTCTATAAAACACCCACATCCTCTATACCATTTGGTCCAAATAATCAAAATCAGTTCTCATTAATTCTGTGCTCTATACAAATTACATATACTATACTTCTATCCCATATTTGTTTTAACTACACTATGTTCATCAAAGGCACCCAAGACCTCGAGGCCGAGGTCACTCTCCTCGAGTCGCGTCTCCAAGATGCCCGTACTCAACTAGCAGCCTCCGAATACCCCAGTCCACCCTCCTCATGGACTGCTAAAGGTAGGCAAATATATACCTCCAATGCCATATACCTCTAGCTAACACCCCTAGAATCATATAATAATACCAATAATACCAAACTCACCTCCGCAACCCCCACATCCCTCCACGGCCTCCTCCTCCTCTCAGACTCCGCCCTCCCACTAGGCTCCTTTGCCTACTCCAGTGGACTAGAGTCATATCTAGCCCACAACAAGTCCTCCCGCACGACCGCAATAAGTTCCTTCCACCGCTTCCTCAAACTCTCCATCGCCTCAATCGCAAGCACATCCCTCCCCTACGTGCTCGCCGGTTACCGGCACCCATCAACCCTCGACACACTAGATAATGACCTGGATGCATCAACGCCGTGTATCGTCGCGCAACGCGCAAGTATTGCTCAAGGGCGAGCGCTCATTGGTGTCTGGGAGCGCGCATTCAGAGTTAGCTTCGCGGGGCCCGATAGCCCGATTTCGGAGGACGCTGAGGCCGCCGCCACTGCTATTGATGATTTGTCCGATGCGTTGAAATCCTGTCTCGAGGAAGACGAGGACCTCGGCCCCAAGGGCCACTTTGCCCCGCTGTGGGGTGTGATCTGTCGGGCTATGGGTCTGGACTTGCAGCAGACGGCATACGTCTTTATTATGAATCATGCGAAGGCTGTGCTTAGTGCGGCTGTCAGAGCGGGTGTCATGGGCCCTTACCAGGCGCAGAATGTGTTGGCTAGCCAGGAGCTGCAGGATACGATGATGAAGCGCATTGAGCGGGAGTGGAATACGCCTGTTGAGCAGGCTGGACAGGTTGTCCCTGCGCTGGATCTTTGGATTGGCAGACATGAGTTGTTGTATAGTCGTATTTTTAACTCATGACAATATGACATCAAGTGTCTAGAATATTTTCATAATGGAAGACATTGAAGTCATAGGGGTATGGAAAATCCTCACATTGCATTCGTCATGTTCCTTTGTACTTTTTTTGCTCCGTACACGGTAGTCCTACATGACACAGAAATCTAGAATAGCTCAGCCTCTTGAGGAAAATCAGTGTGCGCCGGCCTCTCATCCAGAGGGAATGACGAACGACGCCCCTGCGCCTTGAGAAACCCACCATTGCTTTGGTTTTCAATGGGGAAAAGAGGAAAAGAAGAGAGACAATAAAAGATGCCCCGAGTTAGGGCTGACCGTGCATAACTCGTCAAACGCCGGCCCAAACCAGACCTGCTAAATCACACAAAAAAACACCACACCATGAACCTGTCCAAATAGGACACACTAAAAAGAGATAGGCGTAAAGAGGCAAGCATCGAAAGGAAGATATAATACAGAAGATTTGTAGGTCGATCAGAGAGTAATATGCATGTGGTCGTTGCTTCCGAAGGATTTGCCGCAGTTAGGGCATTTGCGAGAGCGAGAGGTGAGACGCTCTTCGACGCAATCTTTGCAGAATACATGGCCGCATGTTTTAATCGCCGTATTTTTGAAGTTGCGACGGCACACCGTGCACAGTGCAAGTGTCTGAATGGGGTAAGCTTTGGTTCATTAACAAATGTGGGAATTCAACATACCCGCAGCATTTCATATTCTGAGGATGAATTGCCAAGACTTTTGTTCTTCCAGTTGTCCAAACTCTTCTTGGTATCGGCAAGCGACTGTTTCAAGCCGGCAACCTCTGTCTCGGCTTGTCGCAAAGCAGAAGTGGTGCTTCCCAGTGTCGAGTCCTTGGATATTGACAGCCCCTTCAGTTCGGCAACCTGGTGTTTCAAGCCCTCCGTGATGATGTTGCTCTCGGTCAGCTGCTGTTGAATGGCCCGATATTTAGTCAGAGCTGTATTCAGTGCTTCCCTAGTCTCACTAGCTTGCTTGTCCATGTTGGATACCAATGACCGGGTGGTTGCTTCGGACTCCTTCAGCTGGGCCACAATATCTGACGTCTTGGAACTTTGCATTCTGAGCGTTCGAACTTCTACATCCCGCGCCTCCTTGCTTTTCATTGCAGCAAAGAACTTTTGATCTGCTTTAGACTTCTCCGCCGTCAGCCGTGCAACCTTCTCTTCCATAGCTCCGAAGTCAGTGACTTTTTGCGATGCGAGAGTGGCGAATTTCGTGTAGGCCGTCTGCATCGATGTTAACTCGGTGTTGAGCATGGAGTACTGGCGTTCCAGGCTGGTGTACTTGGCGCGAAGCTCCTCCAGCGGCATATCATTGATGTTGTCATCGGACTTAGAGCCCTCAATCTGTAATCGCAACCTTTGACTTTCGGACTCCAAGGCCGTGATTCGAGCCTCTCTAGCATCTGACAGTTCTTGCAATTTCAGGCTAGAAGTCTTCTTCTGATCTTGGGCGGCCTTTCGCATCTGCTGATCGGCCAGAAGTTCGTCACGGGCATTCCGTATCCGGGCAAGGTCCGTCTCAGCCCTCATCAGCTGAGCTTCTTTCTCGGCAATCGTACTTTGCGTTTCATCCTCCACCTGGATTTTGTATGCGGTTCTTTCTGATCGGTATTTCTCTGCTTCCTCGCGAAGTTGAACATTTGTTGCTTCCAGATGATTAATTCGCTTAACTACATCGTCGTATTGTGATCGAAGGAGTTTAAACAAATCCGTGTGGGCGTAATCGTCATCGGTGAACTTTGAAGACTTGGGTCATCACAATGTGAGCGATAAAAGGATAATGTAACAACGGATGGGCTAACCTTGACTTTAATTTCGGTAACTTGGCCTAGGAGGCTGGCATTTTCGGCTTCGAGTTTCCGGATCTGTTCCTTTTGTTTCTCCGAAATTGCAGTGAGCTTGTTATTGGCTTCTTCCAACTCGGGGTTGCGGTCTCCAGCAGGCGTTCCTCCATTTGCGGGGGATGAGTCTTCGCGGTTTGATTGTGCCGTTTCCCCAGGTCGTTGAATACCCATAGACTGCTGCTTTTCTAATTTTGCGACAGTCAAACTCTTCGCACGATCAAGTTTCTTTTCGGCTACTAGATACCGCAGCGAGGCTTCTTCGAGGCTTTCCTCCAACTGTTGCTTTTCGGCTAGGGTTTTTTCGAGTTCGGCGATCGCTACTTTTTCCTCGGCCAACTTCTTTGCAAGGCGACTCTGGACCTCTGAAAGATCTGCAGGCGCATTGTTTGACTTAGACTGAACTTGAGAAATTATTGCGCGAATATCCTCCGACCGCGATTTCAAATGCGCCTCAAACTGTTCAACGTCTTCGAACTGCAGGGAGCTCTTAAAGGAGTTTTCTGTGACTATTGTCAATATGGGAACAGTAGGTGTGATGTGGGGTTAAAACACTGGCACTGACCTTGGTCTTCTGCTTGCGATGGCCCAAGTAGCAATTTCACTTCATCAATTAACTGTCATGAGATTAGTTGCTGCTCCAAAATTGCTACCGGGACAAAGAAATGCAAAACCTACCTGTTTGAACCACAAATCGATAACACGAAGATGATCATTGTGAAACGTGGCAGCCTTTGACATCTGGCTCAAACGCGATTCCAGTGAAGATTTCTCCCGCCTATACTCTTGCATCTGGCGCAAAATCGCTTCTTTTTGAAACCGCTATCGCAGAAAGTCTGATTAGCATATACTCAATAGGAGACCAAAAGCAAACCTCCGGATCGCGGAATAAATTCAGAACACGAACTTACCTCTAAATCATCTTTCCATGGCATATCAGTATCCGGATGAGGCTTGCTGCCGCCATTAACACTAGTGGCTTGTTTCTTCAACGGCGGAGCCGAGTCATTGCTATCCGCAGCGGGCCTCTTCCGGTCTTCCATCTTGACAAGACCGGGCTCTGAAGACGGGACCGGGGGTTCGACGGCCGGCATCAGTGGCTAGACTGGCATAGGAGGGCTATTATCACCACCGGACCGTCCGTCAGTCAGCCAGACGCAGATCTCGCGACTGTGTCCAATCCTGTCGAAGGAGAGTCCGGTAGAAGAGCAGATGGCTAGTAAAAGAAAGCGAAGAAGTGGAAGTAAAGGAAGGGCGGGTGAGCAGACGATAGAAGGGGTGGGATGGCAGAGATCGAGGAGTTGAAGACAGGAGGATTTTCAACGAGGTTTAGCGTCCGCTAGTGTCATCACGTGATTCTCACCCACTTCCCCGGCCTGGAACTTTTTTAAGATCTTCATCAATCAACACCTTATAGCAATGGGCAGCCATGAAGTCCTTTTCTAGTTCTGCGATCAGTGGGTCTTAACTAAGCTTCAAGTATACCTGTGCTATCTCTGACTGTGTTTGATAGATAAAACCGGCAAGAAATTCGCCCCGAAGGCGCCTATCCGCCGTGCGCCCGCCGCGCCCGCGAGACGACCTAGTGTTGCTCAGCAGTCGCCGGCCGAGCCTGTTCAGGAAAACAAAGCCAAAGATGTAACTGACGCTCATCTGCCACCTTCTCTGGCTGCCGAGCCGGAACCACGCGCAATCACAGAGGCCTCACCAGCATCAATCGCTGCGCCTACCAGGGAACAAACACCCATTACTTTAGCTGCTCCCCAAGTTGCTACTCCTGTCACCACTGTCGCTCCTGCCATCACTACACAAACTGTCACGCCTATTGCTACACCCATCGCCAAGCCGACTCCGATCTCCAAGCCGACTGCTATCCCAAAACCGACTCCGATCCCCAAGCCGGCTGCCATCTCAAAGCCAACCCCGATCCCCAAGCCAGCTGCTATTCCCCGTCCACAAAAGCGCGATGCATCTACCTCCGTCTCACAACCAACACCTGTCTCAACCGCCCCGCCTACCCCTCCTTCCACTCAACCCACCCCATCTCCGGCCAATGTCTCTAGTGAGGCTCAACCTCCGTCCTCTGAGGCACATGGGCCAGAGAAGGCTCTCTTAGAATACGCCAGGATTGAAACCGCGCGGGCCGCAGAACATCTCGTCGATTCAACCGAAACTCTACCTCAATCTCAACCTGAAATTGAACAAACTGCCCCAAGCGATGGTCGACCAACAAAACGCGCTCGAACTTCATCAACTACATCTATTGCGGCGCCAGCTCGGAAGAAGTCTGCATCCGCAGCAGTAAGTCGTCGAGGATCCCAGTCAATCGTGCCTACGATCGAAGATGCAAGCGCAACGCCCGGTGAATCCAACGTTTCGACTCCAGATCCAACAAAGCCCAAGAAACGAAAGTACTCAAAGGCCGGTACCTCGGATCCTGAGGGTAGCGAGAAACCAAAGCGCACCCGCAAGAAGCGTGAACCTACCCCGGAAGGCGCAGAGACAGTAGAAATCTTACCTAATGTTGTGAAAATGTCGGAGCTTTGCAAAGATCTCCGAACTGGAAAGAAGTCCAAGCGTGAGACTGAGCTACGTAAGATTGACAAGGCTGAAGAAGAGCGCAAGAAGCAGGGCGGAACCCCAGGGCCAGGGACACCCGTCAAGCAAACCGAGGCCGAACAGGAGAAGACCGAACAACCGGTCGATTGGAAACCACAAAGCGGCCCTATTATGCGAATCGTTAATGGCGAGATCGTGCTGGATAATACGTCCTTGCAGGTTGATCGTCACGCAGATGCCGCTCGAGCTGCAGGCGATCTCGAAGATGTGGTGGAAAGCTCGTTCACCCGAAAGATCAACCAGGCCTCGTACGGCAAGCGTACAAAGACCGAAACATGGGATGAAGAGATGACAGACCTGTTTTATCGCGGGCTCCGCATGTTCGGTACCGATTTCATGGTGATTAGCAAAATGTTCCCGGGTCGGTCTCGTCGTCAGATCAAGTTAAAGTTCAACAATGAAGAGCGCCGTGATCCTCAACGAATCAAAGACACCCTTATGGGCCCGTCTGAGACCATCGACATTGCAACTTACTCGGAGATGACGAACACTGTCTACGATGATCCCAAAATCGTTCAGCAAGAACTTGACGATGAAAAGCAGCGGATCGAGGCCCAGCACGCCAAGGAGAAAGAATTACAAGAGGACATGCTGCGCAACCCAACTAGTGATTCCAAGGACGACAAGAACGATAAGACGGTTGTCAAGAAGTCGCGCAAGAAGGTGGGGTTGAAGAACCAGGGGGGTGGAACCGAGGAAGTTCTAGGATCGATCGACGACTTCCCCTCGGCTTAAGTCGGGGACTCTAATGGGCATTCTATGAAGTGAAAAATTATAGGTTACGGCGTTTCGAGTGTGGGATTACAGGGTATCAAGCCAGGAGTTTCAGGCTATTTGGTTTGCTAATTGATTTGTTACGTTGCCCTCCCATTGTATATGTACTAGTTCCATAATGGTCACAGGAGGTTACGTCCATTGGTTAATGAACAACCTGTGGCTTTTCTTTTGATACCTTTTCTCCCTCAAGATGGTAGCAAACGGACAAGCGTAAATGTCATATTCATTAGATCACCTACGTCTCGTGGAGCCGAACCCAGTACTAGCAGCCGTAGACGAAAACTGCGGCGGCGAGCTCGAGCTGCCTTCACCTGGGTCATATCGACCAGACCTGCCCCTTGGCATTGTGCCGCGCGATTCATTACTAGACCGTCTCCCCATGTGATAACCAGCCGCAGCACCGCCTGCCGCACCGCTTGCCGCACCAGTCCAGAATCCGGGCGTCCAGCCCTGCTGCCTACCAGCAGATTTAGAGGGATCGAAACTGCTGTATGGAGGCGGAGGATCATTTCCATCACCACCTCCTCCTCCTCCACCACCACCTCCACCACCTCCCCACCCGTCCCGGTCCGGCCTGGCTCGACGATTCCCCCAGCCGAAACATTGCGCCAAGAGAGGCCAGAAGATCAAAGCAAAAACAGCAATGATGAACCCAAAGAAAATCAAGTTCCCAATCACAGCCATCATCTTCTGAACCCCAGTCTCGGGCCGGTCCTTCCCCTTCCAATCCCACTCTGTATCACCGCCTTTCTTCCCAAACCTCTTCTCCCCAGCCTCGGTCAAAAGCAGCCGGTACTCAGCCCCACAACTCCCCTTCAATACCCACTTATCATCAGCATTCCGGTACCCCTCGCAGATGACATCTGTTGCGCCGAGCTTAAACTCCGCTGGCAGGTCTGCGGTGCATGTCCACTGTACGTCTTCGACGTCGTAGTCATAGCCTTGGTTTGTGCAGCGCATTACGTCTGGTTGGTAGAGGTTGCATATTTCTTTTGATGGGCCTGCACAGCTGAGTTGGGGGATTGGTGAGACGCGGCGTGCGCTTGTCATGCGGTGGGCGCGGAGTGTTAGAGTTTGCACGTTTGATAGTAGGATGGAGTCTTTGCCTGGTGGTTTGGGGTTTGAATTGCATGTTGCTGGTGAAGTGAGGAGTAAGGCTGTGAGTGCTAGTTTTGTGAGACTATGCATAGTTGCTTGGTTGGGAGCTGGACAGCTCTTTGGCTTGTCGTGGATGTATGGTCTGTGATATCTGGAAATTTTTGGTTGAGGTTGATCTGAGGTTGTAGTTAGTGGTAAGCACGAGGTGACGAGCGTTTCAGGTGATTAGGCTCCAATGCTATGAGTCAACAAGTGGCAAGTATTTTATGGAAAGGTTTCGTGTCCTTCTTGGGAGTGGAGAACTTGGAATGAGCTATGTTTGCTCTGTTTGCATGGTCTATACACCGGTGCCCTACAATGTAGGACTTTCCTTTTCTTTCTATCTCAAAAAAAATATGAAGAATAAGCTATTATCACGTTGCAACATTGGTAGGAATGCCATTATAGGCAGTAGACGTACAATAATGGCGCACTGGAAATGGGAGTTGCTGGAATATGGTAAAGCGTAAGAGTTGTAAGTTGGACTGCGACAGACACAGTAATGGACACAGAAATGGCCCTAGTCTAGACACTGTGTTGTCGATCATGAAATTGTCTTCATCCGAATTGAAATTTGCGCTATGGAATATCAAATAGTAATCCTTCTAGCCTAATTGTGGGTCTATATCTGGCTTCAAATAAGCTTGATATCGATAGACCCCACTCCTTAAACGCTCAAAATGTCAAATTAGGAATAGACAGAGTGGATGCATCTGTGGATATGGAGGCTTGGCATTGATTGGATACCCGTCGACATCTCATACTTTTCTAATTACCATAGTGCCTATTTTCAGGGCCCAAAAACACTTAGAACACATATGACAGTGTGGGATTCCCCATTATCTGTGAGTTCTCGCCTTACTATCCGTCAAGCACTGTCTGATGATTTGCTTTTCTATGGTTCAAGCTGCGGTTTCCATTTCTGTGTCTCCATTCTTTGCACTCATCGCCTACAGTGCGAGCACGCTGAAGGATTATACGCTTGGCAGAAGGAACTCCAGAATATGAACACTGTGTCTAAGCGGCCAACCATCCAGCAGGCCAAATTACAGATTGAACAAATACGCGAGCAACTAGAGCTGAGAAAAGGCATAAATAATAGCGACGAGCACAGCTAGTCTATCTCCGGGAGTGAGCAGATGGGTTGAGTCTCGCTACTGCTTTACATCTCACTGGTACTCAATATTAACTAGCTCTCATAATTCGAAGTGTGATTTATCAGCAAGGTTCGTTCAGGAGGTCCTTTACACATAATGCAACAAGGATTAAGAGCTATTTACCATGATTGTATGGGCATGTGTTGCTATAAAATTACTTGGCAGCTTGAAGCCACTCTTGTAATTTGCCGAGAGAATATATGTCATGTTCCTTCTCGGAAGTATAAAACACCTTTTCATACCAACCCTCCGTGCCCAAAGACTGCAAGCGTTTGCCGAACGGCTGGCATGAGTCAAAGTCAATCAGCACCGGTGATCCGTTCCTCACCATAATATTATCAGGATTGATGTCGTTATGAGCTAGCCCCAAGGTGTGTAGGTGTTCCACCGCCGACTTGAGAGATTCGAAAAACTTGATTTTATCGAGCTGTTGGAAATCTGACGTCGAGGCGTACTCGGTCAGGTTTTGCTCAAGCCGCTCGAGAGCAATCGACGTGATGTAACCGCGTCTCACATGGCAGCCATGATATCGAATTATGTTTTGGTGAGGCGATTTTGAGATCTGCTCCATGACGATTGTCTCATCAAGAACGGCTTTGGGGAGATAGTTTGTGCCGGTCATATCGTCGTACCACTGTAGGCCTGGTCTTTTTACGTGAACCAAAGAAGCGTCCAGCCCTTCTGGTGCAAGTGTTAAGTGGATATCGGTGGGTATCTTTGGATAGATGTCTTGATCCTGCACGCGTTGCAGAGATGAATTGAATTCTGCGATGGCCATTTCGCGCTTGTTCTTTGTGGCGTGACCGAAGAAAACCTCCTCATCTTCCGTAACATAGTAGAAGGTAGTGGATTTCAGCTTTCCATCGCTCCACGACTCAACTATGATTAAGTCTTGGAGTGATTTTACTAATGGTGGGGTTTGACCAATCTCCGTCTCATTCCCGGTACTAGCTTTCACGGAACCCATAATCGAATGGATGTGTATAAGAAGTGATAAAAGAAGAGAGAGACAAACAGATTATCGAGTTAGGGTTTGTATATCAGCCTGCTGTGCCTTGGAAGTGCTGAGAGTCTCAGTAGATCTCAGCACAGGCTCCACTTAGGAAGATCAGTGGAGAGATCACGTGGAGAATAACTAACCCCGCCTGTCAATGCTGACTATACCTAGAAGGGATTAGCGTTGGTTAAACGCATAGGACACAGGAAAGGACAGAGAACTTCCATTTCACAATATTTACTTCCGTTTAATCTTCTAATTGATACTCATATCTAATATTCTAACAGAGAGGCTATTGTATATTAATTCACGACTTCTGTCCTAGGAGACTAACTAGAGCTTTAGCACTTGAATGATTGGGCCTTCTTCATTCAGGTGAATTGCATCAAATCAGCTCGCAAATCTGCCGACTTAATGTTGGTAGAATCAGGCCTCGAATACTGTAAACAGTAGCCGTTTCTATCGGGTAGCTGTTGTCCACCCCGGTACAAATCCACGGGCTTTATATATTTGACTCCCTCGTTAATACAAACACCGGAGATCAGCTTCATGTCCGAGCTCTGTTGACAGGGTACCCCAAATTAGTGACATTATCCATGCAATTCTATAACTCATGCTCACCCGCACGGCCAGTCAGGAAGTTCATTGCATCGGAGTCCGCGATGAGTGCCCAAATCGAACGGCGTATGTCCCGTAGAGACATCCATTTCATCCTTGCAAAATGATATACTGTCATGTGATTTATCAAGTCATCGATGAGATGGAAGAGACTACGGCTAAAGCACATCCATGAGAAGGCCATATCTGATTTTGCATGCACCTAACATACGCAAGTATACAGAGCTTCCCGACGACTTTTGCGAGAGTGTGCTTCAGAAACTGTTAGGAATAGTCCTACACGTGTCTAGAGCTGACCAGACTGCGTTAAAGAAGGTCATGTCACCGGTTGGGGGCATGGGGCTTATTGCTTAGTTTCTAATCTGGTCGAGGACAAGCAGAAAGTAAGTCTTGGATTTAGGTGAACGTATTCAGGAAGTGTCGAGAAGAGTGTTAGATGGCGTTTAGTTTGAACCTTCAAAGGAAGAGACTTATTAGTTGTACAACAATAAACCGGGCAGTGCCGTTTTGATGCTTACCTCCATATGTATTCCATTACAGTAATTTTCAATTATTGAAACTAGATAGCGGAATTCAGCCACATAAATAATAGTTACTAGTATTAATCTTCCAGAAATTCAAGAGATCCAGTATCAAATATACTACATGTATACCGAGTAAGTAAATACCCTGAAACTCCCTTCCCGGCTCTACCCCACCTCCAACCACATACCTAGGTATATAAGACAATAGACCTACGCGCCTCAGAAAGTCCACAAAAAAGCCACCCAAAAAATGGAAGAATCCCTCGTCCTCTCCAAATTCGACAACCTTGTCCAATCTGGCCTTGTTCTGTACGATGACAAGCAACAAATAATTGAGCACATTGATGGTGACCTCAAAGTACTCATCACTTCCCTAACTATAATCCAAATCAAGTATCTGCTAACTCGGTTACCAAGTTCCAATTTGTTCTCACTTCTGCTCTCGCCAAGAAGCCCACTCTAGCCACTGCCCAACCCCAGCCCGAGGCTGATACCCATAGACTCGAAAAGCGAGAAGGCAGCGATATCAGCACCACCGGGTTCGAACTTGGCACGCTAGGGAGCCACTTTGTGATCGTGAACAAGTTTTGCTTTGCGCGGCCCCACCTCATGCTTCTCACGTGTGATGGATACAAACGACAATACGAGGCGCTCGACGAGGCAAATCTAGACGGCATGTGGCGTATCTTGGTCTCCATGGAGAGAGATTACGTTGCATTTTATAACTGCGGTCAGAATGGGGGTTGTAGCCGGCTGCATAAGCATATGCAGTTGATGCCCTTGCCAGCAAACAGTTTCGCGGCGTTTCTGGAATCTCCCGAGGAGTCTGAAACTAAGGTTCCATTTGAGTGGTTTTATCAACGCTTTGAGGGTGATGTTGACCCCGCTGTGTTGATCAGAACTTACAAAGATCTGCTCGAGAAGACTACGAAAGTGGGCGGACACCATACGGCGAATGTACCCGGAGCAGCCTGTCCCCATAATATGATTCTTACCAAGAGATGGATGATCGTGCTGCCAAGAAGACGAGGCGGGATTAATAAGGAGGCTGGGGTGAATTCATTGGGCATGCTGGGGGTTATCGCGGTAGCTACGACCAAGGAGATCGACAATTGGATCAGGCTGGGTTTGACACAGTCCCTGGCAGAGGTGGGGGTGCCCAAGGGGATATGACTTCCAATCCCTTTGCGCATACGGAGTAGTACCGCGGAGGTTGCGCCAGAATGAGTGATATGTCAGTAGATATATAGATCAGTCACATTGACGATAATGTCACATTGGCCAAAAGGCCATTGATATATCGCGCTCAGGCCGGTACACTTACTTTATACAACATAGCCCGGGGTACATAATGTACTCAGTGAGCAAATCAGGGCACTCAGGATGATCAGTGGATAAGTTTAAATTCTTTAGAGGCAGGCGGTCACAGGTGGCATATTAGCGATAAGAGATATGCGGTTCGGCCAAGCCAGATCCGATCCGAAAGTTCCAAGGTTGGAACTTCGTCGTCTGGGGATGGCACCGTGAATAGATATTGTCAACAGCTGCTGACAATGGCGCTCCAACAACGTGAGTAGCGATACCTCCAAGGTTTGGAATTGGTGTGCTGATAATAATGTAGATGAGCCCGCGCCATTCGCGCCTCAATCCTCGTATGCCCTTTGCCCGTGGAGTGGACTGTAGGAGCTTGCTAACACCTTCTTAGCTTATCCTTTACCCAAGGGTTTCTTCTCGGCCAGCTCTCAGTGGTACTCCTGATTGGCGCTTTTATCAAGTTTTTCATTTTCGGTGAAGCGCCTCCCCCTCCGTCCCGGGGCATGTCAAACCGCACAACACACCGCCGCTACAGCTCGGTGTATAACCCCCCTCAAGATAGCCAGAAATCTTTACGAGAAAAACCGTCCACGTCAAACGTTCTTCGTCCCGTACCTTCTACCTCCACGAACACCCGCTCAATCCTCCGCAAAACCTACTACAGTGCCATTCCTACCAACCCTACTAGCAAACATGGTCGACACCGCATGCATCACTCGTCGCATCAGCCCGAGTCGCTGGACTGGTTCAATGTGCTTATTGCACAGACAATTGCCCAATACAGGGAGACGGCCTATTCCCTCAAGGACTCGCCCACTTCATCAATTCTCAGTTCCCTAACGGCAGCTATGAACAACCCGGAGAAGAAACCATCGTTCATAGACAAGATAAATGTCACCGATATCTCACTAGGTGAAGAGTTTCCCATTTTCAGCAACTGCCGCATCATCGCCGTTGACGACCCTATGTCGGACGGTGGACGGCTACAGGCGCTACTGGATGTCGACCTCAGCGACGACAACCTTTCTATCGCCGTCGAGACGTCTATGGTTCTAAACTACCCCAAACCACGCTCTGCCATCCTGCCAGTAGCGCTATCTGTCTCGGTCGTGAGATTTTCCGGAACACTGTGCATATCCTTGATCCCAGCATCGACCGAACCACCAGAACCACTCCAAACGCCTGCTGGGTCACCGGCGCCTCCCACATCAGACCCAAGGTACAACACAGTGAATCGACCCTCTAGCCCCGGAGAGCAAAATACCTCGCAAGACCAGCTCCCACCAAAAAGCAGCCCGAAAAGCAACGTTGCATTCTCCTTCCTCCCGGATTACCGCCTAGACCTCTCTGTGCGCTCTCTCATCGGATCTCGCAGCCGACTGCAGGATGTACCGAAGATAGCCCAGCTTGTCGAAGCGCGAGTCCACGCATGGTTTGAGGAGCGCGTCGTCGAGCCTCGAGTCCAAGTCGTCGGGCTTCCAGATCTGTGGCCGCGCATGGGCAGAACAGGTGTCCGACCCGGCGAGGAATCGGATGCCGGGTCCACGGTACCACCGCGCAGTGCCGGTTCTACCGAGGCATCAGGACCGCCTGTGTTCTCCGACGATCATGGTCGGGAGCAGGAGGGTCTACGTTTCCGTGGGGGACTGGATGCACGGCCAGGGCTTCGCGCTGGCGCTCGCACGAGTAGTTTCAACGTTGATATGGGTGGCTTGCGCAGCTCGAGCATGACAAGGCAAGAGAGTGCCGGTGCTACGAGCGAGCATTTTGATATGCCTGGCGCGATGCCAGCGGGGACGCCGGTGGGGACGCCTGGCATTCCAGACAATTGATATAAGTAAAAAGTGTCTTTTGACCACCTCTACCCACTTATGTATGGGTTCAATTGATTTACTGTGGGTGTGGTCCTCATGTACATTTTAAGCACCATGCAACAGAAGTGGTATAAGATAATCCCGAGAAATTCCAATTTTCAATCGTTCAGTAGTATATATGTAAAAGGTTCCGTCATAACGCATCTCAAGATCAAAGTGGCCCATCCTAAACAGCCGCAGTAGGACTGAGAACATTCTCCAGATAGGTCTTCCGGTGCGGGTTGGCATCAACCTCGGCACCACGGTTCAGCGGTGTCCACTTAGGCTCGTCTTGGAAAAGACGCATCGCCTTAACGTACTGCAGAAAAGGTCAGTCACATAATCCACAACTGCAAAATCCGAAAAAAACATACGTTCTGCTCATTGGTAGTGAACCGATGATAAATTCCTGCAGGAAGAATAATCATATCCCCCTTAACAAGACAGATACGAATCCACTCGTCCTCCTGCCCACGAACATCGAAGTATCCCTCGCCATCGAGAATATACCGAATCTCCTCGTCCTCATGCAAATGCTCAGAGAAGAAAGACTTAACCTTCTCCTCGTACACAGCACCCATCGTTGCAGGTGACACACAGATCTCATCACGGTTACGGTATCCGCGCTCCGCCGCGATGGAGTCCACTGCTCCAATAGTCGGGCAGTGCTTGTACAGCACACCTAGCGAGGCGAGCTTATCTTCTGACACGGCACGGCCGGAGTCATGTGGCTCACGCTGGTCGCCCTGTAAACAAATGACATCAGCATTTGTTTTAGTCTAGGTGGGCTGTACCTGAAAATGCTTGGAAAGTTGGGTACGGCCAATTGGTGTGTATTTACCTCAATATTGTCGTACCAGTATGCCTTCATTTTTGAGTATTGTCTCACTTGTTGAGTCGGTGGATTTAAAGACGTAGAGAGGGGTTCGTCGTAGGAAAAAGATGATCAGCGTTGTACAACTTAAACATCAGCAGCCCCGCAATTGGTCGATGGCGCAAACTAGTGACCGCCCTCGGGGTTAGCGGTTATAAGCGTAATCACGTGATGAAATACAATTTTCCTTATCGATTTGATCTGATCTTCGCGCTTGTACCTGTTCTTTTTTAGTAAATATTTGCATTACACTCCGCTATGGCTTTTCGAGCACGGTCGGTGGCTCTGATGCATCGGGGCCACGGGCTCCGCTCATTTATGGGCCGGAGTCGTGGTTTCGCGACGGTTACAGATAATACACGGTTCATGATTAACCCCTGTTGCCATGAGTATTGCTAATTAACCCGTTTATAGACCATACGACGTTATTGTTATTGGAGGAGGCCATGCTGGATCTGAGGCATGCGCGGCTGCTGCTCGTTCTGGCGCACGCACTGCGTTGGTCACGCCCTCGCTAGAAAATATCGGTGTTTGTTCGTGCAACCCTAGTTTCGGCGGCATTGGAAAGGGAACTATGATTCGCGAGGTGGATGCGATGGATGGCGTTGCGGGCCGAATCATCGATAAGGCTGGTGTCATGTTTCGAGTCTTGAACCGCTCTAAAGGGCCGGCAGTTTGGGGACCGCGTGCGCAGATCGATCGCGATCTCTACAAGCGGTATATGTCCGAGGAGCTGGCTGGAACGGAAAATCTGAGCATTGTGGAGGGCAAGGTGGCTGACATCGTGCTCTCCACGGAAGGTATCGAGAGCACCCCTGGTGCACAAGGCAAGATTGTTGGTGTGCGGCTAGAATCCGGGGAGGTCATTCCTACTGGTCGTGTGGTTATCACTACGGGGACATTCCTGGGTGGTGAGATCCATATTGGAATGGATGTATTCCCTTCGGGGCGCATGGGCGAGGCCCCTACATACGGTCTCAGCAAGTCCCTCCGTGAAGCTGGCTTCCAACTGGGACGCTTGAAGACAGGTACACCACCGCGATTGGACAAGAAGACTATTGATTTTAGCGCCCTCGAAGTGCAAAAGGGCGACTCGCCGCCTCACCCTTTCTCCTATCTCAACAAAACTGTCGCGGTAGGGGATGAAGGCCAGCTTACCTGCTGGATGACCCACACAAATGAAGCTGCCCATGAAATCATCCGCGCCAATCTCGACAAATCCATCCATATCCGTGAGACTGTGCGTGGGCCACGATACTGTCCATCCCTGGAGTCAAAGATCATTCGATTCAAGGACAAGACTCAGCACCAGATCTGGCTCGAGCCAGAAGGCTTCGCACCAAACGATGTCATCTACCCAAATGGCATCTCAATGACCGTACCCGCAGACGCGCAATACGCCATGTTGCGAGTAATCCGTGGTCTAGAGAACGTAACCATGCTCCAGCCCGGATACGGCGTTGAATACGACTACATCGACCCACGCAACCTACGACCTACACTAGAGACAAAACTGATCAACGGTCTCTACCTCGCCGGCCAAATCAACGGCACAACAGGCTATGAAGAGGCAGCTGGACAAGGCATCATCGCTGGCATGAACGCTGGCCTTGAGTCGCAGAACCGGTCACCTCTCACCCTGACCCGGTCAGACGGCTTCATCGGAATCATGATCGACGACCTCATTACCAAGGGCGTCTCGGAGCCCTACCGCATGTTCACGACGCGAAGCGAGTACCGCATCTCCACCCGCTCCGACAATGCTGACCTACGTTTGACTCGCATGGCACGCGATGCCGGCGTCGTCTCTGACAAGCGTTGGAGCCACTTCTCCGACACCGAAGCGCAGATCCTAGAGCTGCAGACTCTGCTTAACAACACAAAGCTCTCGTCATCTGCGTGGTCTCGCAAGGGCTTCAAGGTGCGCTCTGATACCTCAATCCGCTCAGCGCTCGATATCTTGTGTCTAGACGGCGCCGATATCAACACCCTTATTCCTACCATTGAGTCTCCTACGGGCACGGCATATACCCCATCTTCGTTCGCGCCGGAAATCCTCACCCGCGTTGCCATTGAAGGCCGCTATGCGCCGTATCTGAGGCGGCAGGAGAAGATGGCTGAGCGGTTCCAGCAGGATGAGAATTTGCTACTGCCGGCAGATTTGGATTACAGTATGGTCCACGGCATCAGCAATGAGGAACGACAGGTCCTTGAGCGTGTGCGGCCTGTCAGTGTTGGCATGGCGAAGCGCATTGAGGGTGTAACACCTGTTGGTGCTTTACGGTTGCTGATGCATGTGCGGAAGGGCACTGGGTTTTCTAAGGAGGTTGATGAAGACCCTGCTGTTGCTGACCTCCTCCGTTCATCACCTTGATTCTTGAGTATATGGGTATGGGACTCTCTTTTTTTCATGGATTGGCATAGCGGGAGCGACTCGGCGCTGGATGTGCTTTGACTGTACAATATCACATGTATATTATTCTTCAATGTGCATATTTGCATTGTATATTTACATATATCAAGCTAGGCATATGGCATATATTGACAATTCTCCAAGTACTCTTATGATTTTCTCCAAGCCACATTAAAAGTATGAAAGTAGAGTTTGTCCAGATAGGGAAAACGGTCTCGAAAGAGTCAAACCCTAAGCACAATCCAAGTACCCAAAAACAAGCAATCCCAACCCCATAATCCCCAAAAAGCACGCGTGAAAAAGCAAATAAAAGGATAATCGAACCCTCGGGCCCCAGGCCCAAGCAGACTCCAAGTTTGAAAATCAGCAAGGGGCATTCGCGACAGGGATGTACAGAAACCGGGGGAGCACCTATGACCAAATTGGGACAGGCTAGAACAGGAAACTGTGATCATTCTCTATATACATTGATTTTTTTCGAAAATGACCTCGGTGATTTAGAAAAATCACCAGCGCACAAACCCTCCCATCTGGTGATCTTGATCGCAGCGCGTATCCGCGATAACCTTCCTCGTTTAGATGTGACGAACAAAGCCTACCTATTCGGGCCTCGTACATATTAACCTCTGCAAGCCCATCCAATCCACACCAGGAAGCTTGTGCACTGATATTATTGATGTAATGAAAAGGAAAAGGTGGCGTGCATAAGCCGTTGACACCGATCTGATCTCACTCTGTTTTCCAAAACGGTTGCGTGAATCGCTTGCTGTGCGATTTCAATTGGTGTTCCGCTCATCCGGTGCTGTGATGTATGTGAAATCACAAATCACATCTCCGGTGACCCCGCGGAAGAACGGGGGGCGCTATGGTGGTTAGCTGAGAGGGTAAATGGTGGATCGCCGAGAGCGTTCGATCTATCGAATTGATGCATCTTGGCTTGCTGCTTTGTAAGCGCTGTGCATCATTCTCTTTTTTCTTTTCTTTTTCAGAGTACGTATTGAGGGGTCGGTGTCTCTCGGGTAGGCGGCTGGATGGGGGTTGCAAGGGGGAATGCGTCCTTGCTTCTTAGCGCGCTTCTTTGTGTAAGTGATCAAAGCCATGCAGATTTGGATTTGGGCTGCTATAATCGTTACTAGTCAGTGCTTACTGCAGTACATGTTGGATTCCTGTATGTTGTATGGAGTAATCTGCATAAGGTAAAAGCTATAGAGTACTCCGTACATAATGCACAGTAGCACGATCATCTGAGATAACTTGGCAGCTGAGAAAGTCTTCTCCTGCATGGTGAAGAATGCAGATGGTGGGTCAACCGAAGATGTCAATATTTTGCCTTCTAGAATGCTGGGGACTGTCTTGCGAACTGTAACTTGGGACTGTGGTCGTCGCAAAGCTCCGTATATGTGCATAATATCCGCGTTCTTGGCCTCCACATAACGGTCAATTTATAAAATATTAGTAACAACATAGTGCTCGGCGCTAGGGTGACGGTGTATGCCGCAGTGCGGTGGGTGGTATACCGAAGCCCTAAATCGGATTACCTGGTGCATACTCCGTACGGAATACAACATGCGACGTAGTTCGCATCCCTTTTTTGAATCAATATCGGGAGTCAACGTCGGGGAACATAGCTATATAGTGGAGCCCGAAGTCATGATCTACGACGGCGACCTCCTACGTTGTACATTCTTTGTTCTATCCTGCGTTAGACGGATAGCCACGAATGCCTTCCTGGCTAGATTCAATCGAAAAGAAGACATGAACTGTCGGCGCCCGCCATTTATCATTAGACTCAATAGTGTCTTTGCAGATCTTGAAATTCTCATATTTGTGATTTTACCCGACTGATCTCATAGACCCCGATGCTTTACGCCACGATGTTGAGGATGTCCACAATGCCGATGCATAGCGATATATGGCGATATATGGCGATGTCTCAGGTTCCGGTACTTATTGAGGGACATTCTATATAGTAATATGCAGGACTTCTCTCCAAAGCTTCATATGAATAGAGTAATGTGATGTCATAAGCTTAGTGACGCTGATACCGTCCATATGGCCATCTATCTGGTTTTGTTGGCGGTTTGCCTTGCAATGGAGTAGTCTAGTTAAAGCCCCTAGCGAAATATAACACAGACATTCCTTTATTTAAGGACATCGCACGACCCTATATGGAGTAGTATAGTGATCTCTAACTTTGATAGTGGGTCGTTTCGGTAGTTTGATATACCTTGATCAGATCGTGAAGTATGATCCCCATAACTACTCCGTATACTCCATATAATTAGGATCAGGGTTCTATGTTCTCCTCCATGATCTGTTCCCTAATCCTTAAATTTCTTAAACCTTAACCTAAAGGTTAGGGTACCTCGGCATTCTATTGCCATCAGTTGCCGGTTGTGGAGTCTTGCTCTTCCCAAAGGGGAAATAAGAAGAGGAGAATGGAGGGAGATACTTTTCTTTTTGAACTGGCCTCTTGGGGCTATCATGATAATCTATGTCATGATATACAGTTTGACGTTTGTAGGGAATAGAGTGAGATCGTTCTATATACGGAGTAGTCTGTATAGTGGTTGGAATTAAGGATCGAAATATATCCATACACATATAACCAGGATGGATGTCTCATTTATCTTGTTTCATATATCCGGAAGAGCCGAAATAACAGAAACAAATCAAGGAGTTCTAATTGTGAAACGACATCTAATGGTCGCATTGTGTTAACCGAATATCAGAGCTAGTGAGTCATAACATCCACGGGAAGCTCTAGCCGTGAAGGGCCGTTCAGTACTCATATTATATAATACGACATACAATTTAGGTCTACAATTCTAGAATGTACTGTAGTTTTCAAAAACAAGTAAAGAAGTCACACAAAATCAGATACGAGCCGTAGTGCTGGGACAGTGATCCCTGCCGTCCTTCTGACCACATGGGCGTTAGTGTGTGACACGCTAACATTAACTACTGGAAATTACCTTGGCTTCGTTTCCACCCGATCGGCTGGTTTGACACGAGGGTCACGAGTTCTGATATTCCTTGGTATACGAGGTGGAGGCAATGCTTGGTACGGAGTAGAGAATCCAAATGATATCTTATTCCATGTCTCTCATTATTCGCCTCTTTCCTCCTGATATGGAAATAAGAACTAGACCATTGTTCAAGCCCGATCGGAGTCCACCGATCTCCCCCCGAAATGGAATAAATAGACGATCACGATCATGATCCTCTTTGAGAGCAAAAGCGTTTCCACTTGTTATATGTACACGTCATCTGACATTACTTTCAACCTACTATAACATACAATATACTTACTACTTAAGCGTTATTGCCCTGACATGATTGTCGGCCACATTACTCTTGTACTACAGATACACAGGTTCAAATCCAACCAATGAAGCGCTGAGTTCCAATCTTATAATGTTTGTTGGAGGTGGGAATTTTAACAATAAAGGTAAAACTTAAACAACCAATAGATAATCGAGAATCAGAATCAGGGGCAAAAAACGCCGGAGTTATTCCGTTGAACCTAGGCCCTAAAAACAGTCTTCGGGGTTGTAGACGGATTAGGGAGGTAGTACCATTGCCCTTGTTCATTCCCCCATGATCTCTGTGCGAGGCTGTATATAGGGACTTGTGCTTGTGGCACGGTGAATAGTGGTACTGGGAATTTGGTGCATGTGTGGATGCACATGCAATGCACATCTCTGCATTGTATGTTTTATTGTATAGTATCTACGGAGTATACGGGAGTACAGTTATAGTATTATTGTTTCAGATAGATGTCTATGTTGTATATCAAGCTTATACGGAGTTAATATAATAAAGATATAAATTAGTTTCGCCGAGCCGCCGAAGATGAAGCTACAATCCTCCGAGACCACAAAGCCGATGGACCAAACCGGATCTTCGTTTGACGCCAAGTTCCTTAATGATGATCGCCCCTTAGTGTTATACCCATGAAAGTTGCGGGATTTCTTAGTTTGATCCAAAGGAAGCATAGTACGAACGCCACCGGGACTAGTGTGAGTTATTTCTGCTTGGGCTTTTTTCTTCTTCAAGGTGCGTGCATTTGCCTTACTTGTGCATCCTGTGCATCCTGTGTGCTCTCCAAGATGATCTTCGTATCGGCACCGAACCCTAATTAGGTCTGGAGCCGAAAATTAAAATCATTATTCTTCAGGAAAACTTTACTTGACACCTTTGAATTCACCCGTTCAAGCGTCTAACAGTTTTAAAACCCCACCCTTTTTTTTTTTTAATCATCGAGGTAATTGTGGACCGTGGATATGGGTTTCGCCGAACAAATAATAACTAAGAGATCGACGGGAAAAGTACATCCTGGATCTTCTAAATAGTAAACTTCGATCGTCTAATCTAAGCCACATGTAAAGGTATCTCGGAGGTTATGATATGATTTGCTGAGGATATTTGTGGGGTAATTAGATTGGAAAGCCCGTATTCCCTTTGGGTACCTTTGTTAGCCTAACCGCCAACGCTAACTATCTTTGCTCTTCAACTCGTAATCGGAGTCAATTCGTGAACTCCCCGCGCTTAGATCCTTGGCTTGTGATGGGCTGTGCAGAATATCTCAGTCTAGATCGATTTTATTTATTTTTTATTTTTTTCGAATTTATTCGGTGTGCTCCTTCCCGATTCTTTTCTGCCTAGTGGTTCTCGGACTTCGGCGGTTATACTATTCCTGATATATCATTTTCATTTACGTACTGACTTACGTTATTTTCTTTTTTTTTAAAAAAGTATATAGTTGAAAAAAATATATATCGTTCTCGCGTTTACTTTATATAACTAAAATTGTAAATATACGTCTGTCATTCGCGCCAATTAAGTTCTAACAAGCGTGCGTCAACCACTCCTCTGGGACTATGACTTTAAATAACGGAGCACTGTCCTCCGATTATTATATAACGTCCTACCCAATACTATTCATTCTATAACATTGTTGTACATACTGACTATCTATAAAATAAATTATTATTATCTTGAAAATTTGCTCAATATCCCTCTACCTAAAACCGCAAAACTGCCGATCCCTCAATCCTTAGCTCCATGGTTTGACCGGGGTGCATAGCCAGGCCACATGTCAATGGCTTGGCTGAGACTGACTTGGGCCCAGGCTGAGAGTTACATAGTGCAGCCTGGATCTACTGAGGATCTCCCGCGAAAGTTTTTGACCATCCAATCGAACCCCAGTCATGGTGTCTCGGTCTTACGATAGCTGGTTAGTTGGTTAGTTAGTTGATTAGTTAGTGAGGTACGGGACCCTCTTCCCCTCTTAAGTTTTTTTTCGAGAACTTAGCCCTGGGAAATAAAAGTAAAGCGAAGTTACCGAAAACTCTTTCTACGCCCGGAAGCCTAACCTTCTTTTTTGTTTTGTTTCTTATTTGAGACGCGTGTCCCCCTCCGGTTCTACACATCCGTTCATGCTGATTGGGATTTTGTTTTTGAGGGTTGTTCTTTTTGGGTACGCTATACCTTGTAGTATACATTATTGTACTTTGTATGTAGATTGTATACTGAATCGATGGGTCAAGGCGGAGATCTACTGGAACGCGCTCAGTCCTCCACTTTGTTCTCTTTGGAGGGGAATTCCCACAGACCGTCAAAATGGGAGACCAGTCATGAAGCAGCAAATCCACCAATTTGAGGTATAACAGTCACCGATACCCGGACCCGGAGAAAAGAATGAAAAAAATGAATGGAAAAAAAAGAAAAAAAAAAAAATGAAATGAAATGAAATGAAATGAAATGAATATAATAATCATCACAGTGTGATGGAACTTGACCCGCGTCTGACTGGCTGCTCCAGACCGTGGAGGATCTTATCCTTGATTGCCGTTGGATAATGATGACTCCATCCGGAGTTCGAGGTGGAGGTCATTTTTTCAATAGCTCGGTATGGCCGAGAGATTACTCCGTCGTCCCGTACTCCGTACTCAGAGATGATATGACGCCCTTCGGAGGATTGGTATCCTCCAGGTTCCTAAGGTTAAACCCACTGTCTCAGACAAAAGTCGATCCTTTCTCTTATGGGGCGTCAGATGGGAAAAGTGGGGAGGTATAGTCGGGAGAGCCAATCAAATGTGTTCATACTGTAACTACTGGGGGCATTGGTCACAGCCCCGGGAGTGTACTTTACTTGGCTAGACCACATGCTTATGATCTTTGTTCTCTCTTTTTTCCAAATAGGGCAGGTGAGTGCTGAGTCAGAATCTGCAACTGAGGTAGACTTCTGGTAGATTTCCTGTTGTTCTGTAGTGAGAATCTACTTGGGTCGACCTTCGATTTTGGTATAAGATGTCACGGAGACCCTCCGATCCCAATCCACGGCTCCACCGGGATCACCCATGGCTCGGGGGGGTGATTATATCTTGACCTGCTCTATTCTTCGTTTCTTCTACTTAGTATACTCTATTATATTAGAATTATATTAAATGATATATATATGTTATTGTCTACTAAAATCATATCTGCTTGATCATATAGTATACTCGAAGAAGTTCTATAAAGTGAAACTGTACCTGCTTCTCGCGGAGGGTTTGGTGAAATCATGACTTTGATGTTTCATTCTCCGTATTTCTCCGCTCCCCGAATTCCACCGTCTTTCCTCTTTTTTTTTCCTTTTTCTTTTCTTTTTTCTATTTCTTCATTTTCTGGATCGACTATACCAAATTCAGAAAATGGCAAATAAATCAATTAAAATAATTAAAATAAATGAAATATAAAAGAGAAATAAAATAAATAAGCCCAAAACATAATATCGCATGTCATATCTGTCATCGATACTCCAGGCCTCAGCATTGTGTCCCAGTGGTTCCAACCCTCCGAGTTTTTTTTTTTAACATTAACGTTTAATTCATTAGACTCCCGGGGTGACCATACCATACTTCTCTGCAGGTGTATAAAACTTGATTATAAGATAAAATAGAGAAAAAAAAATATAATATCATAGAAAAATATAGAAAATCGAGAAAATAAGAAATAAAGAATAAAGTAAATAACATAATCAATAATCTAAAATAATTAATGATCATCTTGTGGAGATATCACCACTCAGACCTCTATCCCCCCTTCTTTTTTAAGTACTTTTCCCCTCTCTCTTCACTTAACTAGCCAGGGTCCCCATTTAGGTACATAGTTATTCCCTTCCCTTCCCTTCTCTCAGTGGATCCCCAAAAAAAAAGAAAGCTTGGGAATTGCCGCAACTCAAACCGTGGAACGGGTTTCTAGTAGATCCCCATCTTTTATCGGTGCAACCTTGACTTTTGACTGACTTGAACTTGGAAGGCCCGTGCTTGCTGGCCGATCCCTGGGAATTCTCCAACTGAGGGGTCCCAACTCAAAACCTCCCTCCTCCTTCTCCATACCCTGGTCGATCTCTTAGCTTAATTCTCTTTTTTTTTTTTTTTAAACCTTTGGTCCCATTTGATCGGGGAATATATCACTTCGCAAAAGCCCGGGGGGTTGCTGGGATTGTATCTCTTTCACAAATCTACATCATGGTGAACGGGACCACCGCCGTGTTGGAACCCACATTCACCGGGTATGTCGCAACTACACAAGATGCTCTGATACTCTTTGAAGCATGTTTGACCGGTGTCTTGCATCATGTTCCGCGACGCCCTCATGACCGTGAACGAAGTCATCTCGTGCGCAGTGGAAGTGTCTTCATCTATGAAGAGAATGCCTCGGGCATCAAACGCTGGACTGATGGAGTCACCTGGAGTCCAAGTCGCATTCTGGGGAACTTCCTCGTTTACCGTGAGCTAGACAAGCCATTTCCTCCTGGGGAGAAGAAGCGCGCCATGAAGAAAGCCACTCGACGACCAGTGCCAGCCGGCCGGCCAGGCGAACCTTATCCACGACATGATAGCAGCCAGGGCTATTCTCCGACATCTCCCGGCTCTGGCCCCTTCGCAGACCGTTCATCCCATCAATCGGAGCTCGAACGGGCGTTGGTTGGGTCTCTAGTCGATTCGTACGGCTTCAAGGACTCGGGGTTAGTCAAGAAGACGATGAGCGTGACGGTTTTGGGCGTGACCCACCATTTGGTTTCATACTACAGTGTGGAGGACGTGATGCGCGGCATCCTCAACCCACCCTCCATGGTGGACTCGCTACGCTTTATTCGACCCCGCACCGAACTCACCCAGAAACAAAGCTTCCGCTCCCCGATTGATGAGCTAGAGGCAAATGCAGTGGAAAACCAGACAGAGCCCGGTCTATACGCATATCGCCCACAGATGATGCCTCCACCCACTTACGCCATGCCAAACCCTTCAAACGACTTCTACATGCACCCTGGCCCATATGCCGCCACCCATCCCCCGCAGCAAGGCACTATTCAGGGATACCCGATGGGCGCGCCGATGGCAGCCCAACCCGCGCCAAACCCGTACCTGCCAAACCCAGGGCAATCTGCCATCCCCCCAAAGCAGGATGACTACCACTCATTCCGCGCAGGCCCCTATGGCGGAAGCATGGACTCAATGAGCGCGCACAGCATGGCCTCCATCCCAAGTGGCCTCAACGCAGGACTCTCCAGTTCTCTCAGCGAGCGCAATAGATCCACTTCGGAACACAGCCCTTCCGCATATCGCAACTCTTCGATCTCTTCGCGCAGTCAAGCAACAGATGCTACCTCACCCATGGATCCATCCACCCCGGCCACCTACTCCCGCGGCAGCTTCAGCATGTCCAGTCAGCTAGATAGCCAACACCAATCACTCGATCGCAACATGCCTGGCCTCGATCCTAGCGTGCCTCGTCGCGAATCAAACCCAATCCATCCGTCCTACTACAGTACGGATCGCTCCCAGTACTATGTGACTGCGCCTTATCCTGCCACGCAACCTATGCCAACATGGACGACTGCAGCGGCCACGCAACCACAAATGGCGCAACCACAAATCTAATCTCTTGATACCTTTCTTTGTGTTTTGTGTTGCTTATGGCCATGGAGCGTGGGAGTCAGGCTGGAATTCTATTTCTTTTCTTTGTTTCTCAAGTTGCTTTTTGCTTTATTTGCCTGGAGATAGACCCCTTTCTGTTCTGTTATTTTCTGGGAGGAAAACGCCGTTTCATTGCTACACTATGTACCTGACAGCGGCCGTGCTCGTCTCTTGTCTATATGGTTATGGTCTCTTTGCTTTATGGTCTGTTACGGAGGCTCTTTGTTTACGGGCTGAACTGCTTTGCTTTGACCCTATTTTTTTCTTTTCGGTCGGCTCTCTGATATGTTTCTGTTCGGGGAATCCGGGTGGTGGCGTTCTTTTATTCTTCACGATGTCATGCAACAATAACCCGACAACCCCAAAAACGGTTCTATTCTTTTTATTACTTCTTTTACCTTTGGACACTGACTCCTACTTTTTACTCCTTTGCTCTCCAACACAATATCCCTATTCGCGGCCAAGGCTGCTCCCTGTATGTTTGTCTTCACTGCGATCACGAACAGTGTCCAACGGTCTCTTTTCCAAGGTCTGGGCGGGTTCTTGTTCTCTATTCTCTATACCCTGTTCTATTTTTCCGCAGGGACAGGGTTTAGTGATTCCCTTCCCATTCCATGGTCAAAGATTGCTTCAATACCTCCCTTGTTTCCTTTCTTGAGGGTGCTGTTGCTGGTCATGGCTATCAATACTTTCGTGTACTTCATACTCGATTCCCCACAGTCTATCGTATGGATAATAGGCTCTGTGCACCAGTGGTGGCTTTTTACATTCCAATTCCCCAATTTCAATATTAGCTACTTCCGCATGACAAAAGATGTCTTGGTTCTATTACTTCTGTAGTCTTTCTGATTGGTATATCATATACACGATACTCTATACTTTACTATCTATATCTGTCCCTGCTTTGTATATTTGTTGGCATGGCAGATGTGGTATTGGATGTCGTCAAAAAAGAATATTCTGTATTCCACTTTTGCTTTTGTGCTGTTTAACTGGGGTCAATATTATCTCGCTAGTAAATATTGAGATATATCTTCTTTTCTGATGGCTGATTGCTCTATCAAGTCGTTTATATTCTGGGTTTTTCAACATTTAGTGATGTTCTGAGAACTGTCTCCATTTGTATCGAAGTATATATAGCTTAGTCTTTTTGCTATAACTCTCTACAAGCTATGTATATATAGTTTATTTGGACAGCACACTGCTTGGAATCAAGCATGGATAACTAGGTCGTCTCATGTATATATCAGTCACTTTGATTACAGTCCATGGTTTTCCTACTATTTTAGAGAATATTGATATAACATAGATTGAAAGATCAAAAGAACACTATTTATACACTAGTAAACAGGTCACCCATGCGTGAACTCATATATCGACAATGGGTATCTCGATCACAAAAACTCACGCACGCTGATATACCCAAACAAACATTAGCAAAATACAAAGAAGTACACACATGGAGCGAATCTAGCCTCACCGAGAAGTATATATCCCAAACCCACACCCAACCATCCTCGATTTGGATCCAAGACACAAAGTTCCATATTGCCGTAATAGTTTGGGATCAGGTCAGACTCCCCTGATCCTTGTTGAGTTCAGCGAGATGTGCGTTGGGGATGGCGAGTGATATTGAGGCCGCTTTATTCATGAGATAGACAAGCAGGAAAACTACCTGTTTGAACCCATTACCAACGACACCGACTAATTTTAATGGTCGGCAGGAAGCCGGGTTCCAGCTCCCACAAAGCACGTAGAATGCCTTGTATACCGGAAACCACAGCAAGCCATTTGTCCAAATGACCATAGGAGGGTCTAGGGGGATACGAGAGGTTCGCATGTCACCGTGCTGGTCGAAGTCGGCCTGGAATCGGGAGGTCCGCTGGTACGGCATCATAGTGCAGAGATGATAGAAGACACCTTGGTCGACCAGCGCTAGTAAACATTAGAATCAGGGCGACTGATATAGCTTCGATATACTTACCAGAGACTCATTATCAAGTTTTAAGAATGAGAAATTCATGGCATCGGTAGAGATCCCGTAGACAGTAGTATCTGTCTTACCAAGATCTTTACGTTGCTTATGGACGCATCCTTTTAATCCGAAGATCAGCATAAGAGTACGCTATAACGACGATATTATGAGGTACTTACCCATGTATGTTAGGGCCTGTGGGACCCCTTCATACCACTGTTGGGTCTCTTTGCCTCCATAGTCATAGTTGACGTTTGAGTCCAATGACATAAGCCTCAAAGGCTGTAGAAAAGTCGTTTGCACAAAGCCTTTTTGCGCCTTTTTTGCCGTCGACCTATAAGACAGAATGGTACTGAAAACACACCACAAAGCCGCTTATGCGGCCGAATATTCGTATAATCACCAACAGAAAAACAGAACCAAGACCCATAAAAGCGAAAGGATGGATCTCACACAGCAGCATGTCTGATCCAGATAACTAGGTGAAAGTCCCGGAGTACCCAAAAGACAAGATATTCCCTACCTCGGTGGTGGGTTAACCATACTTATAACCCCGATGGCTCACACCAGCACGCACACGTCTAGCCCCAGACGAAGCGGAAACCGAATATCGCCTCGTAACACGCCTCGGTGGACGGCGCAACGTCTGATAAACTTCCTCACCGCCAGAATCATCTCTCTCGTAGATCTCTGAAAGTGTGCCACCCCGCCGCGAACGCACGCCCGTATGCGTGATCATTGATGCAGTTGGGCTAGGGAAAGGGCATGTGGGAATGTTGTTTGATGCTCCGCTCGCCACACGCGTGGGGAATTCCCGCGCTTGCGTGCGTCGTAGGCTTGGTGTGCGGTGCGGGTATAGGGGGGAGGGGCCTGGACTTGTTCGCGTGAGGGTGGTGAGGTGTGCGATGGTAGGGTCGAGGAGGAGGTGGAGATTGAGTGGGATAGTTATGGCGGTTGTTCGGGGTATGGAGGGGGTTGTTGGTGCTGGCTGAGAGGAGGAGTGGTCTTGGGTTCGGTTTTGGTCTTGGGTCTGGGGGGATACCTGCTGTGGGCGGAATTGGCTTTCTTCCCCCCTCGGCTGGGTGGTCCAGAGGTTTTGTATGGTCGTCTGCAGAAGGTCGTTCTGCAGGGTTAGGTCGCGGGTCTGGAGTTGTTGATATGGGATTGGGTTGAGAGACCCGTACTGGCCTGGGTAGGTGGTCTGAAAGTGATCATCAGGGATTCCGGTCTCAGGTGGAAGTTGGATCTGAGAGAAGTATATGTTAGTTTCGGCTCACCTCATATGGCTTGAGGGATTCATTGATCTCTTGATCAGTGAACATACCTGACGGCTGAACTTCCTCCCTGGCATGGCGATGTACTCATCGAACATGCTCTCGAGTTCTGCAAAGTTGAACCCGCGCACCGGGTCGGCGGGCTCAAACCGCTGTCCAATTTCTTGTTGAAAATTGATGCCCCGGCGCGGCAAAGGTTGGTACTCGGCCAGCTTCAGCATCAAGGATGGATAACTTCCAATTATCGCGTCGATGACGGGGTCGACATCGATCGAGAGGGAAATCTTACTGTTTGCCGCTGGCTTCTGAATCAGCATGACAAAAGTGAACTCGCGCGGTAGACCAGATCTCTGGACATTGTTTTCTTCCATGGACCAGACGATTTTTCCAGCTTCCACATCGAATTCGCGACCAGCTGGGCTCTTCAAAGTACGTGCAGAACCTTGAATGCGCATCATCTCATACCGCTTGTACCGACTGTTGATACTCCCTGAGGGAATGACGTTTGCGCTGATAGGCAGCTCCGAGATTCCAAGAGACCCAGCTAGACTAAATGTCCACTCCATTGTCTCCGGGGAAACAGTGCCATAGAGCAGGTGTGGAGCATGCATAAGAAAGCGTGGGCTACCGGGCGGACATCCATAAGGGTACGACTTGGATGTTGAAAGATCACGGTTTCCACGAACCGATACACTAATGGTGGCAGACTTGATGCGGTGTGTGATGGTGTGCGGTGAATGGAAGGTGAATGCGATGGCGAGAAAATCTACATGTTCAGCGTCCTTGTCTGAGACAGCATGGTTGGAGTAATAGCCATGCTGAAGGCGTTGTACGTGAGCGGTGATATAAGCATCGCCGGGCAGTCGGCGCTCATATATGAGAGAACGGTTGATAAGCAGGCGTGGATTCGCCCTGTTTGGATCTGGTAGGTCCTTTTCTTTGACTGGTGCTATATTGCGAATTGGAGTTAACGAGCGTGAGTCCGAGACACGCCCATCTTTGACATTAAATGACATCGTCGCGACTGCAAGCAACTGGTCCGCAGTTTCGTTCTGGTAGGCTTGCCTCGCTCTTCATCTGGCCTCAGGGGTCCTTCTAGACGCGGACATCTGTGTCTGTAATTTGGCTTGGCCTGCGTGACATATCATATATATTCATTTAGCTGGCTACTTAAACATGAATTATAGCATTTTTGTTCGATGATGTTTTTCATCACCTGGGGTTCTTGGTCACAGGAGTGGAAGAGACCGTCAGGTGAGCATAGGCTTGATCATGATCATCGTGATGCGACTGCTGTCATTGAAAACCTAAAGATAATATTGTCATTTTCAAGGGTATGTAATTCAACAGAGGCAGACACGTCATATTTATTTACAAAAGTAGGAGAAATATAGAAAGGGTAGTTTGTTCATCCGTACATGTGGAGGATATAGAGACTAGCGGATAAACCATTTCTCCGACAAGAAACTCATCGCCGAGGTGCAATCTCCAATATTCATCTAACCTCAGGCGACCGTGATCTAGAACTTTTGGTTCTAGCTGATTGGATTTCTGGTAGAGGTGATCTATATTTTGACTTCTCTTATATGTATGACTTGTTCAGCCAGGTTGCCCCGATTTCCGACTCATCCAGCTAACAATCCCTAGATTGTGTTTGTACTATATAGCATTCTGTCTTTTTATTTGCATTTCTTGCGATATCAGCTTGTTCGTTTATTTCATTTTCATTTGGGTGTTTGTATTTTCAGGCTTATCACCAACTGTGCGACGCGACAGCTTCCGTTGGTCAGTCCCCTGGCGTATTACTTGGAGCTTTGCATCGCCTGAAACCAACCGGGTATGCACAGTTGAAGCTTCCGCTTGAAACCTTGTGATTATCGGTGTCTCTGGTCAATTTTGTGATTCTACCAACGCCTGCCGTGGTCAATCTTGAGTTAGTGTTACCATGATTGGCTCATGTGCAGCCCAGTTGTCCCTTCGGGCGAGCCGGCAGGGATCCCAAGGGCTGTCTAAGAACGCACGTCTTTTTTTCCGGCCGAATGTGTTCAAGACTGAAGCTCTTCAGAGGGATGGATTCCGGTGTATATCTACATCAGTCCATTCGACGTTGAACCGATCACCAACTGGGTATGGTCGTCTGCCGCTTTGTTTATTTATCCACTTCTAACTGTTCACTAGAGGATTGAGGCCCCGGTCTTCCCAGACTACCCTAATCTCACCATCATTCTTCACCCAGCAGAGATGGACCGGATCAAAGTCGCCAGAAAACAAGACTCCTGAACAGTAGGTCTACAGCCTCCACTGCGAGATAATCAGTGTCCAAATAGGACATAGACCAAGCGAGCCAGTAACTAACTCCAGTGTAGATCCGAGGAATCCAAGAAAAAACCTATTCTATCGCGGATTCCCCTGCCAACATCCCACGAGAATATCTACACTGTACCCAACATTCTCACATTCTCCCGGCTGGTCGCCGCCCCCGTGGTCGGGTATCTATTAGTCAACAACTATCACACAGCAGCACTATCCCTGTTCGCCTATGCGGGCATCACCGATCTCGTCGATGGTTATATCGCCCGGCGGTATAACCTCCAAACCGTGGTTGGAACTATCATTGATCCCATGGCCGATAAGCTGTTGATGACCATTGGTGTTGCGTGTCTGGCCGTGAATGGCTCCCTTCCTGGTAAGTCTACTCGTGTGGATTAGTGGTTTACGGATATGGACATGGATTGACACATTGAATAGTGTGGCTCGCTGTGATCATCCTCGGTCGGGATGTTGGTTTGGCTATCTCGGCTATCTATTACCGTTGGATTTCACTGCCTGAGCCTAAAACTATGGCCCGGTACTGGGATTTTTCACTTCCCTCAGCAGAAGTCAAACCCACTGAGATCTCGAAGATCAATACTGCCCTGCAGTTGGTGTTGGTGGGTAGTGCAATTGCGCTTCCTGTGGTCCCCGAGGCGTTTGTCAGTGCCTGGCATTTGAGCGAGGCCATGACTGGATTCCAGTAAGTTTGCTCTTTTCCTGTTTTATACCCCATTATTTTTGCCCTTGTCTCGTCTGTTTTTCCATTATATCTGGAAAGACAGATCTCAATGATGCGCCCTAGGGCAAATTGAGACTGTTTCCAGTACATACGACCATAGGGTGTGGAAAACAGGGCTTCCCGTCCGCTCAGCCGTACTTAAGCCACACGCCGGTGAGTTAGTAGTTGGGTGGGTGACCACCAGCGAATCCTCACTGTTGTATGTTTTTGTTGTTGCTTTTTTTTTTTTTTTTTCCTTTTTCTTTTTTCGTATAATTCTGCTGTTCGTTTCAAATTAGTTCCTTGCTGACCAATCTTAGATACCTTGTTGCTGGCACCACTCTTTGGTCTGGACTCAGCTATGTCTTCTCCAACAATGCCGTAAAGATCCTTTCGAAAGAAGAAATCCAGAGGCGAATTGCTCAAGCAGCTGCTAAGCGCAAGTAGCGATCAAAAATAAGCAGTTAGAACTTTTATTGTACAATATTTCAAAAATTCACATGTTTGATTATGCCAAGAGCCAGACCGTCTCCTTCCAACGGGGACTGTGCATATGAACCTGTGAACCACATGGATGCCTAAAAGTAGGTGTAGCGTAGTCTGCATGACATGTGATATATCTAACATGACAACGTGGAGGTATATAGTTTGTAGGAGCTTACCAGGGAACCCTGGCATATGTGTGAAAGTTGGAGTTGGCATTCATAACCAATGTAATTGTATAAGCTAGGTAAGAACTATAGAATAAAAAAGAATAGGCCGGACATCAGGCGTCAGCTTTTAATAGGCCAAGGCGCCGATATATAAAAGTTTATATCCAGATGACCAAGATCTCGCCTTGTCGGGGTCCTTTTTGGGCCGAGTGGATCAGTAAGATCTCGAAAGTCGCCGAACTGCATGTTTTGGGATGAATTAGGTAGGCGAGCCGATATGAACCGGGGTGTTTCTGACTCGGTATCCCACATTCTTTGTACATAGTAGAAGGCGCCTAGAGCCTCTATTAAAAAAAAAAATTCGTAAGCAAAAGATTTTCAAACCCCCCTATAAACGGAATATAAAAGCCGGCCCCACGTGCTTGCATAAGCCACTAAAGGCGATAGGAATGGATATTCCGTTTTAACACAGCCAATCAACAGTTGATTACCGATAAATGGTCCGTGAACAGCCAATAACAAGCCAATAAGAACCAATCGCGTAAAGCCCGACTTTATCTCCGTAGTTGAAACCAGAAATTTCTTTTGATTCATCCTGACTCATGTAATCCACTAATCCACTATAGCTCTTTGAATCTTGACTCTGGCCTTTATGATTCGTTCATTTCTAGCACTTTCTAGGATTTCCAAGGGTCCCATAATCCCCTTTTTAGCGACTGACAAATGCCCGGAGTTAAGTGAATATGCTGACATTTTTCATATAAACGGCGTTTAAGTCTGCTATCATTTCTGTAATTTTTTTTTTATCTCCCCCATATATCCATATTCCCCTCCTCCCTTCTAAATAGCCTGGCTTCAACATAATATAATTGTGCCATTGAATCTTGCCGGAGAGTAGAACCTATCCAAGCGCCGACATGGAGGGTCACTCCGAACAGTCGCATTCCGCCTCGGATCCCCATGCCTATAATCAGACCAGGCAGCAATCCTCAAATGGCGAGACCTACCACCAGGATGTGAACTCCGAACAACCAACCGAAGAAGTTCACCGAATTCAATCTCCCATCAATCAAAGTTTAACCGACAGCTCAACCATCAGCTCATCTGTGAGTGGCGATGATGGCCGCTGGGGAGAAGAGAAGGCTGGAAAGGCCGTCTCCCGCAGCGGTGCCATGGAGGACATGGAAGAGATGCGCCGTGAACTCACCCGCCTCAGCCTACACCGCACCCGCTCTGCCACTAAGAGCGTTCGTCGCCTCAAGTCGCAGGCCAGCCGCCGCGATGAAGAAAAGGCCCAGGACGAAGAAGATACAGAGAATGAGGCTGATGACAGCTTCGATCTGGGTGGGTTCCTAACTGGTGGTCATCTGGAGCGCCGCACCACCACTGGTGGACCAGCCAAGAAGGTCGGAGTCGTTTTCAAGAACCTTACTGTGCAAGGCGTGGAGACTGGTGCATCCTTCGTGCGCACTCTCCCCCAGGCTGTGATGGGTACCTTCGGCCCGGATTTGTACAATCTTGTCTGCCAGTTCGTGCCGCAGCTGCGGTTCGGCAAGCACCCCCCTGTTCGAAATCTGATCCATGATTTCAGCGGTGCTGTGCGCGAAGGTGAGATTATGCTTGTGCTGGGCCGTCCCGGCGCTGGCTGTACCACCTTCCTCAAGGCGATTGCAAATGACCGGGGTGCTTTTGCCGGTGTCCAGGGCGAGGTCAGTTATGGTGGTCTGTCATCCGAGGACCAGAACAAGCACTTCCGTGGAGAAGTCAACTATAACCCGGAAGACGACCAGCACTTCCCCTCTCTCACTGTCTGGCAAACTCTCAAGTTTTCTTTGATCAACAAGACCCGAAAGCATGATCGGGAAAGCATCCCCATTATCATCGATGCCCTGCTAAAGATGTTTGGTATCACTCATACTAGGAATACCCTTGTTGGTAACGAGTATGTCCGCGGTGTTTCTGGAGGTGAGCGCAAGCGTGTAAGTATTGCGGAGACCCTGGCCACTAAGTCCTCGGTGGTCTGCTGGGATAACTCGACTCGCGGTCTGGATGCCAGCACCGCATTGGACTATGCCAAGTCCCTCCGCATCATGACCGATGTTAGCAAACGCACTACCTTCGTCACACTTTACCAAGCCGGAGAGAGTATCTACGAGCTCATGGACAAGGTGATGGTCATTGACGAAGGTCGCATGCTCTACCAAGGTCCAGCCAATGAAGCACGACAATACTTCATTGACCTGGGCTTCTACTGCCCTGCGCAATCGACTACAGCAGACTTCCTTACATCGCTCTGCGACCCTAATGCCCGCGAGTTCCAGCCCGGCCGTGAAGCATCGACCCCCAAGACCGCCGAGGAACTTGAGAAAGCCTTCAAGAACAGCCATGCCTACAGCCGTATCTTGGAGGATGTCAGCAGCTACGAGAAACGCCTGCAAGACACCCAGCAGGAGGACACCCGCCGCTTCCAGTCCATGGTCGCGCAGTCCAAGTCCAAGTCCGTCTCCAAGAAGTCGTCATACACCGTCTCGTTTCTGCGCCAGGTCATGGCTTGCGTGCAGCGCGAGTTCTGGCTGCTCTGGGGCGACAAGACTTCCCTCTACACAAAGTACTTTATCGTTATCTCTAATGCCCTCATCGTCTCGTCCTTGTTCTACGGAGAATCTCTGGATACCAGCGGCGCTTTCTCGCGCGGCGGTGCTCTGTTCTTCTCGATTCTGTTCCTTGGTTGGCTGCAACTGACCGAGCTGATGCCTGCTGTCACTGGGCGCGGCATCGTCGCCCGCCACAAGGATTACGCTTTCTACCGCCCCTCTGCTGTCTCCATTGCCCGTGTGGTTGTCGACTTCCCTGCTATCTTCTGCATGGTCGTCCCGTTCACGATTATCGTCTATTTCATGTGTGGTCTTGATGTCACAGCTTCCAAGTTCTTCATCTACTTCCTGTTCGTGTACACGACTACCTTCTGCGTCACCTCGCTCTACCGCATGTTCGCTGCGCTATCGCCGACTATCGATGACGCGGTACGCTTCAGTGGTATTGCGCTGAACCTGCTCATTTTGTACGTCGGTTACGTTATTCCCAAGCAGACTCTTATCAAGGACTCTATCTGGTTCGGATGGCTGTTCTATGTCAACCCGATCGCCTACAGTTACGAGGCAGTCTTGACAAACGAGTTCGCCGACCGAGTCATGGAATGCAGTCCCTCCCAGCTCATCCCACAGGGTCCTGGGGTGGATCCCAAGTACCAAGGCTGTGCTCTGACTGGGTCGACATTGGGCGAATCATCTATCACTGGAGCGCAATACTTGACTGCCAACTTCGAGTTCACGCGCAGCCACCTATGGCGCAACTTTGGTGTTGTCATTGCTTTCACGGTCCTGTACATCCTGGTGACTGTCATCGCTGCCGAGACTCTCTCGTTTGTTGGCGGCGGAGGTGGTGCTCTGGTCTTCAAGAAGTCCAAGCGTGCTAAGAAGGTCACTGCCCAGACTAACGGCGCCAACGATGAAGAGAAGGTCGCCAACGCAAACGACAATGCCGCTCTTGCCCGTGGAAAGGCCTCCGCCGATTCTGATGCCACTTTCAATCGCCTGTCCTCTAGTGAGCGCTGCTTCACCTGGCAGAATGTTGAATACACTGTCCCCTACGGAAATGGAACACGCAAGCTCCTCAACAATGTCAACGGTTACGCTAAGCCTGGTGTTATGATTGCCCTGATGGGTGCCTCTGGTGCTGGAAAGACGACTCTGCTCAATACTTTGGCCCAGCGCCAGAAGATGGGTGTCGTGACTGGCGATATGCTCGTCGATGGCCACAAGCTGGGTCCTGATTTCCAGCGTGGCACAGGTTTCTGTGAGCAAATGGATTTGCACGATAATACCGCCACCATCCGCGAGGCCTTTGAGTTCTCAGCCATCCTCCGCCAGCCCCGTGATGTCCCGCGCCAGGAGAAGATCGACTACGTGGACCGTATCATCGACCTTCTCGAGCTCGAGGATATCCAGGACGCCATCATTGGCTCTCTAAATGTCGAGCAAAAGAAGCGTGTCACTATTGGTGTCGAGCTCGCAGCCAAGCCAAGTCTTCTTCTGTTCCTTGACGAGCCCACCTCCGGTCTCGACAGTCAAGCCGCATTCTCGATTGTTCGCTTCCTCAAGAAACTCTCGCAAGCCGGCCAGGCCATCGTCTGCACAATTCACCAGCCCTCGTCCATGATCATCCAACAATTCGACATGATTCTCGCTCTCAACCCCGGTGGCAACACCTTCTACTTCGGTCCCGTCGGCAAAGAAGGCTCATCCGTCATCAAGTACTTCGGTGACCGCGGCTTCGTCTGCCCTCCATCAAAGAACGTCGCCGAGTTCATCCTCGAAACAGCTGCCAAAGCAACCCACCGCAACGGCAAACTAATCGACTGGAACGAAGAATGGCGCAATTCCGACGAAAACCGCCAAATGCTCGCCGAAATCGAACTCATTCGCTCAGACCGCAGCAAAATCCCCGTCGAGGAATCCGGCTCCGCCCAATACGAATTCGCCGCAACAACAGCAACCCAAACCTTCCAGCTGACGAAACGTCTGTTCACGAACTACTGGCGCGATCCCTCCTACTACTACAGTAAACTCTTCGTCTCGGTCATCATCGGCATCTTCAACGGCTTCACCTTCTACATGCTTTCAAACACAATTGCCTCAATGCAAGACCGCATGTTCTCCGTCTTCCTAATCATTCTCATCCCACCCATTGTCCTCAACTCCATCGTCCCGAAATTCTACATCAACCGCGCCCTCTGGGAAGCACGCGAATACCCCTCCCGAATCTACGGCTGGTTCGCCTTCTGCACAGCAAACGTCGTCTGCGAGATCCCGGCTGCCATCATCTCGGGCCTGATCTACTGGCTGCTATGGTACTACCCAGTCGGTTTCCCAACAGATTCCGCCAATGCAGGCTACGTCTTCCTCATGACGATCCTCTTCTTCCTCTTCCAGGCCTCATGGGGTCAATGGGTCTGCGCCTTCGCGCCTTCCTTCACCGTCATCTCGAACGTCCTCCCCTTCTTCTTCGTCATGGTCAACCTCTTCAACGGTATCGTCCGTCCTTACGCGGATTACCCCGTCTTCTGGAAATACTGGATGTACTACGTCAACCCCGTCACATGGTGGCTGCGTGGTGTGCTCTCTGCTGTTTTGCCACAGGTCCAGATTGAATGTACCTCCCTTGAGGCTACTCATTTCAATCCTCCTCCTGGTCAAACTTGCAGTGCGTATGCCGGTGACTTCGTCAACTCCGCTAAGGTTGGTTACCTGGTTAATCCCCAGGCTACTGCTGACTGCCAGTACTGTCCCATGGCGGATGGTGCGCAGTATATGGCGAACTTGAATGTTCATCTTGATGATAAGTGGAAATGCTTTGGTATTTTCCTGGCCTTTGTTATTATTAACTGGGCTTTGGTTTATTTCTTCATCTACACTGTTCGTGTCAGAGGTTGGAGCTTTGGTCTTTCTACACTGTTTGGTGCAGGTGGATTGATGATTGATCGTGTGAAGGGGTTGTTCAAGGGGAAGAAGAGTGATGAAGCTTAGAGGCTTCAAAAGTTTGGCGATTATTTTAATTTTTGCATTTACATAGAGCGTTATATCGGATATATCAGGGGAAGTCATCTTAGAAGGACATCTACATATCATTATTTATTCATATTACATATTTTCAATCATATTACATTGTTCTTTGATACATACATAAAGTGTTTTTTTTCCCTTTGTTTGTTTTCGTTTAAATGTCGCAGCATTGATGCCACATAATACACGCCACTCCATTCGTTCCCGTTTACAAGCAACCCAATCCGAACTCCCCTATCCCAGATACTTATGACAAGAATTGTGAGAACCTAGACTCTCACTGGACATTGCAGATGTAGACATAGTGCCCTGGATCCCACTCCGACATAGAGTGTGAACAAAGGCAAGTCTCAAGATTCAAGTTCAAATCAAACCCCAAAGAAGAAAGGCTTTCGAGTCTCGGTCAACGGAACAGCAGGCACTCTCATCGGGACAGGAACAGTATCCTTGAAGACCTCGGCTGGGAGAGGAGCCGAAGGAACAGTTCCCTGTGTTTCTTCTGGTGCCTTATTTTTCTCCTTAGTCGTCTTCTCATTGATGATAGGCACGATCACGCCGCATTCCCAATTGCGACAGTTCATCTTCAGCGATTTGGTCTTGGGATCCTTTACGATACGACCCCTGGTCCATGTTAGCTTTGATATTGCAATGATTGGAGTATAGGCACGCACCATGCACTCTCCGACAAATTCGCACTTCCCACATAAGCCCAGCCGCGACACTCCTTGTTATCAGGCATATCGATCGGGGTGGAAGGATGGACGAAGGCAAGCTTTACCAAGGAATGTGTATTAGTAACCAGTCGATGTAATTAGGCTGTCATGGAGACACTCACCTTATTATGCATCAAGACTCCACGCTCACTGACACAGTCTCTAAGTGTATCGCGCGGGAAATTGGCACCGGACCACCAGGCTGGGTTGAAGCATATCGTGCCAATGGCGTTTTTGGGATTGCTATGCACTTCTCGAACGGTGGCATCGGATGGGAAGTAAACACGGAAGTGGTCGAGACATTCTCGGTTATGCGCTGTCACGAGTGCTGTGTCTTTTTTGTTGGCTGTTCGCAGCTCGTAATCTAGTAGAGCGTTGTCACCTAATGGGTTGGAGTTATTAGTGTACTCGGTCTTTGATTTTGGAAGATGGGGCGTATACCTTTGCAGGCGAGGTAGATGGAGCGCAGGAATGGGGTGTTAATATTTCCAAGCGACGAGGCCTAAGTCTGCGGTTAGTACACTCAATCTTGTTTTATATATGGAGGCGTAGCAGATAAAGAAACTTACGACATAGTCGACGTTGATGGGTGCCTTTGTCTCTAGGCCAAGAGCTTTGACAGCACGACCCAAGCCGCTGAATCCGGTGCGTTGCCATCTGTCTTCGGTATTGGTTCCGCCACTGATATTGTTAGCTCATCAGATGACTGGTGTGATTTGCTAGGTGAATCAGCCATGGAATAAAAACTTACACCGTATGAACAAATGCGTAGCGCTTTGTCTCGCTGAAGTCGAAGTCATCTAGCTTCTTGATGATGTTGCGGTGAAGCTCAGACGCCTGGAGGAAGTAGACTAGTTCTTTGTAGAATGGGGTCTTTCCAGCATTGGGGACTTTGAGTTTGGGAAGATCAATAAGGAATACAGTCTGGACAATGTTAGCAAATTCAAGAACATGAGGTGGGAATAGCCATATACATTTTCCATGAGTCTATCCTCTCCCCAGTCGGTGGGAGTGAGATTGGCGGAGGGTACTGCGATGCGAAGATAACCTGGGTGGAACATGAGAAGCAATTTGGAATGCATACAGAATACTTGGGGCTCCATAGGTGGGAAACACAGGCGGAAATTTGGCATGTCGCTAATGTCTCGGCGATATTGCTCTCGCTGTAAACAAAGTCAGGTTAGTCTGTGTCCATCAAGGCGATGGTGCATGTGTTACTAACCGTTTCTTCATCATTTGCTTGCATGACAAATAGGATTCGAGTAGATGAGTGGTTAAACTTGGAATAGAGCCATGGCATGTCCCACAAAAATGAGCTAAATACGCCCAGCTCCAGGTCATCTCGCTGGATGACTTCTTCAATTGTGATTTCATTCCCACTGCGAGGGAAACCTGTGATGTGTGTTTTCTTGACAGCTCCAAGAGGCCATTGAGCCACTGAGCGGGAGGTCGGTTGGATGTTAATATTCGAGGCATTTGATGCAAACTGGCGGCAGACCTCGGTGTGAGATCGCACTCGAGCCGCACTCGCCTGGGGAGCAGATTGGAACGGATTGCGTACGGCGACAGAGGGTCGGGCTAGCAAAGGCTCATTTCGAGGGAGCTTCCGGCTAGCCTGAGACGGCGCAGTAGGCAAAGCGTCGTCGGCCTTGCGCTTAGCGATACGTGCAATACGCTCCTCCTCCATCTGCTTCCGGTTCATGCTCAATAGTGAACCCGCGGGCACTACAGCGACATCATGTTGGATATTTGCCTGATCGATAGACTGAGCATTGCCGAGGGTTGGGGGCTCGTTGCTAGGCTCCATCGACATAGCAAGAGCACGTTGCAGTTGCTCATGCTCGTGGTCATCTTCAGTCTCAGAAGTAACCACAGACTTCGACTTGGGGAACACTTCTTCAATGTCCGAGTCGTTGTCCGAGTCATTGGTCAGATCCACAAAATTATCTTGGGACAACTGAGTTGGGGGACGCTTGTTCTGGCGATACATCTCTTGGCGAGAGGCCTCGATGGCAGCGTCAAAATCGGGATCCACTAGTGGCTCCATCATGCGGGACCTAACAGAGACCGAAATGTATGAATTTTTGAGAAAGAAAGATAGATGATAAAAGGATAAAGATGTGGATGGGTACTATTGGAATGTTTGATGTGTGGAGTATGAGGGGAGATTTTCAAATGTGACAATGCAAAACTGTCCGCGCGGGCTGTTGCTAAAGCGATTCACAGGACCCAGCAGTAAAATACCAAGGCTTAGAGGCCTATGATCGCCGAAACCACTTCTTTTGATTTCCTACTTTTAGATGTCGTCTTCATCTGGGAACCCCTGTCAATAATCACCACGTGACTGGCCATATCGCAATATAAAAACTAAACTCCTGTCGTACGTTGGGCTTGGTCGCTTTAGAAAAATCTATATATAAGAATTTTCTAGTTGATTATATCATGGCTGCAATGGTATAAACTGCCCTGCGGACCTAATATAGTGAGTATCTCGGCCTTTCTTGACCAAACAATTTAAGAAGGAAGGACAAGACCTATACTATGTACATGGCCAATTTCACAAAAAAATACAAGGCTACACATGCTTTGCTGAAGGTGATCATTCCTGGTACATAGCCTTAGTTCCCATTCGCAAAAAGGAGATCGAATAAACCACTCCAAAGTAGACCAACTCTGAACAAGTATCCAGCGAATGGATTTATGAATTCTTCAAATCAAAGTATCTGTAGCACCTGTAAATATTAAAAGGAGCAGCAATGAGAATGTAAACAGATGATATGAGTGATATTCATTAGGCAGCGACGAGCGCAGCGCCGAGCCAACGCCTGGTCACGCTGGCGGCGACACCATCCATTTCCAGCTTCCGATTGTCAACACCTTCGATCCCAACACAACCAATCGTCACTATCATCATCAACTCCACAATGAAGAAGATCGAAAAAACCATCAATCGCATCCGAGCGAGAGCTTCGGCCTCGCGAGAGCGCATCCGCGGGAGCATTTCGGCCACACGCAACCGCATCAAAGAAAAGTATTCCGCTATGCGTAAGTCTAACAAAGCAACAACTTCGGCGACAGTCCCCGACCCAGTCTCAGAGGCAGTTCCGGCGGCTTCGGAGGTCCAAAACGAGTCTGACCAAGCCATTGAGCTAGTCCCGACATCCCAGAAGATGGCTGAGACATACATGTAGTAAGTTCACTTAACCCATGTGTGCGAGCGTTAAACAAGTCCATGATCTGACAAGACGCTAGTTCCGATACCCCTCTTTGCTATGTCGCCCCTTACACCGATGTCAACTTCAAGGAAAGGACTTGGTTGTCATTTGGCGCGGACTGGCCATCGTTCGAGAACCGATTTGATGAAGACATGAGAAGACATCCTCCAGAGATGATTGTGAACCGAAGCAGCCAGTGCCCATTCGATTGGCTGCCGCTGAACGTCCGCGCGAAGATATGGAAGTATGCCTTCGGGGACACCAAGGAAGCCATCTTTCTCACAAAAGATGGGATCGCACCGAGGAGCCCATGTTCCATGCGATTTGTATCGTGGGAATGGATGTCAGAAACTTGGTTTGCATGGGTCAATTCAATGAGCAATCGAACTCTGGTGATAGTGGACTTCCCGCGGCACGCCTACCTTAGCCCACCCTGCCCAATTCTTCGAGATTTGTCGACAATCCGCCTCCGCGCCCTCAAGCTCACTCTGGGAGACAAGGACGCCAATAAGGCCGCGAAGAGGAACCGGGAATTTCTGAGGTTCGTCTCAAAGCATCGAGACGACGGATTTGTCACCGCTCGCACGTTGATAATCGAATTGCGAAAGAACTGGACAGCGGGCGGCCTTACTGATGAGGATATCGGCTCCCTTCTGGCGTGCGGTGCCTTCGCTCACTTTGAGCGCATCCGTATTCACGGATGGATCACAAGTGAGAGTTTGGACCGGCTTCTGAAGCGAGCCAGTCAAATGGCACAAGCCGCGCTCCGACGGTTGCCTTCCTCTGAGCCCGAGACCGGGCTGTAATGATTTCATAGGCATTGCAGAACCAGATCGATAATGGCAAAAAATGAATCTCTATCTGCAGTTGATTTGTCTAGTCCAAGGCCAACGAGGAGTAGTCTGTTTTCACTAGGGGTTTTCATTGCAATAGCCGTAGCAATCTGACGAGCAAGTAGCTGACCCGTCGTGTCTTGCCCAGGAGAATAGCCACCTAGTAATGTGGTGGTGGTTAGACTTTTGAGAGGCAGAAGAGCATCATCTCCCTGACTGAGGGTGTGCATGCCCTCAGTGCCTGGGTTCTGGTTCTCCATCGGTACGTGCAACTAATACAATTAGTAGTGTTTGCTGAAATTATATTGCAAGCCATACCCAGTGTCCTAAACGCCCTGCTTGTGAAATGGTGACCATGATTTTATCACTAAAGCTCATTATCCCGACATCTGTTTGTATGCCATTGACTAACCCCGCAACCTGCTTAGTGGTGGCCGGAAATGGCAGGTTGAGGGAGTCCTGCATAGAGCTTGTATCAAAAGAGGCAGCCATGATTATTCAGAGTATAAATCTTGGTCAAAACTCCGAAGAGAAACAGAGTAATATAGGTTAACTTGGTGTATCGGAGCCCAACATCATTTCGTAGGCGGCGGATGGTTAGTTTCACCGCCTCAGCCCAAATTCAGCAATATCCGACCGCCTTAATTTTTTTCTTGAGGAAGAAACAGTTGGATCGGAGAGCTTGCACACTTAGCCAATTATCTATTTTTTTCTCAGTCGCAGTGGCTGCAGTAATTCAAGATGCCGCCTAAATTTACACCACGTCTACGAAAACAAAGACACCGGCAAAATCCAGATGGGGAGTCGGCCGATACCAATATCGCACAGCTCCAGCCCGTCTCCAAGGATGAGAAAGAGGCACGGCGACAGAAGCTGAAGGGAGAGCTGCGAGAGCAGCATCCTCAAATGTCCGCAAAGAAGCAGAAGCGCTTGGATAAATATATTGTATGTGGAAAGCGACTTTGAAACATATGGCTCTAACATCCCCGCAGGAAAACAAACTCAGGAAGGAAGAAAATATCGAATTATTGAAAAAGCTAGCCGGATCATCTGTAGACACTTCATCTTTACAGAGCTCCAGAGCTCTTTCCAACAAGCGCAAGAGACATGACGAAGTATCTGCACGGACAGCCGAGACCACGCCCAAAGATAATGCCCCCGCAGATATCTCAGGATATGATACCGACGATTCCGATGTCCACCTGAAAGTCTCAGATCCCGCAACAGACCCCAATGAACAAAAGTTACGAGAAGAGGCAGCTGCTGGAAGTGGACTTAAACGACCACTAGAGCTAGGACCTGATGGATTCCCTGTTCTGAAGAAGCGGAAGCGCGCACCGAAGAAGAAACCAGCCCCTGCACCGGTAAAAGCCGAGGTTGCGTGGGAGGGCTTTGATTCGGGTGAAGAGGATGAAGATGAAGATGAAGATGAAGACGATATGGACGAGGAGTCCGGAAGTGATATTGAGGAGGGATCTGAAGAGGAAGATATTTCGTCCTCTGAGGGCATTTCCGAGGATGAGGATGAGGATGAGGACGAGGAAGACTCAGAAGATTCCGAAGATGACGACGAGACAGACGAAAATAAGCCAACGCTCAAGACTCGCCAATCGGCCTTCAAATCATGGGCGGTACAACAGATCAACGAAGCCGCAGGATTCAAACCCGCCGAGGAAGCCGTGACCGAGCAAGAGCAGGTGTTCGACCCATCTAAGTTGCCAGCATCCCACAATACCATCCGAGAAGAACCTCTCCCTCGGGAACTTCAGGTAACCAATGGCGATCCCAATCGCAAGGCATACAGTGTCGCAGTTGACCGCACTGAGGAAATCCAAATCGCCCGTCTTGGACTCCCTGTCGTTGGTGAAGAACAGAAAATCATGGAAGCAATCCACAACAACTCAGTTGTCGTGATTTGGGGTGCTACCGGTAGTGGAAAGACAACCCAACTTCCCCAGTTCCTCTTCGAATCCGGCTTCGGCTCCCCAGGTAGTCCTAATCCAGGTCTAATCGGTGTCACCCAGCCTCGTCGAGTCGCGGCCGTGAGTATGGCGAACCGTGTTGCCCAGGAATTGGGTCAACATGCCGAGAAGGTGTCTTATCAGATCCGATTCGAGTCTACAGCATCAAAGAAGACAGCCATCAAGTTCATGACTGATGGTATTCTTCTACGGGAGATTGCAGATGACTTTGCGCTTCGCAAATACTCTATCATTCTTATCGATGAGGCTCACGAGCGCAGCGTCAACACTGATATCTTGATCGGAATGGTCAGCCGTATTGTGGGACTCCGCAAATCTTTGAGCGAGGAGGACCCGTCCGTCAAGCCTTTGAAGGTCGTCATCATGTCGGCCACTCTCCGTATTTCGGATTTCACCGAGAACCCAAGTCTTTTCCGCAATGGTGCTCCCCCATTGGTCCAAGCCGAGGGTCGTCAGTATCCTGTTGCAGTTCATTTCTCCCGTCGCACACAGCGCGACTACGTTGAAGATGCCTTCCGCAAGGTTTCACGCGGACACCGCAAACTACCTGCCGGTGGAATGCTTGTGTTCTTGACTGGTCAGAATGAAATCCGACAGCTTTCTAAGCGACTAAAGCAGGCGTTCAAGCCTACTCAGCGGGAAGATACGACACAGGCAAAGGTGCAGCTCTCAGCTACTGAGGCACCTCTAGAAGCAGAGGACCTTGAGCTGGGCGGCACCGAGATGGAAAATCCAGGACATGATGATTACGACAGTGACATGGAGATCACAGGATTGGATGATGCAGAGGAAGACGAAGGCTTCGAGCTTGCTGAAGGCGAAGAGGCCATGGACTCGTCAACTCGCGTTCACGTCTTGCCTCTATACTCCCAACTTCCCACGAAAGAACAAATGAAGGTGTTTGAGCCGGCTCCAGAGAACTCTCGACTGATCATCCTCGCAACCAACGTCGCCGAGACATCTCTTACCATCCCCGGTATCAAGTATGTCTTTGACTGCGGTCGCGCCAAGGAGAAGCAGTTCGATCTCTTCACTGGAGTCCAGAGCTTCCAGGTCGGCTGGATTAGCAAGGCAAGTGCGAACCAGCGAGCTGGCCGAGCTGGCCGAACAGGGCCTGGCCATTGTTACCGGATGTACTCCTCTGCGGTCTACGAAGGCGAGTTCGCCGAATACACCGACCCAGAGATCCTCCGCACACCCATCGAAGGCGTTGTCCTCCAGATGAAGAGCATGGGTCTCCACAACGTGATCAACTTCCCATTCCCCACACCCCCGAGTCGCCAAGGTCTCGCAAAGGCAGAGAAACTCCTCAAGAACCTCGGCGCCCTCACAGCCGAAGGCCAGATTACGCCCATCGGCCGTCGTCTCGCAACATACCCCCTCTCCCCCCGGTTCAGCAAAATGCTCCACATCGGTCACCAACACGGCTGCATGCCCTACGTGATCGCCCTAGTCGCAGCGCTCGCAGTCGGCGATCTTTTCGTCCCAGAGAACCAGCTCGACCCCAACCAACCCCTACCCACCACAGCCAAGAAGCAAATCGCCGACGACAGCGATAGCGACAGCGACAGACGCAAAGTCTACACAAACGCAGATCGCCTCGAAGACGATGAGCGCGCGCAACGTATGAAAGAGTACTCCCGCGCTCAGCGCCTCTTCAGCAAACACGACGACACCTCCGACGCCCTAAAATCCCTCTCTGCAATGTGCGCGTACGCCTACGCCTCCGACGGCGACGCCTTCAGCGAAAAAATGTTCCTCCGCGCAAAGGCATTCAAAGAAGCAACCCAGCTCCGTCGTCAGCTGACAGACATCGTGCGCTCAAACAACCCAGGCCTTGTCCCCGCCTACGAAGCCCGTCTGCCAGAGCCCTCACCAAAACAACTCAAGGCCCTCAAGCAGATCGTCACGGCAGGATTCATCGACCACGTCGCTATCCGCGCCGACCTTGCCCCTGTCCCACCTGAGAACCCGCGCACCCCGCGTCGCGCCATAGACGTCCCTTACCTGACACTCTTCCGTTCCCGGGATGGCAAGGGTCAGGATCTGGAGGAACGTGCTGTCTATGTGCACCCTTCTTCGCTGCTTGCTAAGCTCTCACCGAAGGAAATGCCAAAGTTCATCACTTACTCGCATCTCCAACAATCTTCTGCTTCGCTGGTTTCGGACCAGGTGCCTAAGATTCGGATGTTCCCGCTTGTTGCACCTAGTGCATTGCAGCTCTCGGCGATTGCGCATGATACGCCGCTTATCAAGTATGGCAAGCCGATTGGAAAGGCCGATGCTATTGAGGGCGTGCCACCGCGCAGATCTTGCTGGGTTATTCCTGAATTGGTGGGTGATGCGGGCAGCGTGGGCTGGCCGATGCCTGCTAAGAAGGTTGTGCAGAAGAAGGACCCGAAGGAGGGTTGGGTTATTGAAAAGTTTGTGGCATAGGTACTGGTTTTGGTGTATTATAGATGAGGTTATGATATCCAATTGTGTTCATTTCTTTGCATTCGAACATTGTACAGCATAACATGGACAATAAAAAGAAAAAAGAAACTTGTTCATGCAACCTATTTCCATGATCCCACATAACCCTAACTCCGATTAACACCATTACTTGAGAAAGACACAAGCAGAAAGAAAGAGTCAAGACATAATCTAATCCCTCCTCCTCTCCCGATAATCACGAGAACTAGAAATCTCCCCAGTCTCCCGATCCTCCCTCAACCCAAAAGCCCTGCGCAACCTCTCCGTCTCCTCGATCTTCGCCTCAGCAAGCTCATGAACCTGATAAGCCTTAAGATTGCGTCTATCCCTAGCCGCAGCCCCAGGTCCAGAAGGCTTCTTGAAGCCAGACTCCCCCCGCTCCAAATCCTCCTCAAGCTCCTTCAGCAACCGCTGTCGAAGAGTATCACAACGCTCATCAATCTCCTCTTCACTGAGAACCTTCTCTTCCTCGCCATCCTCGCCATCTTCATTCTTAGCACCGCTCTTCTTCTTCTTATCGGCCTCTTCTTCAATCCGCTCATTATCCTCTTCCAGTCGTTCCCGCTCTTCCATCACTTTCACCTCGATTGCGCGCTTGCGGTCGTGCTCCAGGATCTGCTTGTCCGGCATCCGCTGCTTGAATGGTCGGTCCATTGGCCCGCTGCCATTCGCACCGCTGATGGGTGGGTAGGGGGCGCCGTAGCCTGTGTTGCGTGGTTTGAGGAGGGCGGAATTGCGCTGCACGTAGCCTGATGTGCCGCTGCCGCGCGGGGTTGTGAGACCGACGTTGGAGGACATTTTGGTGGTTGTTTAGTTAGTCGGTTTAAGGTGAAGTTGTGGAATTTGATTGGAGGATTATTTGGTGGGTTGTGTGTGGTCGTGGTAGTGATTATTCTCGTAGTTGTAGTTTTGCGGGATGAGCTCGGAGCTGGTCTGGATGCCGGCTGTATGTAGGTTCTTTCGAGCTCCGATTGGAGGCTCGACGATGACAGGTGGATTAATCGAAACCGCAGGGTTCTATCCGTTGACACGCAGAGAGATAGCGCTGATCACAGTGTCAAGGTAGAGGTGGAAGTGGCAGACGGGATTCAGTCCAACTTCATCAAAATGCGCCGTCTTATCGGAATCACGGGATTGATGTCACGTGCGATACGAGCTATTTGTCACGTGTTGGGCAGTGCAAATGGTCTCTTAAGGTCGTTAATCGGTCATGCTACGATATGAAGGAATTGGTAACTGATTTTAGTAAAGTTAACAGTCAAGTCATAATGCATTGATAATACAGCCACTAGCAAGAGAATAAAAGAGAGCCACAAGGGAATTATCAACACGGCATAGCGACCCGGAAACAAGCAAGACGAAGCCCACAAGAGCCGGCAGCTATAACAAGCTACCAAAAGCCAAGCAGAATCATGCATGTTGATCGAGAAGCACAGAAGCAAGAATGCCTTCGAATGAACACCTCAATGCGAAAGGAAAGCCGTAGAGCTCAGGACCAGGACTCATAGCCATAATTTTTTGAATATGTTGATTCGGTCATGGAAATAGCGGAAAGAAATGTGTGGAAAGAAAGTAGGTAGTTCTGGCTAGATCATGCAGATGCCATGGCACAAGGTAGCTGCTGTGCAAAGTGGTTTGATTCTTTTGCTGATATTTTCTGCTGGATCCGAATGTGAATGTGGAAGGTCCGGTACTCCATGCTATGGGCATATGCGCTTGGAAATCATGAAGAGCGAAATATCATATCCGTCCCGCTTTCCGAGCCTGTTGCCGATTTTTCCCCCATCACAGCCGTTAACCCCATGACAAAATAAAAATAAATGGAAGAAGTGGAAAGAACAAAGACGCCGGAGCCATATCGATTCTCGGACCTGGATCTCATAGCGAGAAGCATTGACAATGATTCACAAACACAATCGTAAAAATAAATGAACATGTCAAGAAAGAAACAAGAACAAATAAGGTAAAATAAGAAATAAGTCGGCGGTCCGAGATCGAGATCAAGATCAACACGAGTAAAAAGAAATAAAGAAATAAAGACATTCCAGGCCCTCATTGTTGCGCCGTAAAAAGCCATGGCCAGGTAAGGGAGAATCACATAGACGTTGGTAACATATATCCCGCCTGATTCCCCTGTATGTATACGCCCAATATTAGATAGAGAACAAGAAGTCACTCGGCTCAGATCAAATCAGGATTAGAAAGATTATGTTGGGCGAGCAAGATAAAGTGTGCAACGAATTAGTGAGCACTAGTGACATCGACCGGGACGGTAACACCGGTGTTGCCTGTCTCGGGACTCGAAACCGAGGTCACTGTGCTCTTAGCAAGGCCCTTCGACTCAAGGGTCGTATCGACGGTGGGCTGGGCATCCGTCGGGGGAGGGGTGGGTGGGGCATTACCCACGAAAGGGGCCCGCGCCTGCTCGGTGGGGATTAAGCGCTTAGCGGGTTGTGGAGAGGATTTGTGGGAGTGAGGAGGAGTGGTCGAGGTGGTGTGAGACAAAGGGCCAGTCGCAGGAGAGTTGGGGTCAAAGATGAGCTTCTCGATAGCGACGATCTGCTTGCCATAGCTGAACTTCTTCAACTGGCTGAGCAGCGGCTTGATTTGATCGATGAGGGCTTCACGCTCGGCATCTTTCAATTGGCCTAGGACTTTCTCTGTTGGGGGTTAGTATAGCACATAATGAGTGTTGGAGTTGAACTTACGAATAACATAGTTGCCATACTGGTCACGCATGAGACCAAGAAGGGGGCTCTCGCCGCGGTCGTTGGTAGAGGTTAGGGTACTGATGATGTGGATACGCTCATGTTCCGCACCGAACTCAATGCTCTTCTCAACCACGTTGCTAGCAAATTTGTGCTTGGAGTAGGCGAGGAGCTGTCCCATAACGATATCGATCATGCGAGTACGGTCCTTCTCATCGCCGTTTTCAATAACGTGCTGGATGACATAGTTACCAAACTGGTCAGGAATCAGATTGGAAGTGCAGGCATGAAGCTCAGCCAGAATGGACTGCCGGTCGACCTCCTCACAGTGCTCAAGCATTCTCTGAATGACACGGCAACCGTAAGGATGGGCAGCCAGTCTATTGACCTGCCCTCGGAAGGCATTGATAATGAACTGTACGTATTCCGAAGGAACACGTTCAATGGCCTTCTGGATCACATGGTTACCATTCTGATCACGAACACACTTGAGGACATGGTTCTCTAGCTCCTTGACCATCGCAGCTTGCTGGTCAGTCAGGATGTGCTCCAGGGCCTTCTGGACGACTCGGCATCCATACATCTGGGTCGACAGAGCTAGAACATGGCCGCGCATCTGGTTGGCCAAGATCTTCTTCTGGGTCTGGTTACCGTGCTCGAACAACTTCTGGACGACGTAGTTACCAAAGACATCAGTCATCAACTGAAGACAGTTGGGCTGGATCTCGCGGAACACCTGCTCCTTCTCGTCGCTGTTCGCGGTTTCAAGCTTTTGCTGGATAAAGCGGGAGCCGTGTTGGTCACCACTGAACTCAACCACGTGGTTGTAGATGTCCTTCAGCTCGTAGCGCTTGTTTCCCTTACTGTTGGCCCTGAACTCTTCTAGGAGGGGGCTACGGACAACCTGGCTAGGATCATGCTCGCGTTGAGTGCGCGACACCAAAGCAGCGGCACCGAGACCACTAAGGTGGCCGACTGGGTAGAATCCAGAGAGAGCGTTCAAACGAGAAGCCTGGTAGGCTTGGAAATCGTAAGAAGGAGGGTATTGCATCCGCGAGGAACCTTGGGCAAGCTCCTGCTCCTGGAAGTTTCGTAGCCTGCGCTCGAATGCTGCCGCCTGGCTTTCATTCGCACCTGTGTTGCGGTATTGACCAGATGCACCGTCCACGCCAGTGTAAATCGGGCTATCCATGCGAGCGTAGTCCGAGGGTGAGATAGAGCCGGTGTTCGCGGCTCTGGATCGTGCCTGGTAAGCTAGCTGCATCTCCTGTGCAGCCTCTGCGGTATATCCAAGTGCCTGGTAAGCATCTTCGTTGTTCTGGTACTTCCCGCGCTGGAAAGTGCCATCAAAGGATGCGTGAGGAACGAACGAGGGTCGCTGAGCTGCTTGGGAGGCATAGTTAGCTTCGTTGAGCTGCAGCTTGCTAAACCCGGCGTTGAGGTCCATCGAGCCACTTGTGTAGCGGCCATCGATGCTGTGATTGTCGGAGTAGAAGGAGGGATGGGCGGAGTGGGCGGGACGCTGGGTAGCGTATGAGGCGGAGTTGTGAGAAGCGTGAGATAGTGCGCTGCGGCCCTGGGGTGGGGACATATGCTCGGCAATTCCAGATCCCAATGAAGAAATACCCATTGAAGCACCCATGCTATCTCCACTTGCACCATCGAGGGGATTGGAGAAGCCAGGCTTCACAGGGAAAGTCGCTCCCACAGGGCTGCCACCGAGACCGGTGGTGTTGATCTGTCGTCGACCGGCAAACCCACCGAAGGAGATGCCATCTCCGGAAGGAGACACACCCTCCGACCCAGCGTTGAGGTAGGGCCTGTGGCTCGCAGTGCCAGCGGCGGTGTTGATGCCAGTGGTGCGGGTTAAGGCAAAGTAGGAGCTATCACTGGTTTCATTGATAGCAGGAGCACTGCGGTCGTTTGCACGAGCCTGGGTGGGGGATGTGGCGAGGCCTCTATTCTGGAAGGCGGGGTTGGTGTTGACAGTGCTCCATGGCAGGTTGGCACGTCCCGACCACCCGTCTGATTCCGATGTAGAAAGGAGGGATCCCGATCCGGACTTCCCTTCGAATGCAGTCTCGCTGAGATGTTGATCTGCAAGCTGCGTCAGCACAGCCCATTTCGCAATCTGTGTACGATAACTTACCATCACCGAATCCACCTAGGTTGGAGTCGCCCCAGATGTTGTTCTTCCAGCTAGCCTTGCTAGCACCGAAACCCTTACCGACACTGTTGCCTTGTGATCCGCGGTTGCGGTCGTTCATCCCGGAGGAATTCATGTTGGAAGCCCGGTTTGATCGTGCCTAAATCCGCTGTTATTACGGGTATTCGATTGACATTCAAAATTCCACTCACGTTGTGTACGCTGGTTGCATTTGCGGCCATGGTAGAAGCCATCCCAGTAAATCTCCGATCGGCAGAACAGTAATTCGATATGTACTCGAATGGCGAAGATTATTTGTAGATGGTTCGGAAGAGGTTGTCTCGTGGTAATAAATCACAGAACTGAGACGATCGGCCGATACTGTGTCGACTAGTATTTGCAAACGGGCACCAGGCACCAGAGACGGCGTACACGAAGGAATATAAGACTGTGATGAGAAGCCCATGTTAGCAAGGTTTGGGCCATATTGGGCAATGTTGCATCGGGATGCCAGGTTCGGGGAAAGGTACAAGGGTACCTAGGGTGTCGAAGTGTCTTGGAAAGGAAAACTCACCAAATGAGGGGATAGAAGGGATCACAAGAAAGAGAAGAAAAATGAATGTAGTCTTCTGTATTGCTCAAGAGGCGAACTCAGGACATGTACAGATTATACAGGAGCAAGAGAGGAAGGGAGACGGAAGGAAGGGAGGAAGAGCGACAAGCTCTGAATGAGGCGAGAAATGCTGAGTGTGGCAGGAAGGTCGATCGAGCTTGACAGCGATAGAAGATGCAAGGTGACAAAGAATTGGAACGATTATTATCACCCTTTCGTTTGCTGCAGCAGTGTGGGGTTTTCGAAGTTGGTAGCCGGAAGGTTCAGAATTGAGGAGGCGCCGCGACGTTACTCTGCTCCGTGCATGCTCCAGGAATCTCCCAGTTGCAGATCGTCCTCATGTGCCTTGTGGAGAGGCGATCCCCGAGAATGGTAATTAGAACGTTGGGGGACCCTAGATTGATTGGTAGGCAAGGGGTGTCTGGAGGGAAGATTTTCGAGCGGGACTAAGAGAGGATAATGGAATGCGCTCGCGCAAGAATAAGAATCTTGGATTTAGAGGGAATGTGGATGAGAGACAAGGCACGGCATTAATGTAGTCCAGCTGTCACACAGGCGCCAGCATGACAGCCCAAGGGTATTTTTTTTTGTGTGGCTGTTGGGTGTTTTTTTTTGGTGAGGCGGTGATGAAGGGGAAAAAGGAAAAAGGTAAGGAAAAAAGAAAAAGAGGAGACGTTCTCAAATAAAAAGGACAATTAAAAAAAAAAGTCACACGAAGAAGGAAAAGAAAAGAAAAAAAAGAACAGAACAAGAGTCAATTGGATAGATAACAAGGAAAGAAAGATGATTTCTCAAGCAGATCAGCCGCTGTATTGCCGCGTAATTACCATAACCATGTGAACAGGTCGATCTTGGCTGGGACCTGATGGTACTTCAATTTAGGTTTGAGTTTAGCTGTAAACTGAAGTATCTTTTTCAGCCATTTGTTTCATGGCGTATGTATTTAGTTGTCACCGCGATCTAACTCCCGGCGCTTCTTTTTTAGTCTGGCCCCATTCTTTGTCTTGTTTTCACATCTTATATATATGATATATATATATATATACATAAACATTCTATTTTATTGTATTGCAATTCTATTTCATACTTATAATCCATGGTCCAACTTAATACAAATAATCCCTGGAACAGTACCGAATGGATGGGTGAACGAGCAAACCTAAAGTCACTAGAGAGATTTAATACGGTCAAATATTCCTATCCACTCCAACTCCCCAGCAATTTATGTTGACCATGGAAACTATACGCCCTATAGAAAGAACATACTCCCGAATGGAGCCGGTGCCTGACATAAGACAGCTTTTTCTCTAGGGAATTTGGGTCCAAGCCGAGATTCTATACTAAATGAAGCTTTAATATAATTCCTCGGCAACAGCTTATCTTAAAAAGATTGTTTCTTCCGATCGGGGGCCCACTAAGCCCCTCCCACTTTAGCCTTAAAACATCAAGTAAGGTACACTCTATATATACCTACATAGGGTATAGCATATATATTATCCTATTACGGAGTAAACGTCTATTCCGGTTGGATCCGGAAACATTCTTGAAACCTTTCTAACTGTGGGCCTGTCATTCCAGCATTGGACGTTAGCTTACTTTCTCCGGTCAGGAACTCAATGAAGAGGGGTGCATTTGTTTCTTGTGTTTTGGCTTTTTGTTTTCTTTTTTTTATGTCCTCTCTGTTTCTATTCTACCCGTGCGCCGGGGTATTGCCCAATCCCTTGATTCTCTTAAGTCAAACCCCAACTAGTCATGCAATAGTCTCGCGACCATCGATAGAAGTACGCTTGGGGCAGTGAGGCCCAGATCCAGAGGAATTATCTGCGAAAAAAAAAAATAAAATAAAATAAGTGCGCGACTTGAGTAGACTTCCATAGACTCGGCCAGCCCCTTGCTTCGGCACGTCGTCACACTGACCCTTGGATCAAGCTATAGGTAAAGTGTGGGATGCGCCCTGCTGAATGACGAGATTCAAGTGTTCATTGTCTGGGTCAGAAGCTCATAGAAAGCCATTGACAGAAAAAGAAAAAAAAAATTGGGTCATCTAGCATGTGTTGGTGAACATTTGCCCTCAACGTTGCGGTGTCCAGTCATCGCGGTGTAATCCCTCCCGGCGAGATTGGAAAAAGGCCGAGACATCGACTGGCAAAGGGAGAGTCATACAGCTTGCAGACTGACAAGGATACTCGCCTTTGGATCCTTGCACAGGGGTTGCACAGGTCAAGTGTCAGTCCATTACTCGCAGAAATCTTCCCCGGATCTGATCTCTGAGGGGCATTGCCCGCCTTGCGTCCAACGCCCGTAGCCTTAGGACCACTCTAGGGACCCGAGCGCAATGGACTACTTGCCGTGACTATTGGGCGTTGGCCGTGCTACCAGTTTCCGGGTACTAGGTTGTTGCTTTTTCTATGATGATCGTCCTTTCTCCGAGTTTGTGATGTATCGAATTGTGTGTTGGCCGCCCCTGACCGTATGATGAAAGATGCAGACTCTGTCCACTATGTATGCCAAGATAATCTTGTAACATACCTAGAACATGTCAGTCGGTGCAGTTGACAAATTTTGATAGTGACCTGGCTGTGTTCTTCATCTCGAGTGTCAAGTCTTGGCAGTATCGATAGAAGATCAGGGTTTATTAAAGAGCACTCAACCTGTTCTAGGTCCTAGACGCTAGGTTTCTGCCTTTCTGTATTGATGGGGAATTTCTTGAGGCTTAGTTTATATTGCCCCCAAATCCCGATGCTTCTCATGATGTCTCTCATGTGTCAACACAATAGTCAAAGTCCCCCCACATAAGAACTTAACAGACGGACCACTTGTGATATTATATTTTGCCAATCAGCATACAAATATTACGAGGAATATTTGAAAGCTAGACTAAAAACCCAAACAACAGTTCTCGCCACAAGATCATATCCAGAGACACATTCGATGAAGAAATAGCTCACCTGGCACCAGCCTAATTAAGTATACCAGAGCCAAAACGACACGCACCAATTCAATGTATTAAAACTGGGCACTTTATTTGTGGCACCGGGACCGCGTGCCCTTGTGCTGTGTGTCGCCGATGTGGCTGCAAAATCCATGCAAGAAGGATACATGCAGTCCAGGCGATTGACACATCCAGCATGTGGCAAACAGTGGTTACAGTGACCTTGCATGTCAGGTGTATGGATGTTTACTCCGTCTAGATTGTGTCGCCCATACTTATTATAGACAGTTGCTTTCAATATAGTCTATTCCATTGTGATATATATAGTTATTGAGCAACCACTTATATATATATGTCCACCAAGGAGACACCTAAGTGCTTGGCACATTACTTTATTTCGGATTAATCCAATGGGAATGGAATTAAATATTAGCTACATCATTTCAGAATTGAAGGAATTCAATATAAAGGGTGCAACATAGTAAATCATGCTTGATATTCGACATGTTTATAGACCTCGCTATAGTTAGTCTAACGCCCAAGTTAACTTCACCTATATAATACAATCTCTCAACTGTGTCAAATTCGGTAATTTGTTGCTTGTTTTTGTTTCTATGCTAACAAAAAATGGTTGCTATTTACCTATAGTTATGTTTGGTTGACGCGTACTAGGGCTTTGTTTATATGTCTCGAGGATTGCCTAGGTGCATAAGATCTAATCTCCTCCCACATACTTTTTTGAAACACTCATTTCCTGCTTATTTTTACAGCATCAAGAGCATAAATCATGTGACTATGTAGACAATTAGACTTTGCATTGCACCGTAAGCCAAATCTGAGGGATTTATTGTGCGACCACACTAAGCGCCAGCCATACTGCCTATATATCTCTTTTTTTCTTCTCAAAAGAAACATCTTGAAGGTTACAATATAAATCTCTACTTCGTATATAACATATAACATATAAATTTATGCGAGTTTATGAGCGTGGATCTCAGGGGAACCAAAATAAACAGGCATAGTTCAGTGGGGCCACCTGGCGAATAATATGGCACAAATAACCCCCAGAGGGTCCGTTCTCCAGGCACTGAGAGCTTATGATTGGTTGGTCCCTGGGGCCAAGATGCCCCGAGCAACCCTAAGGAACAGCGCTAAGCTCTGAATAGCTTAGCTCTACACTAACAATAGCAAAGCCGTTCTAGGCTCCCAGCGGTTCTCCTCTTCTCCCCTTCCTCCTTTTCTGTTTTCCCTTCATTCTCATTCCATCCCCTCCATTCTTTTCCCACAGGTGCCAGCTTCACTCTTTCAGCGGCTCACCTTGTGTCCATTCTTTCTATAACTTACCCACTCTCGTTTTCGATTCTTCACCCTTTTTTCGACACCGTGACAACTCGCACATTCCATCGCGTCGGACTAGTTACTTCCCCAGATTCATCCTGTGACACCTTCCTTGGATTCCGAAATCGTCGATCACATACATATCTGTCGATTTCCGATATTCTCAAACTCGGTATCGAAAAAAAACCAACCGTCGACAACCGACAAGATGAACAACCTATTCCCCCGTATCGTTGCTCGCGATGATGACAATGACAACGATAGCGGACTGTCCAACACCATGGTCGACCTACTCATTGCCCTCCTCGTTCTCGTTCTACTATCTCTCGCCCTAGTCGGTGGTCTGCTCATCCTCCGCCGCAAGCGTCAGCGGAAACAGAACCTGCTTCCAGTCCACAATGGACAGTCTCTCAACAAACGCCGCCTCACTATTTCCACAAATAAAACCGACTCCATCCTTGTCTATGACGAGAAACGCAGCCTCATGGAGAACTCCCACAGCCCCCCACCTAGTCCTGTACCTGAGATCCGCATTACCTTCCCAGAGGAAGAAGACGCGAGCGGCAAACGGACGTCTGGCCGCATGGTTATTGTCCGAATTAGTGACGCTGGCAGCGTCGGCCTGGAACCCTGCCATGAGGAGCTTCCTCCATACCAAACCACCGATACCGGTCGCTTCCAGTCCCTGGACATGGATCGTATGGGCGGGCTGAAGGAGAAAGACGAGAGGAAGACGTATCATTAAAGGCGTGTTGTCAAACCAACCTGCTTAATTGACCAATCGCGTATTTCGCCCGCATAGCGCTTACTCCTTTCTCCTACATTCGACGACTTCTCCAAACATGACGAGTTCCCTGTCAAATATCTTTTGCGACTCTACCATTTACATACCCTTCCTTCCCTGATCTGGCCTTCATGGCTTGCACATATGTCCTTCAGTTTCCATTTTGGTATCCCAAGCATACTGTCGGGATACCTGATTCCTGGACAGAATCATGTGTACTCCACACTGCTAGGATTCCAACATTTATCGAAACTGGTTCGTTCATAGCGAGGGCCTGCCGATTTTTCTCCATCTGCTTTCTGGCGTTTGATTTCTTAAGCCTGGTTCTTCATGTCTCTTTCGCCCCTGCTACGTTCCTAGGGACCGATCTACATGTGACATCATTCCTGCTTTCGATTTTCTTTTCTTCACACCCCCTTTATGGGGTCCTATTTTTACGTTTTATTTGGGCCTCTATTTAACTTCTCTTCTCATGTGCCTTTTTTACCCGGTACTCGGCAGCTGGATAATGTATGTACTTAGTCCTCCTATGTTGATTTACGCAAATCTGAATCTATCATTTTTTCCACATATCTTCAACTTTTTCTTTCTCCAATATGTATACTAAGCGTATCTAAGGAGAAAACCAAGATATATAAAAGGAAATCGTGTGTCTATGAACTATCACGGGGTTCCCCAATTGTCATTCTGACTATAGAAAGGGCTTGACATGTCAATATATACCGTTGCTCCACTAAGAAATTAACCCATCTTCTCCAATCACCTTGTCCTAGTCCACCCCAAGACAGTGGCATTATCAGTCGTCATCCATAACAGCCTCGCTCGCCATACCCTCCAGCGTCTCCCGGAGTATCTCGCGATTTCGATACAAGAACCAGTGATCACCATCCACTTCTATGAGACGGAATTCCTTCGTCTGCATACTCCACCCAGCTGCCTCCTCCGGGTAAACAATATCATCCTGACGAGCCGCAAAGGCCGTGATGGGTATATCCAACGGCTCCTCTTCGTGGAACTGGTAATTGAGCAACAAAGGCGCATCCAGCTTCATCAGAGGCAAAATCGAGCGCACAAGATCCGCGTTGTCAATATATCGTGCCACAGCTAGCAAATAATCGGGCGTGGAATCCTCCCTTAGAGTCTCCATCATGATATCTCGCTTCTGCCAGATCCTCACCATATGCGGTGCGATCGTACCCGTGATGAGAAGGCGTGGTAGTGGCTTCCCACGTCGTCGGAGACCACGGAGAACTTCAAATGCAATGATTCCTCCAAACGAATGACCCCAAATAATGTGCGGTCTCCCGATCACATCTTCCATCTCGTCTAGGATGCCGGTCACGATTTGAGATATGTTCGTTACGACGGGTTCGTCTGCGCGGGTCTCTCGGCCTGGAAGCTGTACTGCAATGGGATCTAACCCGGCTGGAGGGTCTATTAAGAAAGGAAGGAAGAGAGTTGCGCCGATTCCCATGGAGTGGAAGCATAGTACTCGCGGACGGTTGGCGTTAACGGGTTTACCCCGAACGAACCACGGTGAAAGTGTGATTAGACCATCGTGAGGCATGAACTTAGAAGTGTCGTTCACGGTGTCGTTCAGGGTTTGTGAGGCCGATTCGTTGCCGTGAGCGATACCGTCTAGATCCGCTGCAATCTCCTGTAGACTAGGCCCTTCGAAAAGCCTGATGAGAGGGTATGGAAGTCGGAATTCACGCAGGATCAAACTTCGCACTTGTGTGAGAGTCAGGGAGTCGAAAGAATATTTGTTGATCTTTTCTGTTGGCGATATCCGGCTACTATCCACTCCTAGTATTTTGGCCAACCCTGCTTGCAGTATATCCGTGATCGCCTGGGTCCGCTCTGGACCCGTTAGTTGAGATAGAGATCTACCAGAGTCACCGCTTCCCTCTGACGTCTGTTGTTTGTTCAACCCGACATAAGCACCGTCCAGGGTTAAGTGGGGATAGGATTTGAAGAACATTGACCAGTCCATCTTAGAAGCGATGCTTTGTGCAGTGTTATAAATGGCAGCGCGCTCAAAGGTAGACAAGACAGTCGGGAGATTCAGGACGTGAATCCCGTCTGACTCGGCCAACTGAAGTACTCGGTCATTATGAGAGGACTGGCGAGACATTCCTGCATAATCCCCCAGAACCCCAAGGTTAAGCGAGGCTCCAGGGAGGCCGGACGCTTGGCGATGATGTGCAAGCCCGTCGAGGAACTGATTTGCCGCCGCGTAGCTCATTTGTCCTGCAACCCCAAGAATACTGGAAATAGACGATACTAAAACAAAGAAGTCGAGGTCGACCCCTTGTGATGATTGGTGTAGATTCCAAGCACCTAGCGCTTTGGGACCAAAAACAGCACGGAAGTTGTCCATCGTGGTATCATGGGCAGACGCGGCCTCTAGTACACCAGCGGAGTGAATGACACCCGCAATTGGTGGCCAAGTCCTTTCCTGATGGAAGAGGAAGTCAACCACTTGGGCGTCAGTAATATCACCCTTTTCAATGTTGACCGTCGTCCCTCGACGTTGTAAATGAGATATAATAGCGTGGTCTTCAGCAGATTTTGGCCCTGATCTGCTGAAAAGCACTAGATGTCTTGCCCCTCGTTCAACCAGGAATATGGCCAAGCGAAGCCCTAACCCACTTGTACCGCCCGTGATGAGATAGCTTCGATTTTCTTCCAGCCTCAGTTGGCTTGGGGGCGCTACTTGAATTTCAACATCGTCTGGCATTTCCACCACCACCTTGCCAATAATGGCAGACCGGGATAGTTTCTTCAGGGCCGTCGATAGCTCTGTGACCGGATACGTGGTAATCGGCGGTGGAACCAGCTTACCGTCATTGAAAAGCCCACAGATCTCATTCACGATCTGTCGGTGTAGAGCTGGTTTTTCTGCTGCCAACCTATCGACATCAATGGCGAAGAAGGAACAGTTTTGCCCAAATTGCTCTTGGTAAAGCCTCATGTTCCGATAGATGTCTGTAGTTCCGATTTCTAAAAATCGCCCAAACGGAGCAAGGCATGCCATAGATTGCATGAACATGGCCCCGGTCAGGCAATTAAGCACGACGTCGACGCCCTGACCATTGGTGGCCTGCATGACCTCATCATGTAATGTCAAGGATCGGGAGTCGAAGGCTGCTTCAACTCCCACACTGGTCACCCAAGCTCGACGGGCCGGGCTTCCGGCTGTTGCGTACACACGGGCGCCAATCAGTTTCGCAATTTGAATTGCTGCTGATCCAACTCCACCAGCTCCTGAATGCACTAGAACAGTTTCACCCGGCGCGAGCCGCCCGAGATGCACAAGGGCATAATACGCCGCGGTGAAAGTAGTTGGCACACAAGCTGCCTGGGTGATAGAAAGAGACGAGGGGATAGGCATGACAAGATCACGATTGGAAACGGCGTAACCTGCGATGCCGTTCGAAACCCGGGCCATAACTGGAGTGCCGTAATCAATGTCCGTCACATTCTCTCCGATGTCTGTGACTCGTCCGGCCACCTCAGAACCCAGGGTTTGACCTGTTAGACCAACCGAGGTCACTCTATCGCTTAGAAGGCCCATTGAATTCATGACATCCTTGAAGTTCAGGCCTGCAGCGTGGACTTCAATTCCCACTTCATCTGGACCTAGATTTGGGAGAGAATGCTGTCTCAGAATGACACCATCCAAAGAACCGTTGGTGTTGCGCTCCGCGTGATATTTTCCTCCTCTTGCAGGAAGAGAGATTTGGTTCTGCTTTTCTTCCTCTTCAATGTCCACAACCACTATTCTTCTGACATACTGGCCTTCTGATCGTAGGGCCACCACTGTCTCATGGCGGCCAATTCGAATGGTTTGCAGCTCTGCCTCGAGTAGAGTAGTTTGGTCGCCAGCCGTGTTAGTTGCGAGATCAACGACACGAATTAGAGAATGTGGCAGCTCGTTTGCCAGAACACGTGTAGCCGCTTCAAGGGATGAGGCCAGGGGATTGCATTGTGTATCGGCCGGGGTCATACAAGCCCCCTCGGTGAGCACAACCACCATGCAAGTGCCATTCTGAGCATGAATCCAAGATGCAACACGCGCGAAAGTCTTTATCACAGCATCTAACTTGTTGTAAATATTCGATTCTGGTGTCTCCGATAACAATGCTGGTATTATGAGAAGTGTCCGACGGTCCAAATTGAAACCCCATTTAGCAGCTTCCCACGAAGCTCCAAATGAATCTATCTTCTCTTCGTGAATTGCTGAATGTGGGAATGACCTCTGAACCGTATTTGGCAGCCAATCCCACTGATAATCTGATGGGTGAAGGATCAAAACATTCCGAAGATTCGCGTCTGTCCTATTTGCCTGCTCTTCGACCTCCAGCTGGAAACGTACTTGGTGTTCTGTGGGCTGAGATAGAGATTTGCCCTGGAGACGTTTTGTCGTTAAGCCGTTCAGCCTGGCAATGAGCTGACCTCTATCTCCATATACCAACACATTGCACGCGAGGAACGTATGGTCGTGGCGATACACCTGGACATGTGCAAAGGCAGCTGTGATAGGACTGTCATTCACAATGTGCACTGCCTCCACGTGGCTGGGTAGATACACCTGGGTAGGGTCGCCGACATAATGCTGATGAGCGTACAATGTGTGGACAGCGGCATCCAAAAGCGCGGGATGAAAGTTGAACTGTGTCGCCTCCTCATTCAACGAAGCGGGGAGTTCCACCGCAGAGAAAACCTCAATTCCAGAATACCACATCTTTTGGACGCATCTGAATGATCTGCCGTACCGAAGGCCTGCCTCCTCGAGTTTCTGGTAGAATCCGTCCACGTCTACCTCTTGCCCTGACTGTAGACGAGCCTTTATGCCATCAAGATCCTCAGTGGCTTCGCCGGGAGGCTCATCGTGTGCATTTATCCGACCTCTGGAACAGACTTGCCAGCCGTCCTCGGGGGCTGCACCTGCCTGTCGAGAGCTAAGAACAAAATCGTTGGCGGCACCGACAATCTCAAGCATGACTTGAGGGGCGAAATCTTCCGCTGGGGCCAGAACAACAGGGTGTTCAAATCGGAGATCTTCTAACCAGACCGTCTGATGTTTCATATATTTGCTTGCGGCTAGATATGTCGCTTCGATATGTCCCGTCATCGGGAATACAATTGCCCCGTCAACCACATGATCACTGAGAAATGGTGACACGCCGGTGCTTAACCTGAGTCGTATGATACCACGTTCATTATCGGTCAGGCTTGTTGAGGCTACAAGGAACGGATGACGAGACTCTGCAAGGCGGTTCTGTTGAGCTTCCGGATTCTCGAACCAGTGATGCTGCCTTTGGAAAGGATATAGGGGCAGATCAATAAAGTGACCCCCTCCACCGTTAAACGATAAAATGTCGACGGGAATACCGACAGCATGTGCGGCACCTATGACACGGGAGATAGGTTCAACATCGCTACCGCGAATCATGGCTGGAAGCAAATGCACTGGGCTCTTAGCAGCCTCTGCAATTTCTCGGGTTCCAGATATTAGAACGGGGTGCGGCCCTATCTCGACCAGAAAGTTCATGCCATCTTCAATCATATGCTCAACAGTCTCAACATATCTGACCGGCTTGCGTATGTTGTTGAACCAATATGTCCCGGTCAGATGCGTCCCCGGCTCAATGGCCGTGGTAACAGTGGAATACAGACTTAGTTCAGTCTGTTTCCCCTGAATGGAGGACAAGGCCCCGAGAAGTTCGTCTTCCAGGGGATCCATAAAGTGACTGTGATATGGAGTGTCTACCTTGATGAACCGAGCGAACATGCCACGCTTCTCCAGCTCTCTGGCGACGAGCTCGAGTTCGGTCACAGCCCCGGTGAGAGTAGTCATTTTGGGACCGTTAAAAGCTGCCATCTCCACTTTGCCAACAACCTGAACGAGTTTGATGATATTCTCGGCTTCTGTGGCTGATGCTCCCACGGCTAACATTGACCCAGCGCCGGCAGCCTTGCTCTGAATCTGGGACCGATGGTATATTACTCTGACGGCTTCTTCCAGGCTCAGGGCACCAGATATATGGGCAGCAGCAATCTCCCCGATGGAATGTCCCACACAACTATCCGGTTTGACACCATAGGAAATCAGTGTTCTTGCCAGTGCGATCTGAATTGCCGCTATCGCTGGCTGGGCTATGGTGGTTTGCGTCATCTTCGAATCGTCGACAGGGTACCCAAAGATCTCTGCAATAATCGAAAAGTGTGCGAGAGGGGTAAATATTCCATCGAAGGCAGCCAGATGGTCTCGGAAAATAGGTTCTTGATATGCAAGACGCATACCCATCCCAAGCCACTGGCCACCTTGGCCAGAGAACACAAAGGCAACCTTAGGGGATGGTGCACCTGGCAGTTTTTGTAGCACTAAGATTTCTTGGATGCCTGCTCGGAGCCTAGTAGATCAAGTCGGTGACATAGCTCTTCCAAGCCATTTGCTGGAATGACCGATATCTCGGAGTGTTTATCTCGACGCATGTTCAGAGTATACGCAACATCCTCAAGCGAAGGCTTGTGTAAGCGCAGATAAGAAGCCAGATCTCTGGCAGCCTGCGCCAAAGCAGCCTGCGACTTTGCAGATAGGCTGAAAACGCGCCCTCCACGAGAAGGTGTCTTAATACACGTGCTAGTATCATTTGGCGCCTCCTCCAGTATGATATGCGCATTGGCACCTCCAGCTCCAAAGGAGTTAACACCGACCAACATCTTCTGATCGTGGTCACGGGGCAATAGGGTTCTCTCGGTTGGTATTGCAAGGCGTAGGGCCTTGAAGTCGATCGAAGGGTTCGGGTTTTTGTGATTGATCTGCGGGGGGATCTCGCCATAGAAAGTGACGAGAGAGGCTTTGATAAAGCCAATAATTTCAGCAGCACCCTCAAGGTGGCCAAAATTTCCTTTCACCGATCCTATCCATAGTGCATCGTCATCCTCGGAGCGTCCCTGTCCAAGTTGCTCCCCCAGGGCCCTTGCTTCGATGGGATCACCAACGACAGTGCCTGGCCCGTGAGCTTCAACATACCGAATCTTTGTCGGGTCTACTCCTGACTGCTTGTAGACCGTCTCTAACAGCTTTTCCTGTGCGTCCAAGCTCGGAACAGTGAACCCATCTGCGGTGTATCCGTCTTGATTCACGAGCGAACCGCGAATGGACGCATAAATTCTATCATTGTCTTGAACTGCTTTGCTGAGAGGTTTCAGGTAAACAACTCCTACACCTTCGCTGCGAACATAACCATTTGCCGATGCATCGAACGGTTTGCACGATCCATCTGGAGACAAGAATCCAGCCTTGGATAACAGTATTGACGACTCGGGTCGAAGAATAACATTAACCCCGCCAGCTAGAGCCCCCTCGCTTTCTCCTGTCCAGATGCTTTGGCAGGCAAGATGCAGCGCCGTCAAGCTACTAGAGCAGGCAGTATCTAGCGTGACACTTGGGCCCTGCAGGTTCAATCGATGGGATACTCGGTTTGCTGTTGCCCATACCATGGATCCCATGGCTGCATGCGCGCTGGTGCTATCTCGTTGTTCGGTGGTCATCTGCATGGTCATGTGGTCATACATGAAGGTGCCCATGAAAACACTCGTCCGTGAGCCAGCCATGTTCTCAACAAGAGTGCCAGAGTCCTGGAGAGCATGAACACTTGCTTCAAGAACGAGCCGCTGCTGAGGATCAATCCTGGATGCCTCGGCTGGATAGTAGCCAAAAAATTCAGCATCAAATGACTTGACATCGTCGACGAAACCACCCTTGCGGCTCCGGATTGTCCCATATTTTTGGGGATCTTTGTCGTAGAACGAGTTGAGATCAAAACGATCCTTAGGGATATCACCCACCACCTCTAGGCCATTCTGCAAGGTTTCCCAGAATTCCTTTGGTGTGGAAATGCCCCCTGGAAAGCGACAGCCAATCCCGACAACTGCAATAGGCTCACGATTCGAAGCAGCCATTTTTTTTGATTTTGCTTTTTTGAAAAAGAAGTAGATTTAAAAGATAGATAGAACAAAGTGCCCCGAAAAGTGTCTGAAACAAGAAGGCAGTCGTTTATCGGATTGATTGATGCAAAAGAGAGGGAGATTCAAGAGTTGAAATACTTCAATTCACCCCCATCAACCCAGAATTGTATCACCTTCCTTATTGGGGTCAATTCCCGTTTACACCTACTCATGTCAAAGGAATTAGGGTCTCTTGATGTGAGGATCCAGATTAGGGACCTCCTCCGTCATCTTCGTCATTAAACCACTTCGAGCAACCTAATTATATTATCTCTATAGTTGGTCTCCCAAATTCTCAGCCTCCTGTTCAGTGAAAAGTGGGTTATTGACATCACAAATTCCCTATTCTATCAAAACGTGCTTTATGCTTCATAGGCCATGTGTGCCGCGATAGGGCTGGTGTATTCCATAGGCCAGGATTACATCCACATGGAATGACATTCCAAGATTCCTTTCAAGGTTTCTTCACTGCCCCATATATCAGCTTGTGGCTTGCCGTATAGAGCTACTCCTGACGGGCTACTGTCACAGCTCGAGAAGGACATGCACGCCACTGATGATAAGTACCATATTAGACTTTCAAATGCAATAAATTACACAAAAAGAACTAAATTCTCCGTGGTAAGTGATCTATATTAATTATTGGCATTGGCGTTCGGCAAAGAAAAGCAAGTATATCAACGGTACATATGCATACGAAGGTCTGAGGCCTCACCTACCTAACTATCGCCACTTTAAACTTTATATCTAGCAATCTTCTCATATATTGTCCCTCATAAATTTATTATAAATATGGAGACTGGGTGGAGAGAGTTGTTGCTATAGTATTTGAGATAATCTACTTTTTCTTTGGTAGATTAATTTCTTCCTCCCGAGGTCTCCGAGGTATCACTTAGTTTTATCAGATCTAATCAAGTCATATGACTGACCACATATAGGTATTGATATTACGCTGAGTTTATCCTACTCCCGGCGTTTTATCGCCTTAAAAAGATCTTAGTATTGTACGATTGGATGGCGTTCACACCTTGGCGTCTGTACCACCTAAAATTCCAAGATTTCTCCAGGGTTTAATTAGATGATTATGAGCACCTGTCCAGGTGTCCGGGTATCCAGTAAACCCGTTAGGTCACATGTATGAATGAAAACCTTGGAAATGCCTTACCCTCATCCTTTTACCTCTCCCTTCTCATCCATATCTATCAAATTGCACTTATTAAACACAATGTGTTCGACTAACTATCAACTCGAAATTTGATGCTATGAGAATAATGAAAGCGTGAGCTCAAGTTGGGTAATGAGACATTAACACATAATGTCTTTGCTGAACCTACTTGATATTGATGCACCTGCGTCCGACAACATACAATAAACAGGAAATTTGCGAGATCTTCATTATATACGTCACACACCCCATTCAGAGGAAAAAATAAGATCATATACAATCAAGGATATACTCCATCTATATTCCATCCCAAATCATTAATATAGGACATCCGATTACCGCCTCTTGTAATTGTAGACGGCTACGAAGCTGTATATACGCCAGGGGTCAACTCTCCATTTTCGGCCAATATTGATGACTTAATGGCTGGCTGGCTTTGGCTTTGACTGGTGCACCGCTCGATAACTATAATTTAATGTAAATTATTCATCCTAAACAGAAGCCCTAACATATAGGCGCCAAGGGCCAACCCCCAATTTAAGCTTAGCGTTGATGCCTTAGTGCCTGACTTTGGTTCCTGCGTGATGTAACTAGTTAACTAACTAGTTACATACCAAGACGTACCGCCTTCCCTTTAGTTATTCTGCCACAAGTGCCACTGCCTTTTCAATGTCTTTCAGTGGTCTTTCCAGTGGTATCTTTAGCAGTTTTCTCAGACAACATTCTGTTTAGATAGGTCGACAGTGAAACACAGCGGAGAAAGGCTCAATTTGTGCGAACGACTTTTCTATCTATACCCTTTGACTACAAAATACCAGCCCTATATCACGTGTATAGAAGCTGACTAACTATATTCGGAGTTTTAGACTGGTAGAACTGGCAGAATATAAAGGCAGGATACAGGGCGGTATATGTAGTTAATTTGGTTTGGCCCAATATTTCGGAGGTACTGTAGTAGAAGTACTCCGTAGGCATTCATCAAATGTTATATCCGCTCACTTTTTCTTATCTCCCTCAATTTTTCTGACCAACGCTTGAACCACATGCTCACCCATCGCAGCAAGACTAGCCATTGCCATGATTTCTAAAACACTAATGTCCAACCCTAAAGACGTCTTTAACCAAACACGCATCTCAACAGCGGCAAGACTGTCCAGGCCGACGTCGACGAGAGAGCGTAAAAGGTCGATTTCAGAATCGTCGTCAACCGGTTTCATGAGGAGGTCAAATACCCATTTGGCGATTTCGGTAGCAACAAACGCAGCCGCTGTTGCCTCGGTAAGAATGGTCGGGTCTACAGCAGCCGAAGAAACGAAATCCTTCAGTTTATCGGCTGAGGTGATCTTCTCCGTAGGCACATTGTCAGCAGCATTGCTAAAATAGGCAGCTAGGCGACTATCGCACAGTATTGTATTTCCATTCGGTTTGCTGAAGATGTCGGCGGTGTCTCTGAGCCCTGTGAGGAATTGTGCTGGATTTGTGTAACAGCTATCGCGCCGGCCCTGTGGAGGAGGGCCATGATGTATGGAAATCGTTATCGCATTAAACAAATCTCTTTGACTCATGCGAGCACAATCGAGTAACTTGACATTGTCCAAGATCGCTGGGTTCTCAGCGACATGTCCAATGCCTTGGACTGCACCAACGTCAATTACTGAAGCCGGCAGTTTGGAGCGATGGCGGAACTGCACGAATGCATCCATGAATGCGTTTCCAGATGCGTAATTTGCCTGTCCAGGTATTCCGAGAATACTACCCATCGAGCTGAAAAGGACGAAGAAATCAAGGTTTGCGTCTAAGCTCGCGTCATGTAGATTCCATGTACCTTGTATCTTTGGTCTGGTAGAAGCGTTCCATTCGTCCAATGTCATCTTGAGAAGCGATGCGTCTTGTAGCACCATAGACATGTTGAAGATACCCTTTAAGTTGGTGCTAGATAAGATGGCCTCCTTGACGTCCGGCAAGTTGCAGACACTTCCCTTGACGGCTGTGATGGAGCAGCCCTGGTCTTTGAGTTCACGGAAAAGCCTATGGTTTGACTCTGAATCTGCGGTTCGGCATAGGAAGATGAGATGTCTAGCACCATGCTGAACCATCCATCTAGCGACTTCACTGCCTAACCCCCCGAGACCTCCTACAAGAAGGTAAGACGCATCGGCTCGGAAAGTGATTGCGTGGGAGTGGGAAATTGCTTCGATTGACGTATCCTGTGATCTGAAAGAAAGCGCTAGCTTCCCGATATGTTGACCGCTCTGCATGTACTCGAAGCATGATTTGACATCATTTGAGGCGAATATCTTCACCGGGATAATAGGTCCCACATGACCCAATGTGTAAAGGTCCATAATTTTCTTCAGCAGCCTGGAACACGTTAATATCAGTTGTCGAGTTCAATGCATGTATAGGACTGGGGCATGGTCTCATACCGTTTGCTTTCTTTGGGTCTGCACTCAATGTAGTCGATTATGTCGATAACAATGTAGCTCATATTCGAATGCAAGGTGCTCTTAGGCAGTTGTCCCGGACTGACCGATGTAGATTTGGCAAGGTTGACCAGCTTACCAAACTTAGCCACACAGTTACAAGAAGCTTGAAACAACTCCCCAGAAAGCGAATTCAACACCAAATCCACCCCGCGGCCGTTTGTCAGCACCATAATAGCCTCCAAGAAAGATGAATCGTGGGAATCGAAAATATGGTTCCGGGGAATACCATGCACTGTTGTAAGGTGCTCAGCCTTTTTCTCACTACTGGCAGTGACATAGATGGTTGCTCCAATCATTTGACTGATTTGAATCGCAGCAAGGCCTACTCCACCCGAGGCAGAATGGATAAGAATAGTCTGCACGTAGAATCAGTAACGTATCACCCCAACGGTAATGGCACAAATACCTGGCCCTTTTGCAGCTGTCCGATGTCACAAATTCCGTGTAGTGCAGTGGCAAACGCAAGCGGCATTGTGGCTGCATTTTCCAGTGTTAAAGAATCGGGAATCTTGATGCAGCGTGATCCTGGAAGTATCATTGACGTAGCAAAGGTGCCAGGACCAAATGCAGCTACTCGGTCACCCGGACAAAGATCCTGAACTTGCGCACCAACTCGGAGCACAATGCCAGCAGCCTCAAGACCCATCACCGTACTAGGTAGTTCCAAAATGCCTAAAAATATAAGGATGTCCTTGGCCCGTTAGCCTTTTCCTGGAAGGTGGAACGGGCTGCATACCTCGAAGTTTACGCCCGCAGTGTCTATCTGAATTTCTACCTCATCATCTGTCAATAACTGCCCTTGCTGTCCTGGATAGGCTGTCCACGCCAAAGAATCAACGCGCCCAGCTGTCCCAACAACAAGAGATAGTCTCGAATCTTTGATGTTCACATGCGCTTCTTCAATCTCTTGGATTTCGTCCTGGACAGAGAGTGGGAATATACGTCCCACATGAATAGCCTCTTCCTGAATGGCATATTCATATTCAGAAAAGAAATCGTCTCCATGACCCCGCCCATGGAAAGTTTCAAAAACATCAATGACAAGCCCGATGCTCGTGTACTTCAGATTGTCAACCTCACATGTCGCGAAATCGATGCCAAATTCGGACCGAACTGTACGTGCAACACCCATAGTAGGTGCAAACTGAGGATTGGTGCAGTCTATCTGGGTCGATCGGGTCACCCAAAGGGCCCCAGAATGCGATCGCAGCAGTTGAAGTAAGAAAAACTGGAAAGCAGAAAGACTGCTAGTGTTTAGGTCGTTGAAGAATGGGGATACTGTATCGAGAAGAACGATGACGTCTTCCCCATCCCGCAAAGAGTGATCGAGTCCCCAAATACCGACGGTATACCCCCTAGACCGTAACTGTTTCTGCATCTGTACAGCAATTTCTGATGATGTTATATCAGAAATCAAGGTGACACCCTTCTTCGATAAGGCGTCAGGGACGCAGGAGGGACTTGCAAGCATGTATGCAAGGCTATGGAGTGGTGGCGCTGTATCAAACGCAACGTCATCGAGTGCATTGAAGCCCGCAACCTCCAAGGCCTTGCCCCATCGATCAGGAGAGATGTATGGCTCGTCCGCTCTGCCATCCGACTCACCTGCCCACCAACCAGGCAGAATCCCGGCAATGAAATTGATGAATTTCGAATCGCCACAAAGCTCCTCTAACAATAGCTTTCCCTGCGGGTGAAGGAGCTTGCGGACGTTGGTGAGAGTTTCGTGCAGAATTGGTGTGGCGTGCAAGACGTTTGCTGCAATGATCAGATCAAATGACTCCGGCTCGAAGCCCTGAGCCAGGGGGTCCTTGGTAATGTCAAGTGTTTGGAATACGATATTCGGGTAACATTCGAACCTGTCTTTTGCGGCTGGAAAGAAAGCCGCGGAAATATCTGTAAATGTATACTTTGAGTACTTTGTCTGAGAAAGAATCTTTGCCGTCGTTCCTCCTGTGCCTGCCCCAATCTCAAGGATTCGCTGCTGCGGCTGGTAGTGGCCTAGAGAACCAAAGAGTGGAGCACGGTCAACCTCGTTGAGGTAGTTGTAGAAGTTATACAGAGTACCATCGCCCATGAGTACTCCCAAAGCATCGATTTCGCCTTTGCATATCGGGACAATGTTGTCTAATACTTTCATCATTGCTCGGGCACAAGGTGCCGCCGAAGTAGCTAGAATTTGGCCAAGCAATGACTCTATGCTTTGCTCATATGTTGGTTTGGCTTGTCTTCGGAGCCATTCCTGGTATTTATGGAGGTGTGTAATGCCTGAAGACACACCCTGCGCGTCAAGTCGATAGAGAGCCTGTTCAATGCACAACGAAGTAAAAGAGTTCAATAACATGGCGTTATCCTCCCACCCTGCTGCCGCCTGAATGAGGTCAGCGATATTGAGGAATTGTATACTTGGTTGCCAATGAAGCCTTGCTCCGGCCTTGGAGTCACCCTCTGCAAAGAGAGCCTGGCTCGCCCCGAGGGGTCGAAGAACAACGTCTTTAGTTCGCACTGAAAGAGAACCATCAGATGTAAATGCCTCACTATCGAAGACTATAATGTCCTTTTTGGAGACATCCGCCCGCGCCGTGACATCCAGTTCTAACGCACAATCGCCAGTAACATAGATTTCCTCAATACTCGTTGGAACAGGCAATGATTCAACCTGCCAATCAAACCCTTTGTAAATTGCACCGTACGCGATGTGGAGAATTGAATCCAATTGTGTAGGATATACTGGATAGCGTGTTGACTCATTCACCTTAGATACGATCTTTCCGGACACAATATTACTAGTGGCTGAACAGGATTGACTTTCGATGCCTTGAAAGGCGGGTCCAAACTCAACACCACCCCGGCTGAGAGTTCTGTACCAGCTGGAGACATCAATATCACGGGAGAGGGTTTGTTTCTGCACATTCACAGCAGAGGGGAGGCCATGACACTGGGTAATCTCCCCGGAGCAGTGCTCGATCCATTTTACGCCATTGTATGAACTAATGGTAAAGCTGTACCATTTATCCTGACGATGGCGCCGCAGTGATGTCACAATCTCTGTGGGATTTGACTGGTTTAGGACCATTGCCATGTCTAAAACCATCCTGCGGATGATGAATGCAGATGCAGAGGAACCGATCTGTCTCACGGCCTCTCCAGCCATCATTATATAGCCGGCGGCTGGGAAGACGATGTTTCCCGATACTTTGTGGTCCCGGAGCCATGTGACTTGGTCTAGATATAGAACATTTCTCCAGCAGGGCTCATTGTCTGTGCTATCAACCACTCGAGTTCCCAAGATTTCGTGCTTCGGTTGTTTGCGGAATAGCCATTCTTTGTTCCGGCGTGGCTCGTATAAGCTTGAGTATTTATGCTGCCACGGATAGGTCGGTACATCCGTGAGCACTTTCGCACTTCGATCTGGGTTGGTGAGGATATTGAAGTCGAGGGGCTGCCTGTGCGAATACAGCTGACCAATCATAGAGAGGAAGGATTCGGCACAGTCTTTGGAACGAACTAGACAAGGCACATAAGGATGGGTCACTTGTTCTTGGTCTAGCGTTTGGCGAATTGGGCCAGCGAGAGTGGCATGAGGTGAAACGTCGAGAAATAGAAGATGGCGGCCGTTTTGCTGGGTGACAATGAGTTTGAGGGCACTGTGGAATAAAACAGGCGACTCAAGATTCGTTTGCCAGTATTTCGATCCCACTGGATCTCCATCGCTCAGCACATCGCCGGTAACCGTTGAGAAGAATTGGACGCCCTGACATTTTGGCTCGCCCACACTAGCGAGATATGGATTAATAAATGAATGGTATGTATCTCCCACGAATTTCATGTGGTGTGAGTGATATGCAGTATCAGTCTTGAGTCGTTGGACGATGATTTCCGGACGTACCAAACATATTGCCTGCATCACATGCTCCACCTGATCAACATCACCTGATATAGTAACACTAGAAGGAGAGTTTTCACACGCGACGACCACTCCTGGTCTCAAGAATTGATCAATTTCGTGTCTCCCCATCCCGACCGCAGCCATGCACCCGTCCTGTTTCACCATTCCTGCCACGACGCCGCGGTAGTATGCCAATATCACAGCTTGGCTTGCGGTGAGCTTGCCTGCAGCGTACGCTGCGGCAAGCTCCCCGGACGAATGACCAATGACCGCGTAGGGTGTGATGTTTAGTTCGAAAAGGGTATCAACAAGTGCTATTTGAATTGCGGTGCATATCGGTTGCGAATGAGACGATAAATAAAGCTCGCTTGTCTCATTGTCCTTTGAGATTTCATCCATGATCGACCAGGCAGGGGCATCGGGCAAATTCTGCAGGACCCTATTCATCTCCAAAATTGACCTCCGAAAAGTGGCATTGCTCTTGAAAAGCTCAACTCCCATGCCTGGCCATTGAGAGCCCTGCCCCGCGAACACCATGACAATTTCTGGTGGACTTGAGGAAGTCTTCCCAAATGAGGATGTGGTAACTGACATGTCGTTGTGTACGATAGACGCAGCCCGGAACGGAAGGTGCTCCCGCCTTGCACCCATTGTATATGCAAGATCACGCAGAGAGTCGGTGTTCTCTCTCAGATAACCAAGATTCCGTTCAATCATTGCTTCGAGTGAAATCTGCGTGTTGGCTGAAAACAAGAGTAACCGTGGTCCTGGATCTTGCTCATCAATCAAGTCTGAGCTTGGTGGGGTGAAATTCTCAGCAGACTCAATAATAGCATGAGCATTGACACCACCCATTCCAAAGCTGTTTACACTAGCTCTTACACAGCGGCCTTGAGGCCATGGTGTCGCCTCCACAGGAACGGTAATTTTCTTATCCTCAAACGGAATCTTGGGGTTCGGGATATTGAACTTGATATTAGGTGGAATGATGCGGTTTTCAATGGCCAATACTGCCTTTATCAAAGAGGTGAGCCCCGATGCGCCTTCAGAATGCCCAACATTGGGCTTGACGGACCCAATGTACATTCCAGTATCCCCACCAAAGGTATTTGCAACCGCCGCAACCTCAATAGGGTCACCGACGGGAGTTCCTGTGCCGTGACATTCCACAAACGCGGTCTGGGAAAAGTCACTAATACCAGCAGCGCTATAGGCTTTCCGGATGACGTTCTCCTGAGCATCTGCACTGGGGACAGTAAATCCTGCGGACTTTCCATCTGAGTTCATAGCAGTGCCTCTAATAACGGCGCGTATAGGGCTTCCATCACGTAGAGCGTCTTTCAAGGGCTTGATGTACACAGCGTTGACCGCCTCTCCGCGACCATATCCATTGGCGCCTACATCAAACGATTTGCAAGATCCATCAGCAGATAGTACACCCTTTGTCGACATGATCATGGTCATCGTGGGGGTAAGAATGAGATTGAAACCAGCAACAATGGCAGCTGAGCAGTCCCCTCTTTCGATTGATAGACATGCAGAATGGAGCGCGACAAGCGATGAGGAGCAGGCTGTACGAATGCTCAGACTTGGTCCGTGGAGGTCGTACTCGTACGAGACTCGATTTGGGATAGCGAAGTCTCCCCCGACCATGAGAGGATACTTGGCCGAAGTTTGTTCATCGTATATAAGGCTTTCGGTCCAATCATCGCCAAATGAGCCCACAAAACATCCAATATCTCTTCCACGATAATCAACCTCCCCGGCGCTTTCAAAACACTCTCGGACAACCTCCAGCAGCTGACGCTGACAAGGATCAATATACTCCATTTCGAGCTTTGTAAAGCTGAAGAAACTGGTATCCAGGGTTCCGAGGTTGACGGATTCATCTAAGAAATACCCATACTCCGATCCTACAGTCCCGTGGTTTCCTGATTTGGAATAGTAACTCGAAGCATTGTACCGACTATCGGGGACTCGTGATCTAGCATCACGTTTGGCAAGAAGAAATTCCCAGAGCTCAGCATCGCTAGAAATTCCACCTGGTAATCTCAGGGCCATACCGCAAATTGCCATTGGGGTAGAGGTACCAGACAATGAATCACAGGCCTAGACACCGGGTGACTTAGAATGAAGAAAGAAAGCTCCCAAACAGGCAATACGTACGCTTGTGGACATGTCGAAATTTGCAGATACTTCCATATTTATCTTTCCTTCGTTTCTTTGTTGATATTCTAGTGTTAATTAAGAAGGAGTATCTTGGGAGGTAAAATTGTGAAAGAATTGCAGTAATCTTGGGATAGGCACGACTTTGATCTCGAGCAGAATAGAATTTCAGGCCGGATTTTGTCTCTTATAAAGATCATCTACACAATAAAGTCAAGGTGTGTAGAATAGGTATCTACCTAGTAAATTCCTTCAGGATATAGGAGGTATTGATGATCCCCAAGTAGATATGTCCACCCCTACCAGATATCAAGATGCTCCCATCATGCATGTTCTACAAAATCCGAACTCTCCCGCATACAACAGATGACAAAACAGGTTATATTGCGTTAGATATTTATTTAATATGGCGTGATCATGATTGGTCCGAAGTTTGATAGGGTCAATTGTAAGCTCTAAAAACAAAGATGTTTTTGTGCAACCCTACGTTTCCTATTCAGGACAAGAACATGTTCTACGTGACACCTATTGATGGATAACGTCTTTTGTCATTTCATAAACTGATGAATTGGTAGAACCTGGGTTAGAACCTGCTTTTACAATGGTAGCGTGATAGTGTTCCATAATTTTCCAGCAAATTCAAATCCCATCTACTATTTACCAAATAGTTATCCTACCTACACCCTTTTAAACTTGTTTTATAAAATGAACACTGAAAACCCTTTTGGGCTGTATGAACAGTCCATCCGATGGATATTAAGCCCGTGGGTACTCGGCAAAATCTTGCTGGGAGTGACATGGACACACACCACCGTTTGACTGCACTTCTCATCGGTCAAGTCATGGCGACGCATGGGCAGTTAGTTCTCGCTGGTTAGCAAACGGATAGCTGCAGAAGTAACGCAAGGGGTAGCTTATAGAATGGGGGTTGTGTGAGTCACATGGAGCCCTCTCTTACAAGCCCATGTAGGCGTGGAAGTTATATATGCAGAATAACTCATAACTTTAATAAAACAAGATAACCATGCTTTTGCGTAGAAACATTGCTTTTGTAGAAACGGTGATGTCTATATCAATTAGCAACGATCATCAAAACACCAGGCAGTGGCACCACACGCACGTACTTCATCAACCTTATGTCTCTACTCTCTAGCCCTAACAATACAAGTTCATCATCGCCCACAGTAGTCAGGAGGCTGTGAGGTATCACAAATCATTGCGAGGGTAGCCTAACGTGGACTATGCGACATACATCGGGGCTGGAAGGTGTGATGCCACGGACATACATGTAGAAATAGTCCTGTTGACATGTTTTCGGCAGCGGTGAGCTACTAATTTTACTATACTTTACTAATATAGGTGATGTCCGGAAGGATGAGCAGACTACTTGTGATTACCTGATAAGAAGCTTTCCAGAGGCATAGATCCTACATACATAAAGGAAGAAGTGATACTCAAAACTTTTTACAAACCTCTATCCAGATGTGACCAAAACTAATCAGCTTCATTCCGTTTCCCCATGCCACAGAACTTCCAAATAATCGTTATCGGTAGCTCTATCGCCGGTCTAACGTTTGCCCACTGCCTCGATCACGCAGGAATTGACTATATAATCTTAGAAAAACACGAAGATCCTGAAGCAAACATAGGAGGCATCATTGTGATCTCGCCAAATGGGGCTTGTATCCTTGACCAATTAGGACTTCACGATGAGGTGAAAGCTGTTAGTGAGCCAATTAGAGCGGCTCATATTGCTTATCCAGGCGGGGTTAGCATCACGAAATGGTGGCCTAGTTCTATTAGCCAAAGGCAAGTACATAGAAATAGCTTATTGGAGCGACAAGTCCTAACCGTCATCTATAGATTAGGATATCCGTTTTCTATTCTCACTCGCGCACAGTTCCTCCGTATACTGTATAGGAATCTGAAAGACAAGTCGAAAGTCCATGTGAATAAAAGAGTGGTCAGCATTTGCAAAACACATTCTGGAGTATCTGTGTTTACAGCCGATGGCGGTGCATATCATGGTAATTTGGTTGTGGGTGCAGATGGTGTTCACAGCATAACACGTTCAGAGATGTGGAGGATTGCCGGAAAGAAACAACCGGGTCTAGTAAGGAAGGAAATGAGCAGTAAGTTGTCTTCCTCTTTATTAAGCCCAATTAATTGATGTTAGTGGATAGGGCTTTTTGCAGATTATAGATGCGTTTTCGGCATTTCAAACCAAGTCCCTGGTATTCTACCTGGTGACCAAGTAATGAAATCCTGTTATGGGTCAACAATTTTTGTGATTGGGGGAAAGAATGGCTTAGTTGGGTGGTTTGTGGTGCAAAAGCTGGATCGAAGATATTACTATCCAAATGTTCCTCGGTATTCACAGGCCGATACCATTGCCTTATGCGGGTATCTCCGCGGGTTGAAAGTCTGGAAAGAGATAGATTTCGGTGATGTTTGGGACAAGAGGAGATCATTTATGATGACTGTTTTGGAAGAGGGTATTCTACGAACTTGGCACCACGGCCCTATTGTTTGCATTGGCGATAGCAGCAATAAGGTACAGAGTTCGACCTTGACAAATGACAGAGATATATGGTTTCTGACTTTTCAGCTCTAGATGACCCCAAATCTTGCCCAAGGTGCTAACATGGCAATTGAGAGTGCTGCGGCATTATCGAATAAGCTGCATCATCTTTTCCAGTCCAAGGGCCAGCAGAACCTCTCGGAAGCACAGATTATCAGTATGCTTGAGGACTTCTCTCACAGCCATTATATGCGGGCAAGGATAATAAACTCCCTTTCCCAAGTTATGACTCGTATGCTTGCGCGAGATAGAGTCATTTGCACCTTTTTGGGGCGGTACATTGCTCTTAGGTCCGATTATTTCACGAGCTTTTGGCTGTCTAGAATGCTAGGAAGAGGCGTGAAACTTGACCATGTACCAGTGGGTAGAGCGCGACAAAGTCTTCTTCAAAGGGCAAATGGCCGTGTAGTCATAGGCTTCATTCTGATTGGTTTCATTTCTGTTCTGTTCCTATATATATGGCCACAACATCAGATGTCTGAGCGTCCGACTTTGAATATGTCATACCAAAGCAGAACCCCCACTTGAGTAACTATTTACAGCTATACCTTTTATTTACTTGATATAGCACAAGGCCTATCAGATACAACATTCTTTGTTGAGCACCCCAGTAAGCTAACTTATAAGTCGAATCGTGTCTCAAAGCTCTCCCACTTCGACAACAAAGATACCTCTTCTACCTATCGACCTCAAATTCTCAGTCACGTAATTTAGTCAATCGTCTTTCTCCATCAATGCCCGAGGCTTCGAAGACTTTGTTTCTCTTGGCGAGTACGCTCACCAGCTTTTACTATTTCTCATGAGTCCCTCAACAAATTACTATGTTGTAGTTACACAGACTTCCATGGGTTCCACTGAGGTGCCCTATGGATATATTGTCGTACCGCAGATTTATTCTGGGCTATTATTGATAAATGTAATATGTATAGGTATACCTACATACCTAGATGTATTTACATACCTACGTAGGTAGTACGTAGTACCCGACCTGGAGTGAGTTCCAAAATTGGAAAGGAAGCTAACGTGCATACGGGGACGTGCATTAGCGTCGCCTCTCATGCGAGCTGTGACAGGGTCTATAACTCTAATTTAAACTGAAAGGAGATCTTGTTGCATGGAACTTAAGTATGCAAGCGAAACTTATAGGATGACCTTAGAGAATTAGGGAATTTGGCATTAGGAAGACATCAAAGCTGTTATACTAGTTACCAATGCCTAAGACAGCAAGGCACTCTGCGTAACTAATATGTAGAATTCAAGCGCCTAAGGGTTTGGGGATGATGGGCAGGTGTACTTATCGGTGGCTTCATATGAATGAGGGACCGATGACACCTGCCATTACATGCCTGCCCAATTTGGTTGCTGGAGAAAAATGTCCTAGGTGAGTATATAAGCGACAAACTGCCCATTAGTCTATCATTGACATGAAGACCTCACCATATAGTACAGTGCATTGCCCTCTGGGATACTCGAGGCCAAACATCTTATAGTGAGCCCGTCATATGGTATCCTATTAACCTGGTAAGTAAATATTATTTTTCATCTCTGGGCAAGCAAGTATTTAATTATCGCAGGTCGGAACCCAGCGATATCTCGAGTGACTATTGATTTCACAAGTCATCACTTCGTTTACGATACCATAGCAGCAATGGAAAGTGATGAATGCAGAGAGGCATACCGAAAGGTATTCGAACAGCGGATGTACCAGGGACGGCTTGACTCCCTTTTGGAACAGGATGAGTGTAGTTCTCTGCAAGACGCATACCTGGCTTCTCTGCCGCGTGATAAATGTGCTAGAGCTCACCGATACCGCAGTGTCGGCACTGGCTTCCCCGCATTCGTCACCTGTGGCTGTGGAGGCGAGCTCTGGGGAAGGGATGGTCCACTTGAATTGAACTTTGCTGCAGTTCTGGGCCACACGCTTCTACATTTTGGTGCAGAAGCTGCATGCGCGGTCTGTATCAAAACGGGGATCGTTTGTCTATTTCGGGCTTGGTTGCTAAGCGACACCAGTGACCGTGGTCTAATCGGCGTAGCCTGTGCTGCAGCTTGCGAGTGTGTCTCTAGGAGTTATCTGCTATCAGAAGCCGGTAATGCTCTGGTTCGGGAGATATCTCTGGACTGTCCTGGGCGTTGTAGGCAACAAGCTACAGCATGGTGCCAGGGAATGGGAGCAGAAGATACCTCCCTTGATTTGCTTGCCGATGTTACTGGGGAGCTGAGAGGCTCGTTCCGCAACGACCTGACCTCCCTCTGTAATACACCTGGGGTATACTTACCACCTGGTTATGCCACGCTGGATCCTTACACAAAAGGGATTGCTAGTTTGTACTACTTTGCAGTGTCATTTGGTCCCGGGGAGGACTCTGGCTTAATTGCGCCCATAATCAGCTGGTGCATGGTTAGTGAGCTGGCATCGCAATTCAGCCAGTCCAATGTGAACCAAAATACAGAGTCTGCCCATCTTTGCTTTGCACCATTGGCAGGACCGGCCCTTAATAGTGTGCTTGCAACCAGAGCCCAAGCAAATAGACCCGTACGCCGATCAGTCTTCCCCACACTGGACGCCTATATTCGCGAACGCATGGCCGATGGATTCTGGTATGCGGCGTATGCTGCAGCTGATGCAGCGGCGGCGGATAGTTGGTATCTCTCCCGCGAGTCTGTGCCAACCCATAAGTATGCAACTGACTCGGTGTGCGCATTTGATACCTTTTCCCATTCCCGTGCGCTCATAGAAGATGCTCTATATGACGCTACCGATTACAGGCGGGAAACAGAGACTGGAGTGCCTCCCCCTTCGCCGGATGCCTATCAAGAGGTCCTTTTCAGCTCTGGTTATATTGCTCTAGCATCACAAGTATGGGGAGCACCTGTACACCTCGATTTGATGCAACGCCAGGCCGTCCACCGTACTTTGACAACCCACTGGTATGCTGGCGTATGGCATGATGCGTTGTTTGCGTCCACCCTTCCTGGGGCACTCTACCGGGAGACGGTCCGCACTAAAGAACTGGGCCGGTTCACTGGTGATCAAGTGTTCACCGGCTGTGGGGAAGAGTGCCCTTGTCCTCTACGTTACCATAAATATGGCCTGGGGGCGACGTTATCATGGACACGCCAAGCTTGGTGTGGTCAGTCTGATCCTGTGGCGCCATCGGAATCGAGAGCATTCGGCAACTTTGTTGACGGAGTGCGGACCATCCTTCGCTGCGGGGAAGGGAGACATGACCCCCTGTCTCGCATGGATAATCCCGGGGCTCTGCCAACAAGGAAAGCATGTATAGGTAAACTGGCCCAAGTTCGCTGTCAAATTATCCATCTACTTGTGTGGTGCGCGCTGGACAGCCAGTCAGACAAACCACGAACCACGGTCTTGCACTAAACCGGTAGTACAAAGACCCATACCGTTTATGGCCCCTTTTAGCTATGACACGTCGTCCGAGCCATAGCGGATCATTCTTTATCCGATGAAAAATTGCATCCTGCATGATTTGATCCGTGAGCCGGGTTGCAGAATCCATAGTGAAAATCTGATATCAAGTTTCATCTGTAGCTTGTGTTTTTGATAGACCGTGATCATAATTATAAAGTACCTATGTAACTAGCAACACATGTAGTCGAACCAAAAAGAAAGAGGAAAGAGAAAGGAGAAAGGAGGGAATGTGATATAGAACGCATGTACAAGTGTGAGGGCGAGGCGATATGGAGAAGGGGTGGGCTTTGTTGTGTACAGGGCTGTACCCAAAAGGGACAATGGTGGTGATTGGGCAAGTGAATGAGATCTAGGGACAAAACTTCACATATTCAAGTATGCAAGTTTCGGGTCCAACCTGAGATTGGGACATGTATTCCCCAGACCATAGTTCCTTTTCAAAAAGCCATCACCAACCAAAGATCTCACCAACACTGAGAGTACTCCAGCGCACACCACCGACAGCAACGATCATCAAGACAACATCAACAACAGCCAACACCACCGAGCCCATCATGAAGCGAGGGCTGAAGATGCGGTAGAGCATGAGATGGCGACGGAGATGACCGGCCCACATAGTAGTGGCGAGATTAATAGTCGCCAAGTAGAGAATATGTGTTCCAGCAGCCTGTACGACATCGGAGAGGATGCGTGTGGCGGGGTTCTTATTCGGGTTTGAAGCGGGGACACGGTCGTGGGTCTGAAGGGGTCTTTTCCAAAGGACGGTGAGGGGGACGGCAATGGCGGCCAGGATCTGGGCGCCGAAGGTATTTAGGATGACAAACAGTGGGGACCAAGGGTATTGGATTGTTGCGAGGGGGATGAAAGCTGTTTCCCACTGAATGCTAGAGAGAGTAGCCTGGTGGCCAGTTTTGAAGAAATAGAAAGAGCCGAGAACGCCGAGGATGACGGGGCCGATGGACGAGTTTGTCATGGTTAGGCTGTTTGTGTCGAGGATTTCAAGGAGAGAGAGGATTTGCCAGAGGAGAAGGGCGATGGCGCCTTGCCCCATTGGTTTCTGCATGAGGATGATGGCGAGGGCGAAGTTGAGCAATAGGAAGCAGAAGCGGGTTCCGTAGACATTGCCGAAGCCGAGGATTGTGACTGTTGTTCGTGGGCCTTGTTGCTGGCCGGCGACTATAGGTGCCGGTGGGCTATTGGGATCTTCGGTGGGTTTGCTCACGCTGATGCTTACACAGGGCTTCGAGTAGAAGTATGCTGCAGTGCCTGCTGCGAACGCGAGGGCGAGGATGAACTGGGCTAGGAAGACACGGACGAACTTGAGGGTTTCATTGCTTACGGGTAGCCACTCGCCGTCGTCGGCGCCTTCGAGAATCCAGAACAGGGAAGTGACGAAGAGACCGAAGCGGAAAGCAAAGCCAATCCATAGAGATGCAGTGCCTTCATAGGACTTGGAGCCAGCGTAGAAGGATCGTACGACGCTGGGCAGGAATAGCGTGACCAAGAAGGGGATGGCAAGCTGCCAGGGAGCGGAGGTGGAAGAAGTCGATGAAGCATAGTATGTGGAGCGGCAGAAGGGCATCTGTTCTTCACGGCAGAGGCGCGAAAAAGATGCGATGCGGCCCAGAATCACGAATAGAACGGAGTGGTATACACCCAAGACGCGGTCCGTAGTCTGCTTCTGTCGCATGGATGAGACACCCGCGCATACGCCAAATGTAGTGAGAAAGAAGAGAAGGATTTCGTCTTCCCAGATGGTGTACGAGTTCGATGCAAACCCAATAGACTGAGAGACAGTAAAGAAGAGCGCAAGCCATCCCCACATTCCAGTCGGAAGAGGCAGGGTCAGGTTCGCAGGCTGCTTGACGAGAGCCGGAGTGGCTCCAAGGATGCTTCCAGCAGCAGCCAGCAGCACGGCTCCATCGACCACAGACATCTCAGTCAAGCCAGTCAAGCCCAATGCAGAACCAGCCATAGCACCAACGCCAGCACCCGCGCTTGCCAAGTGAAGCAAACGAGACGTGAGCTGGGTTCGATCTGTCTTCAAGCCTCGGGCATAGATTATCAACAAGACAATGCTTGCAAAAAGAACCACAATACCTTGAATCATGCTTGGCACATCAAATCGAGCCCACAGTCCACGGCAGATATCAAGAGTGTGACGCTGGTACTTGCGGAAGAGGTCATTGCTAGCGCGAGCAGCGGTTGACTTGGACGAAAAGCCCTTGGAAGCAGACTTCCACTCCTCTTCTGCCGCAGTCCAAAGCAATGCTGACTCTTCGTCGTCACCAGCACCTCTAGCAAGCGCATATTGGTGCTGATACCTCTTAACCTGGGCTGCAGTCAACCGGTTGACAGTTGCCAGATTTGCCCAGTTGTTCCCACGTGCGCCTGAGAAAGCCTCTTCAATAGGCGACCCTAGGTTATTGAATGGGATGGGCATTCCAAGAAGCAAAGACAGCGTTGGAACGAGATCGATCTGAGGCACGGACCTGTCGCGCGCAAATTGGGGCGGGAGGAGCATATCTTGACTTGTGCGTCCGAAGATGCCACGCTTGGAGTACATCCACAACGCGGCCTCAACCTCATCATCAGACTCGCCGCCGTGATCGCCCTTGATATCCATCCCATGATCTCCCATAACTACCAGAAGAGTCTTATCATCGAGCGCAGCAATGATATCGCGAACAACCCGATCCATTTCCTGAAGCTTGGATGCCATGGCAGCATGGTTAGGACCATATCGATGACCTGCATGATCTACGCCGAGATAATGGCCAAAGATGACATCCCACTTCTTGCTGTTCTCCGGCCGGAGGAGCGGGAAGAGATGCTCCGTGACACCATTGTCAACGGTGTGCAAGTCCCAGACGTTGAAAGAGTCATACGCATGTGTAAGATTGGTATCAAAGTACCCTGGGAACAGCGCCTGCCAGGTATCATCGCCAAGGTGAACCAGCTTCTTCCCAGCGCTATGCAACTGTGCAACAAGATTGTCCTCGTCGATGGCAGTTCCGGCGAAGTTGGAGCCTGCTTCCAGGAAGGTGGGTAGGGTACCGGTGGTCAACCCTTTCAGGCGGTTGAGAGTGGTTGTCGGGGGGTCCGCGATGAATGGCAGGAGGAAGGCGTTGGCGGGATTCTGCACTGCGGTCTCGTACAGGATCGGGATGTTGTTGTGGAAGAGATGGACGGTGTCATTCTCTCCTTTCGAGGCAAATGGCACAGTGAAGTCATATCGAAGGGCGTCGATTATGATGACAACGGCTTTGTCAAATGTTTTCTCGTGCCAGCAGCCTTTCTGCTGTTTACTCCCCAGAGCTGTAGTGTGTGGTTGGGCTAAAATGTCCTCGAAAGGCAGTACATCGCATGATGATTTGTCCTCGAGGACCATGCGGGTGAGGAGAAACCCTTTTGTGAACAAATAAATACCGGCGATATGCAAGAATCTGTAATTTTATCCAGCGTTAGTTCAATTTTATTTTACAACGCGTCAAGCCTGCATGCAGCAGGGTTTAAACCTCAAGCTCTGCTAAGCTTGAGAAGGAACCACTCACAATATCCACGCCAGAACGCCCATCACACCAAAATGCTTGGCCTTGAACTCATCCTCAAGCTCCAGCGACTTCTTCTCCAGCAGAGCAGCTTGCTTCCGCTTGGACTGCTCATTCGGCGACTGATCGGAACTGCGAGGGTTTGGACTATTCCCTGTAGCCCCTGCAGGTGGTGTGCCTACCATCTCCAAGGTCTATGGTACGGTGCTAGGTCGAGCTCGGGGGTCGCTGGCGCGCCAGGTCGCAGGTTGGGGATCGAAGGAGCACGGAAGGGACCGTGAATGACGAACACAGTGTGCTTTGGGGGGGCAGGGAAGCCGGGAGCAAGCACAATTAAGCCGGTTGAGCCGGTTCAAGCGAGATCCATCGAAGTCGGAGAAAAAGTATAGGCGGGGCGGAGGTTGCGGAGGTCTGTACCCCTTTCTGTGCTCTGTCGAACGGCTTCCCTATCAGAAAGCTATAGCATGCACATTATTTGAAAGAACAATGAGTACAAATCCCAATTAGGGGGGGGGAACACTGTTTAAGAAACGAAAATAAATCGAATTTATGTGACAGTCGCGGAACCCACGGGTTGAGGAGCTCGGCGTCGGCGTTTCTCATTGGCCGGCGAGTAACCACCTATGCGAATTCTTAGATGACAACCTTGGAAGTCGTGGTCGCTGCTTATTATTATCCTCGATCCAAATAAGGAATTGGTACTCTTTATAAAACTAATCAATTCCTAGGATGATGAGGAATTTGTCCCATCCATGACCCCATTTGCCTTTCATACTCCACGTGGCTCGATATATCCTGGATGTCGTACTCTATACGAAGTATATTGAAGGTCAAGGACACTGTTCGTTCTACCAATGGACGTGGATGGATATTATTCCAAATTCGAATCGGAAAGGTTTGCGAGTCGGCTCCTAGAAAAACTATGTAGTTTGACTTCGATGGGGACGTGGAACGTATAGGCGTATGATCAAGGGTGCACTCCGATTCTCAATTCAGAGACGGTGGGGTTTTAATAAGTATAGCCCTCAATCGTTTTTGACTTCTTAAAGATCCTTACTTTTCATGTATTTGCTTTATCATCTTCAGTTCCGGAAATCAGTCTGGTATTTGACAAATGATCAATTTCTCGTGAATTTCGGAATCTAAGCAGGCTGCGCCCTCATCTTAATACTATATACATTAACCCCAAGAGTGACCTTCTCAGACAGATCTTGGGAGATTTGACAATAGTAAGGAGGTGGGTGTTGGATTAAAGGGGATAGAATAGCCAGTTTATCTAGACTTTAACTTTTGTATATTGCCCTGACATGGATGTAGATAAGCGAAAGACATAATGCAGACTTCAGGGTTGGAAAGCCCAAATGGGTAAACTAACGATTTTCTATCTATTGATTCAGAGATACAATCTTCTCGAAAGGCCACAGGCTACCTAGGGAGACGTTTGAAGGTCTTGAGATAGATATAATCATAGAGTCGTATAGCCTTTTGCGTTAGGTCAAAGGTTGAGGCTAGAAACATGATGCAACCGCAGACCAACCAATGACCTATCTCGTGCACCTTTTCGGTTACACTAAGAGTTTCTTGGTAGTTATGGTAATAGAGTTGTATCATTTTCTGTTATAAAGGAACGAGACTGAGGTAGGTTAGCAATACAGTTCTTCCAAGCAAGTTGGGACTGTTGTGACATTTGAATTAGAATCAAGTCAAAGATGAGGCCAAATAATTGGCTGCTTAAAAATCCAGGGCAACAGTATGAAGAAGTTGAGGAGTGAAATGATATGAGAACATTGGAGAAGTAAACACAAGAAATGGCAACAGACACGACTCTTCCACTTTGTCCAAATGAGATTTAAAAACCAAGTCATAAAAAAAAAGAGGTGCCAACCCACGAACCCCGTCCCGTTAGGACCGCCACCCCCTCCAGGACAGAGACCCGAAGCCATCATGCAAGGAGGTGTGAGAACACCTCCTCCACTCGTACTATGCCTATGAAGGGTGCAACGAACAGGCGAACCGATGGACGATGCATCCAGCATAATATAGCAGATTTTAGTGAGCCCAATCTACCAAGCTAACTGGGGTGGGTTGGCAAGTAGGAAGGCTTTTAACTGACATATAAGGGGACCTCCTTGGACCTCCTTCCTAATTGGGACACTTAGCTATTTTACATGATCAAAGTTCGATTCCCGCCCCAGATGACTTTTCTATTTAATTCTGCTTGAATCTGCATCTGTTACCTCCACGGCTCTAATATTCATGCTCAATCATCCGCCTAGAGACTATATTTCTATTCAAATGCACATAGCTCTAAAGGCTTTATTCGTCTTACTCGCTGCCTCCATCATGACTGCTGCTTCTGCCAACTACGCTTTAGTCATTATTCTACTGGAAATCTGGCATTGTCCATGCCTAATTCATTATCAAGCCATACTTATAGAACAGCTTTATGATGTCTCAGCAATGTGTGACTTTCTAGAAACGCTTTTGGAGAAATTTGCCGAAAGGCCAAACTAGGTAGAAATCATAGGGTCTATGAAATAATCCGAATAAGAGAAGAGAAGAAGAGCGACAGACCAAAAGGAAAGCACAAAGTTGCGTGACGTAACTTCGGATACCCTCCATAGCAAAACTGTCATGGAGCTAACTGATCTACAAGAAAAGAAGTCCAGAAATAGCCAAAAGAATGGACAGGAAGCCCAAGCTACGGTCACCCAAGTTCGAAGCTGCATTGAAAACCGGAGAAGAGGAGGGTGCGCTGGGACGAGAAGCGGAGCCGGAGCTGGACGGTCTAGCTGTGTTAGAAGCTGTAATCAGGCTTCTATTAGGTTCAGAACTGTTAGATATAGCAACAATAGACGAGTAGGATAGGCAAACTGACCCAACAGGCGAAGTCTTCGACCCAGTCACGGAAGTCGAGTTAGTAGCACCCGTGAACTTGATACTCTCATACGAGCCGGTCTGGTCAGACCAAGTGTAAGACTGGGCCGGGTTGTAGTTGACAACAGTGACGTCCTTGATAAACATGGTGTAAGGGGCTTTGGTGTAATCAGTCAAGCCACCAGCCCACTGGATTGTGCCCTCGGCGTTGGTTGGGTCGCCGCCGGCCCAAATGCCGATGCGCACGTTCATGGGGGTCTGGGGGTATCTGGTACCGGATTGTGCGTCATTGAAGGCGAGTGTGCGGATCACCTTGCCATCAACGGACCAGGTAGTGGCTTCTTTGGTCCAGACTACTTTGTAGGTGTGGAATGTTTCCTGGGGTGTCGAAACAGGCTCCCAGATGGCGCGGTCGTAGGTCGTGGTGTCTCCTTTTCCGAAGTAGTTCGTCTCGATTTGAGTCGTGTCGCCACCCACGGCTTCCTGGGATGGTTATTGGGGTTAGATAAAAGAAGGAGAGAAAGAGGATCTAGTGACTTACCCAGTCAATCTCATCGAGATCATCTGACTCGAGCACGATACTGCTGACGATACCAGTGCCAGGGGCCGCTTTCATGGTGACAGACACTTCACCGAAGAAGATGTAGAAGTCGGTCTGAATGGTGGGAGCATCGCCTTGCTTGTTGACAGTAAACTCAGCGCCATTTGGGCCTGTTTTGACGTTGCCAGCGGTAGTCTTCCACTGATCTAGGCCTGAGCTCTTGGTGAAGTCGAACGTGTGCTTTGACTCGGTCATGCCAACGTTGGCCGGACACGTTTCTATAACGTGTCAGAAGGTACGATGTTTTGAGATCTTGGGTGTGGGTTACTTTTCATCGGATTGCAGTCGCTGTATGTCTGGGCTGAGACCAGAGTCGCAGCAGCCAAGCCCGCAGCGACATACTTCAAATTCCACAGCATCTTTGATACCAAATTGATTTGAAAATGTAAGTATGTAAAATAAGGAATGGAGAGAAGGAGTAGAAAAGAAATAGTTGGTGAGGTTGCTAAAAGAGTAGTGACAGGCAGTTCTCAGAAAAGACAGTATGACCTAAAGGGCAGGAAGGAAATGAAGGTGTTTTAGTATTACAGCTATAAATTCCCTCACTAATAACACCATTTAAACGATTCCCTTTAATATTCAAATCTCCGTCAACTGAGACATCTTCTTTAGTGCGGTTATTTATAGTCGGCCCGATGAAACCTGGCTACGGAGTACTCCGTACATATCTTCTCTTTAATTTCCCTAAATAGCCTCCAATAAATTAGCCATCTCAAATTAGACTATTGAACAAAGTAGGCCCTAGTTTGGCTCAGCGTTGTACGTCCATTGCCTGGAATATCGCTCTGTGCGTTAACAACAGCATCTGGGCTATAGGTCATTTTCACTGAAAAGGGGAACGTAATTGGCGTTTATTAAAGGCTTGTATTAACTAAAAATGAGTTTTGTGTTCAAATATGCTAAGTATCAAGCAGATATATTATACATTGTGTTCAAGAACCTATACACTAGCTGACTGAGACTATAGAAGGGTGAATTAGATGGTATGGTCACTCCCGAGATCAGGAAAATCATCGCCAAAGGGTATAAGCATCTCGTTCTCTGGAAAAATGGAAATATCAGAGAAATCGTTTATTCCATCCAGGAAAGATGGTGTAAAAGGAGGAATGGTGCCACCCGTCGAAGATAGAAATAGGTCGTCAGGCAACCAATGTTGTGAAGCACTTGACTGAGACTGTATATCATAGTCTTGATGACCTTGAGCTATCACCACTGAGTTTGACTCATCGTCAAAAATCTCGCCAGCGAGAGATAAAAAGTGGTGGAAGATCGTCCGTACTTGAAAAATTGGACGGCTTGTTGTGTCAATCTGGTTCAAGCAATCGACAATCGTCTTCATGAGTTTAAAGTCATCAGTATCGGATGTTGCGACGACATTGCAGAATAGCACGAAGTATGCGGTAATAGGGTAGACGAGAAGTGTCCTGGATATTTAGTCAGAGCTCATTCCAATTTTCATACGCGGAACATAGCCTTACCAGTGCAACAAGGCCACTGAATTTTGCCTTTTAGCAGATATGCATATCGACACTAGGGAAGATATGCCATGGTGGGCGGCTAACAGACCCTGTTTCCGTATATCAATAGCCGGGTTTTCTACATCCTCAAATATGTTGAAGATGGTCGTCATAATTGAATGGTAGGCGAATTGAAGAGCCGATATCTCAGACTGAGTATCTAGGCCATTCCAAGCCGGATACGGACATGAGATCTAAGTAATGAGTCAGTGGTGCCAGTAAGATGTATCCAAATAGCTGCCTCACATGCTCAATCCTCTCTTGAATCTGTTGCATATTCACCAACAAATGTTCCCCCATTCCATGGGAATATAATAAACCACCTCCTGCCAGTGCCAAGGAGCGCCCCCTAAGGTACGGCAAGAGAGTAGCTTGAACCCTAGCAAGACTGGTGTAAATTCCAAAGAGGTCTGAGGTACGATGCTGATGGCTCGACATGCCGGAAGTGATGTGTGGAAGTTCAATATCCAGTAAACTTTTGGATGTTCCCATTTTGAAAGAAAAATTCTTATCCAGTATATAGCACCACGCGAGACAGTAATACTGCTCTTCACTCAGAGCACCTCCTATCTTGACAATAGTATCAAGACCCAGACTTATACACACCTTGCAGGCAGCTTTGGTAAGGTCCCAGCATGTAGTGATATCCCCGGATCCTTGATGAAGGAATATCTAATTTTCATTAGACATGATACATTTTCGCACGGAGTGGAAATACTCACACCAGAAAGAAGCGCCTGTAAGAGTCCGAGCGAAGGAGTCGTTAAGAGGGAGATGCTCTGAAGGGCTAATTTTGCTGCTAGCTGGAATTGAACCACGGTATGTGTCAGTTCGTAGATCAATTCACTGTCGATTCTAGCGTTGCTGATGGCAGTCAGAAATTTGGAGACCATCGCATTCACACAAACAGTGCTGATGATCAAGTCATGGGGCGACCCGGTCCCATGAATGAGACTAAGTCCCATTTTCTCAAGTGTTGCTTCTGATATGTGTCTGAAGTAGTCACTAACAAAAGGGCCAAGCCTCGCCTCCTTGATGTCTACTGAAGATATTAGAATGAGACCTTGTCATTGGCCGAGCACTACCGAGTAGTAAGAGGTAAGAGGGATACCTTTCAACATCCAGGCTAATAATTCAAGAGAAGGCGGGTTCATCTGCTCTACATTGACAGTGATATCACTGGAAATGTGAATCGGGTCCGCGAAACTGTCTGCGAGTTGAGAAGCCCGCCCCAACCCTGATTCCAAGATCTGTCGGCGATTGATGGTGAGCCATTTCAGATTGTCTAGATTGTACTGAATCGTGGCGTGGGCATCATGAAGCGCGAGGGGTTTATCGAGACCCATAGATTCTCCGCTAGACTGTTGATAGTCCATCCTGGAATATCCGTCGGATGTGGTTGCAAAATGGTCGTGCAATCCCGATGATGGATATTGCGAATCTTGAGAGGTTGGAGTTGATTGGGGTGAGTGGCGTATTTGACTACTGTTTTCCATCACTGCTAGATGCTTAGGGCTTCGTATTCGCTTTATGACTCGCTGGCGAGAACATGTGGTACTTTTGTCCTGACAGTTACCACATGGGTTGCCTCTGTCACAACGGACCTATGCTTGTTTAGTGGAAACTTCCCATATGATCTTATATCTCATCGCAATGAACTTCAATCCACACCTTTCGAGAGAAGCACGAGTCGCACTGGAGTAGGGGTTGAAGCATTAGAATTGTTTGTGTAACAAATATAAAATTTACATACCACTGGTATAAATTGATTAGTTGACGGCTTTTCTGCCATTTCGATCATCAACTAAGTACGATGAAAATATATGTCAAGCGGGAGGTTGGATATTGAAGAGACATGGAAAAATGTAGCCATTCTATACTTCGAAGTCAAGGGAACAATTATATATTGAAGCACCAACGTCTAAGCAATTTCTATACTTACGTAGATTGCAAGGTTACTATGTTAAACTTAGTATGAATCTCTTTCGAGTTTGATATTGTAGAAGCTCATGGTTCCACTTGGGGGTGGATTCCTTGATTGTTGATGGGGCTCTAAGGGGGGCTCTGCTGGTGAAAGCATTGTGGTTCGATAACTATAATCTGAGCTCTTCTTTATTTCTATTTTTACCCCTTTCTTTTTGTGGTTATCGACGTATATCCATGTGCTAAGCCCCTGACGGGTGTACTTTGGCTCCACATATCTTGGCACGGATATATCTATAGACTATTATTAGGTCTTGATGAGCTCTTCGGAAGCCGAATATTGTTCTTTGCTCCGAGAAACCCTAATGCAACGTTCAGATACTACTATATCTTCCTTGAACTTCATAAAATACTATGTTAGGGGGCCTATTCATGATGTGAGTACAGTTCGGAGATAGATCTAGAACTATCATGTGACTGTGGAGATCTGGACATATCGAGTTGAAGAGAAGAAAATTATCTGCTGTAGAACTAATTTACATTGGAATATGTTATCATACAATAAGAAAATCAGCCCTATCGATCGACATCAATTTTCTGCAGATCCATAAAACCCAAATATCAACCGTCTATAATTAATCGGGATAAGCATCTTATACACCAAACAAAGTAATGCGCTAGAAGATCTCGGCTATAGATAAAACCGAAGAAATAGGTATAAGTAGGCCTCCATGCTGTTGGATAAATTGCATAGTTCCAAATCTCCAGCAATCTTCAACAATCTTCAACAATCCTCATCCAAATCATCCATCATCATGCGTTTCACCATCCTCACTGCTTTCGCCCTTGTTGGCCTGTCCATGGCTAACACTGTATGAGCTCTTTCATTATCATACCCCGTTCAACTCATCTAATTCAATAACAGATCCCCTCCGGAGGACAGTGCAAGCAGGATGGAAGCTTGGGCAACTGTGAATCTAAGCTCTGCGTGGTATGTCCCCGGCATATGACACTTTGGGAAAGCCAGAAGAAGCTAATTCTTTTCTACAATAGCAACTGGCCAACGAGCCCTTCGGAAAGTGCAAATAAACCTACACTCCGAGAAAGCCACCCTTACTGAATCGACTCGGTTGATTGCACACAACGCGGAGCCACTTTCCTTTATATCATACCGCTAGGATATTGAAAACATTGTTTGTTTCCACAATCAACCGATGTAGAACATGTGTGTAGGCTGTAGTTATGCTATTGATTATTATTTCACGCCTCACCTGTATGCTCCTAGGATGTGGACACTGACCTATCCACTAACTACTAGCTAGAAGTTGACGTTATAGAAGTTGAAATAGGCAAGAAAGGAAGCATCATCATCTGAAGTCCAGTATAGAACACTGATTTATTTCAGAATCCTAATCCTAATCACGACAGTCGCTGACAGGCAAAACAACAAGTGAAAGAAAAAACTTTTGGGGCAGAAAGGGGGTATTCACAAATGCGACAATTACACAAGATGATGTACATGAAGTCGTTTCTGGGGTCATTGGTCGTCGGGAGGGGAAAGCATCCGGTCTTTTCTGTTTAAGAGGGGTGTTGTAAGATACGGAGAGAATGGGTGAGAGTGAGAGGAGAGGATGGGTAGATCGGGTAGTAAAAGGAGAAGATGAGAAACAGAGCTCATCTTGCCCAAAATTTCCATGTTTAAGAGTATTGGCAAGAGGAATCAGCGGGCCCAACGTGAGAAATCCAAATTCTGGACAATGTTCGTGTCTGCCGCTGCATTCCATTCCGCAGCAAAATCGGTCTGTACTTGAGGGGCACGAGAAGGTAGTTCCTCCGAGAAGATGTTGGGTTTCGTGTTCCGCCTTAGGCCTGGATAAGCACCTTCGGCAGTCTCAGGGACTTGGCTTTGGGCTGTGAGAGCACGCTCGCGGACTCTCTTGATTTCCCGCAGACGGGTCGTCCAGGACGAGGTATGCTCGCCACCCTTGTTGTTCCAGACAAGCGAGAAGACGGACGCATTGAGAGCAAGAATGCGCACAAATGCCGCCAAGTTCTTGCCAGATACGACTTTTGGTGTCGCAGCAGGTGAGACGTCTGGGAATCCGGCCTTGCTCATGACCTGCACGCTGTAGTATAGCTTCTGCGGGTCTGTCTCGCCATTATAATTGCCACTCTCATCGTAGGCAATCCGAGATGACGGGGTGATGACGATGTTGATAGAGTTGAACTCGGATGGAATTGTGTCAAAATTAAATGGCAAGTTGGATCGGTTGAACACGATGGTGACATGGTTATTGCCAAGGTTTCGTTTCTTGTTGATGCAGGCCGGGTCACGGTCAAAGTCCGTAGGCATCATTGTTGCAACATGATACACAATTTCAGTCACACGATCCCGCCAAGCGTAGGTGTGCTCCCCGTCAGTATCAGCATACAATCCTTGCGGATTGAATTGTGGGTTCCGAAGTGACACTTTGGTTCCTAATCCTGACAGCAGGTTTTCATAATCCGCAGAGCCACCAGTGTTGGCTAAGATATCTGCCTCCTTTGTCTGGCCATTTCCAACATAAACAATGCCGATCCGGTGACCATCCACAATGTCGGTGCGGTCAAAGTTACTAATTGCACGCCGAGTGATATCGTCTTCAGGAACTGGGATGGGCTGCATGACCGTAGGTGTAGGGAAGGCAGTAGCGGTCAATTGAAGCATGATATGACTCGGAAGGACCGCCGTGCGCATGGAGTCGGAATGTAAATTGGCATCGGGAGTTGGAGGGACTTGATGTGGCAGAACTGGGGCCGTCCGCTGTTGATATACAGAGTATGTCGTACCAGATGCCTGTCGCTTCGTAATCTGAGATAGTCCAGATAATCCGGCGCTCTCGACCGTGACGATACTCATGCCGACAATCCATGACTTCTTTGCGACTGGGCCATCCTCAGGGGAAGGGGGGAAGGTTTCGAAGGGGATGGTCTCTCCGAGATCTGAATAAGCAACTCGCTGCATCAAATCGATGAATACTTGGCTTTGCTCCTCCACTACCTCTTTTCCATGTTCGTCGTGATAAATGAGTCTGCTGGTGATCCAATTTACATGCTTGGGTCGATCTTGGAGCTTCAGAGACAAGAACCAGAAGACCATGACATGGTAGGTGAGATTCAAGATATACTTAGACATGCCATCTTGGGAGGCCTCAATAGCTTCAGCTGCATGGGAGGAAATTTCCTTTGCTCCGGCACCGAGCTTAGACTGGGGAGATTGAGTTGACAGAGAGGCCCTGGCAGCCAATTCAAAGGCTTTGTACCGATGCTCTCGAGAGGTCTGCAAAAATCGAATGCAGATGCCGAACACAGTGCGGATCTCCTCCTCACGCAAGTTGACGTAAACTTCGGGCAATCGTGCAAGCAGAGCCAGGAACTCCAAAATATGGACAGCAATGTTTGACATGGTGATTACCTTTGACATCCTGTCAAGAATGCTGTTCAATGATTTCGTGACTGACATTGGAATTTCATAGCAACACAGTGAGAGTGCCTGAATACACCCACGAGATGTGCCACCCCAGGATCCGATGATACCCTGCATGAAAGCTCGGACAAGGTCATCCTCTTCGCTCTTGGCAAAGTGTTGGTGATAGCTGACAAGCATGCAAAGCGCATCGAAGATACAGGCAGCCACATCGCTTTTTTTCAGCCCGGTAGTCTCAGGAGGCTCGTGGAAAGTTCCATTCTTGACCTGATCACACAAAATGCTGCGAAGGAGTGTGACCTGAGGTATAGCATCTCTGAAGAAGTCCTTGTTGCCAAGCTGAGGCCCGAGATGAGTAAGAATGTAGCTGTAAACATCCCAGTCTGCTTCTCGTTGCAACAAGGTAATGACAACTTCGAGCCACATCTTGACCTTCAACAGACCCGTAATGTTTGTCTGTGTTTGTGTTGATTCGGTGGGAGCAGACTCCTCCGGGTGGGCGTAAGCAAACACGACAGGACTAGATTCTCCAGGCGGTTGCTCCGGAAGCACCTGCGGCAGAGCATATGTCCACACAGGCGCAGTTAACCTTGATCCCCGGGCAGAGATAGACCCACGCCCTGGGGCTGACCTCGACATAGGGGTCGACGCAGACTCTCTCACTGGAAGTTTTCCAGTTGGTGAGACTGGTGAGTTATCATGCTGGGGACTCTCGCGGGTGGGGCTATCGCTGGGGGGCAGTAGCTTAGAGCCACCATCGAGGTTGCGGCCCAGCACATTCATCAAGAAATCGCTCTCCGATGTTGATATAACTGTAACTGATCCAGCCGAGTCACATCGCAATCGGAAAAGTAGTTTCAAAACCGTCAGACGAGAGTCTACCGGCCGACTCGGAGATTGAGCAATGTCTAGAAGTGCCTCAAAAACCATCACAGCTTTGGTTGATGAGAGGTTTAAGGCACGTAACATCATCTTCACGAGGCCTAC